ATTACCGGTAGCTAGCCCTATTATTTTAAAAATACAAAATAGATGTAGCCAGCTTGAAAAATCACACATGACATGTAGGTCTACATGAAGAACGTAGGCTCATCATTGCATTGCCCTCCTCTTTCTCACACGAGCAAGTCTTTGCTTGAGATCAACGAAGATACTGGTATGGCTGTGCAGCCTGTAGTTGGCTTCTTTTCCCAGTCCATATTCTCTCCACAAATGCAGCAAAAAGTTCGAGTGCTAAATTACTGTGTTCGACAGAGGAGCCAATCCACTCTGCCAAGGAATTCTGGTTGCATACTCACAGATTGCAGGGGAAAAGCACGGGTAGAGTCAAGTCTGGTGGGGCACGCATCAAGCTACCTTTGCTCAGGCGAATGCTGAGCCCGCTGAGAATGTTGCTTTCGTCTCTGGCTGCCTTCTATCCACCGGCATCCTCTAATGACGGCGAGGCCAAAGGCCAAGCGCTGCTTAATATACATGTAATGGTAACCAAAGTGCAAGCATTTGGAGCCTTGAAGTTTGCAGTAATGGATAGTCTTGCTGGAACCAATGACGATCTCCATCCAGCCTAGCAAAGCCCAGCAAAGCCAAACCATTTGCACGCCCCCGTACTACCGTAGGACAAAATGTGAACCGTGCAAGACGGTTGTCGTTGCCAGCTGGGTAGGTATCCAGGTAGCAGAACTATTAGTACCAACTTGGCACTACAGGCAGCCGCTGAGAAACTACATGACCCAGTACAATCATGCAACTCACATTAGGAACCACAACCCTCTCAAGCTTGATGCAGCTTCAACGGTTCTCAACAAAACAATTCTCAGTTCTTCTAGGTACGGAATGTCCACCCTCCTTGGCAAATCAAAAAGAACCAAAGAACCAGTAATGGCCGAAGTTCAAAGGGATGTGAAGTACCTGGTACCACCACAATACGCAGTTTCATTCCTCTGCGTTCATATCAGCAAGATTGGGGCTCAATCGTCCAAATTGAAAGGGAGAGCGGAAAAAGATGGTGACAACCAACGTCCTGTATGCCCACTTTGCAGAGCACTAGCTATAATACCACCGGTAGCTAGACCGTCACCAGAGAGCCAATTTTCCTCGCTCCCATCCACTCCGAAATCTGTGAGGTTTCCAAATCCTTTGCGGCTTCCATTTTGGTGTTTGGGTACCGGCAGCGTAGCTCCCACCCGATCGAATCAAATTGAATTGAATCGAATCAATCGAATCATTGTCAGCGAAACAAATTTGGAAATTTCGTCACTGTTGATTCTGATTCTGACTCGATTCGATTCAATCGACTCGACTCAGTACTGTACCGGTCCAGTAGACTACCCGTCAGCAGTGTTCTTGAGGTGTTCTGAATACAGGCGAATATCGCGCGAGAAGTCCAATCACTAACGCAATGTCGCGCCTTACGTTGGCTCCCGTATGGACTTTCAGACATGCATGGGGCATTAAGGCACAATGAACACTTACTTTTGCTTCTTTGCCACTGTGAGAGTACTGTAGCAATCATTCCCTAGTGGTTATTCACGAGAGAACCTGGTTCCGTGTCATTGGTTTGAAAACTTTAAGTAAATTGTCATTGGCATCACTAGTTGTCTCAACATGTGTTCAACTCGACTAGCAGTCCCACTTTCCTTCGCTTCCTGATAAGTAAAACTAGTGACTCATAAGGCGGTGTGATGAAGGCTTATATAGCTATTTAAGCGAGGGTTAAATCAAGACTACAAAATGTGAGATGCTCTATGAAGGCTTATCTCGAGTGTCCAAATAGTGACTGAGAGCAGTCTCGGTTGCCGATGAAATCCCGGCCCGCTCGACAAAGATCCAATGAGATAATTAGGGGTGTTCCAAGGCTCGACAAAAAGAGATAAGATTGGCTAACCAAATCTGAAATCAATCATATGGCAACTGCAATACTGTATATGACAACGATTTTGTGATAACAAAGGGTGCATTGGGTCAAAATGGGTCAATACAGCGGATGAAACTAGGTCGAATCTCAGTCCGGTAAGACAAGTGACTAACTGTCCCACGAGCGGTTCGCAAATCTTCGTCCGACAAGCCCACACTTAAAGGGCAATTTGACCGATACCCAAACATGTTTCAGCTTCGCCGCCGAGGGAAGCATCTGCGTACCGGTAGCCCACAAGACTGCATGACGCATGACTACAGCACTCTCGTGAAGCTGTACTAGTTCCTGCGATCTTTTACGTCCGAGGACATTTGTGACCGCTTCTAGCCACCGGTAGCTTTCTCCAAAAATGTACCGCTCAGAGCTCGAGTACCGCTTTGACGCACGAACATGTTGTCTACTCATAATTTCTCATCCTTTGCCACCAAGGACGAAATTATCTTCGAGACGATTACCAACCTTCCGTTGTTGAAGATCGGCTCCCTTGATGTTTGTTGCTCTTGGTAGCTAACAAACAAACAAGGAAAGCTGATACGATGGTGACTCCATGGGGCCTTGGCCGCCGCGGCACACCGGTAAAATGAAGACGCTCTCTTCGGAGAATGAATATCTAGCAATCTATTGTTGGAGAATTGGCGGTATGCTACCTTTTTTTGTAAAGAAGACTTTGACAAGCCGATGGCTCTGTTTGTCAATGTGCAAGCTGCTTTAATTCTTGGATTTGTGAAAAGACTACTGGAGCGAATGGTTCCAAGGACAATACTGGAAATCTTGCCAACAAGTTTGGCCTACTTTTTCTTCCATGTTATCATGTTTGGCTCTTCCTATTTTTCGATCCTCCTACCTCGAATATGTGGTAGTGTGGAGGGGAAAAGAGTCAAGTTTGTTGATTGTGATTGAAGGCTTTTTGGGATGGATGATACCATACTACTACTACACGACTACAAGCATTTAGATGTGATACATGTGGACAATGACGGACCAAAAGCTGCCATCCTCTTTGGGGTGGTGCCTGAAGGGGATATCCCGCAGCTTTTGGCCGTGGTTTCATGTGTGTGTATTTGTTGGAGTGTATGTGTGATTCCAGACCAAGAAGACGACAAGCACACAAGATGGACAGTGTTGTTGGAGGTACTATTTGTGAAGGGGTGTGATGTTTATTGAAGAGACGGAGAAGAACAAATGTGATTTGTGATTCGAAGCGGATTTCTGTTTGAGACTTTGGAGAGTGCTGATTCACGAGGTTGGAGGGGACTGGTGATTCATTCAATCAACCTTTTGATTATCCAAAGCAATGAGCAAACAGACGCTGGTTCCGTCTTCATTCAAATGGGTATATCATGGGGATGCATTGCGTGGTCACTACGAACCTGCCTTGTGGTGCTAGTATGATCCGGTTGAGGATTTCCGGTTGTCGGAACCTACAAATCGTATCACAGCTTTCTCTTGTTGAGTTCCTTGGAGAAGATGACGGAGGAGAGATTGCTGTCTCTGGCAATTCAGCAGTCCGACTTCCCACTCCAATCCTTGGGGCTCTACTTGAGAGAGTTATCTGTTTAGGTTAAAAAAAGAAAAATACTAGAGAAATGTGTTTCCTGTGAAGAGTGGGATCGACTCGACTACTAGCGGCCTATGTTTAGTTGACTGGATATCTATGGAAACAACATTCTTGTGCAGTCTAGGTGGGTTGCGGGGGCTACCGCTGGTCACCCCTTGGCTTGGGCAACAACCCAACAGGGCAACAACGAGACGAGGATGTGTTGGCAGAGCCCTGGTTGGCATAAGATATCCAGCTACCATTGTCGTCCAAACAATCATCCTGAGTTGGCCGCCCAGATACAAGGTGACCTTTATCTAGCTAGAGTGCTGCATCCCAAGAACCTGGCGAGGGTTAGGTTCCGCTCCAAGCCAAAAGGGCCATCAGTCTGGCTGCTTGCTAGCTAGTACCGGTATGGTGGGCCAAAAGCGGAATAATCCCGCCTTCAACTGATGCAAAGACTCAAAGCTACATCATACCGCATACTAGTTACCCCTTGGCTTCCAGATCTAGACAGTTGGCTGCCCACCGTGCGCATCATCGTCGCTATTCGTGATTGTCCATTAGCATGGCTGCATACGTTCCTGCGTTGCTCTTCTGCTCATCCACTCGGCATAAAATCTAGCGCTGGAGCAACTTCTCACACCATGACGGGGGCACAGTTGCACGCAAAACCAGTGGATGACCCGTTTCTTCCTTGCTAAGCCCTCTGGTCCTTTTGAGAAAGCATTCGGTCGGAAGCAAATAATATCTTTATCATCGATTCCCTAGTCAAATCACGAATTACTGAACAACTGGTACTCAAAGCCTTAAATCAGATTTGCCATTGTTAACAGCACACATGAAAATTGGCGATGAGATCGCTGTCTGCTTGAACATGGTGACAGCTGCAGCATGGAGACAAGGTCAATCCTTGTCGGACAACCTGCGACTGGAGCTGACTCGAAGACCACTACGATGTACGTACCTAGTATGCATACAAAAATCGGCTACGATGTACATCTGAAGCGTGGATCGAGGATACCGGTACCGCACAGGTTCTGTTTTTGGCAATTTCGGGGCCAGCAAGAGAAAAGTGTGCTTGGGCTGTAAACTTCAACGAAACGGAAGGAAGCCGCGGAAGGTTCAGCTACACTAGAGCTACTAGCTAGTCTACCATTAGTGGTCTACTAGAGACCTAGAGCTAGCTCGTCCGGTAGCCCGTAGCTGCTCCGGTACTAGTAACTCCTTACGGTAGGCGGTAGGGCATCCTCTGGCTTTGCCTGACTTGGCTTCACTGGTACAAGTACCGGCTTCTGGTTGTATCATTTCTCATTTCCTTTGTCTGTCTTTGCATCGACGCAATGGCTTCTCCTTCTTTCCGGGATAGCTGAAGCAACATGCATGTGTGCTATATGACTACAAGCTACAGGTATCTACTCGGGAGTTGCAAGCAAGCTAGCTGATTATTCACGAGTATTGTTCGTTGTGTCGCGGTAGCTGTGGGTCATTGGCTGGTGGACAATTATTGCGATTGCAATTGCGGTCCACTACCGCTTCCTAGCCCAAAAGCTGTTTCTGCAGCAATGGCGTCAGATACTCTGCGACTTTCAGCGTCTCGACAGCAACGTCAATGGTGGCGACTCCTTCTGCAGGAGTTCCATCGAAGCAATTCTTTGCAATGCGCTCTTTCAATGTAGCATAATCGGGATCCTGCACGTAAAAGTAGGGCATGGCTCCAGGACATCTCTTTTCTAGGCCGGGAATGTTGGCAAGATCCTCTTCGTCGGGCATGGAATAGCGAAATGTTTCCTTTCCAGTCGTTTCGTCCGTGACAATTCCCACCGAGTCGTCTCCACCACACCGGTCTGCCGCCACGCTCACCTGCTTTCCTTCCTTGGTCTTGATGGTGAATTTGAGTTTGTCAAAATCGGTAAACTCCTTTCCAGATGACGGTCCGACCAGAGTTTGACAACTGGAATACTCCTTGTCGGCCACGACCTCGGCAATGGTATCTGTAGTGACTCCATAAAAGGTCACCAACAAGGCCAACTCATGGATGGCCATATTCTTGAGCATCCCCTCGGAGTTTCGTTCAAAACACTCTCCCAGTTGATCCTTGGTGTAATTATTGTTGTGTACAAAGGTGACGATACCTCCCTTGGCCGCGGCAGCCATGGTTTTGGTACTAAACTTGGCGACATTTTTGTTGAATCCCATGAGTACCGAACCCTGCTTTGTTGGCGGCATCTCGCATGGCTTCCAATTCTGCCACGGTCGGAGCGCCCGGTTTTTCGAGATAGATGGAATGACATCCAATGGTCAAACAGTCTTGAAACAACTTGGGGGATTGTCGGCGGTACGAGCACTGATAACGGCCAATCGTCGATCGCCACTGACAGGAGGTGGCACGTCGGTCGTATTGAGAAAGAATTGGATTCCTTTGGTGTCTTCCAATTCTTTTTTCCACGCCGCAAAATCATCGCCTCCGGGACTTTTGGATCCGGCGTCACTCATGTACCATGGTTCGACGACGTATTGGAGGGATGCCGATGGACAACACTGGCGTTCGGTGTCGAGCATTTGAATGGCATGGTACCATCCCATGGAGCGTTTGGGGCATCCGGCACCCACGAGCACTACCTTGGCGGCCATGGTACTGTTGCTGGAATGATGATAGTTTGATTTCTTTAGTGGGTGGAATGGAAGGACACCACCAACGAATCTACTTGTCGACGCTGCCACCAAATGTCTTCTTGCTATGAGGCTGCACTGAGCAGAAAGAGAGAACATGGCAGAGAGAGATCAGGGAAAGAAAGCAAAAAAGGTTGGTGACGCTTTGATGTTGGTGACATCCTGTCCATCTCTCCACATGGAGCCCATCGTGGTTGCGTCGTTCAGCTTGTCTTGTTGGCATCAAGATCTTGCTTCTTTCGGACAATCGTAAAGGCTGACGTCAGTCATTTATTATTATAAAAACTGGTTGGATTGAGATTCAATTCGATTCGACTACATTTTATTCGACCCGACTTGATTTGCCGGCATTGATTTATTTGATCCCAAAAGATCGAGAGAGTGAATGAAAACTGGAGCTGGCTGCTCGTGACTCACGGCTACAAACTGGGAAGCTTGAAGAACATCACCTCGTCGCGGCATCACCGGACAGGAAACGCTCGAACATTGGCAACAAACCCTCCCAAGCACAGTTCAAAGCCGCGTTGTGCCCTTCTACCACCAGGTATTTGATTCTTGGCTTGCATGTACCAGTAGCAAGTCTGATTGCGGTGGCAATCATAGACTGCTGTACGAGAAGTATTTTTTGCTGCTACCTCACCTGCAGCCGAGTTTGTCGCATTATCTATCTTTTGGATCGATTCGATTCAGATACTCCTCCTCCTCGGTGGCAACCCAATCTATTTTCTACGGTAGCAACCAACACAACACGATGAACCACGACAACTCCCATCATCATCATTCAGACCACCAAAAAGAAGAGGGCATTCCCTTTATGGACAAATTGTTGGAGAATCCCTTGGAATTTTCGGTACCAGCCGTGGCGGATACCCCTCCCACCGAGAGTGACCACAAAGATACCAAGATGGCAAGCGGCCACGATGATGGCCATCATGTCTTTTGCGGTTCCATGATGCACATGAACGACCATGAAATGGCACAACATGGAGTGGGTTCCATGAAATTGGGAGGTGACATGAGCAAGGGAATGGTCATGTAAGTGCAATACATGTATCAGGACTTGCTGGCTTCTCAGGAGCTTGTGCTAATATTATTGACAACCTATTTGTTCGTTCTTTTTAGGTACATGGATGGCTTTCGATTTGCCATGGCGGGCAACCAGCCCTGCTTGAATCTCTATTTTCCTTCGTGGACACTGGATACACGATGGAAATTTTCCGGATCCTTGCTCCTCGTCTTTTTGCTCGCTTTTGGAACCGAAGCCGTGTCCAAATTTCGACACGTTCTTTCCAAACGACCCATTGCTGGAAGAGGAGACTACCAGGCACGACGTACACGACAAATGATGATTTCCGCATTGCACGGATTCCAAGCACTCTTGGGATATGTCGTCATGTTGGCCACCATGACATTTTCCATTGAAATACTGCTCGCCGTGGTATTGGGGCTCTCCACCGGATATTACTACTATTTTGCCGGAGAAATGGGCTTGGAAGGACATGTCACTACCAATCCATGCTGTAGTTATATGCAAGATGAAAGTGATGAACACGAACAAGCACAACAGCAGCAGCAACAACAACAGGCAGCAGCAGAAGTGGCGGCGCTATTGCCAGAAGTTCGTTCAGCGGCAGTGTAGCGAGCTGGCTACGATAGTTGGCAGACAACGCTAGCCAACAAGTAAAACAGCAATTGCTGCTGTGAGTGCTCCATTGGAAAACAGACCAAGAGGTCTTCTCGGTGTGGCAGTGGTTAGTTAAATATCATTCAAAGATTGTAAAACTATGTGTAGGAAAGATTTGCTGCCTTTGGCTGTAATCGACAATGACTAGAAATCCTGAAAGCCAGAAGAGAAATCCAGACTTCCTCAGCCATCAGCTCATCCAATGAAAGCAATATCCAGTGCCTACAAGTTCAAGATTCAGAAGGACTACATTGGAAAAGATGGCCCAGCACCGATGAGTCAGTTAGACTCAGAGTCCAGCTATAGAATAGGATAGCCAAAGAACGAACCAATGGCCGGTGGCAATTCCTCAAGCTCAGAGAGGGAACCACTACTGGTACACTGTGTGTGACCACTCTGGCTGTCCTACAAACGACAAACGGCTGGCTATCCTATGGCCGAGACAGGCTTCTAGCTAGTTGAAAGCAACCCCCTGAACCAACACACCGACGTCTTGTTTCTAGAGGAGGCGCCCTCCGAAGTTGCAACACTAGCGCACCTCAACAATCACCCAAGCTTCCTCCCACATCATGTTTCAACGACAAATCGTAAGAGATCAATTCGACTAAATTACGATTCATTATTGCGTAACTTTCCTGCATGCTGGCTGTCATTGTCGTCATCGCTCGCTCTATCCTAAAAAAGAACACCATTCATTTTCCTTCCTGGTGAATAAATTTATCGCACAATGGCAAGTCATTTATTTGAGCTGTTCTCGAAGCATGGGTGTGAGGTATTCGGCAACCTTGAGGGTTTCAACAGCAATTCCAATAGTTGCAACACCCTCTGCTGGAGCCCCGTCCACAGTGTGCTTGGCCACACGTTCCTTGACGGTGATGTAGTCAGGGTCTTGTGTGAAGAAATATGGCATGGCAGTGGGGTACTTGGCTTCCAATTCCTTGACGTGTGCCTTATCATCATCATCGGGCATGTAGTATCGGAAGACTTCCTTTCCATCGGCATCACTCACGGTGGCGTACGAGTCGGTTCCTCCGCAACGGTCGGCAGCAACACTGACTTGGTTTCCGTTCTTGGTCTTGATGGTGAACTTGATCTTGTCAAAGTCGGTAAAGTCCTTGCCACTGGGTCCCTTCAAAGTCTGCATGGATGAGAATTCCTTGTCAGCAACAACCTCGGCAATATTGTCGACAGAGACATCGTAGAAAGAAACAAGGAGCGCCAATTCGTGAATGGCCATGTTCTTGAGCATACCCTCAGCATTTCGCTCAAAGCATTCTCCAAGAGATTCTGGGGTGTTTTCGTAGGCGTTGTTGCTGATAAAGGTAACGTGTGATCCGGGGAGAGTGGCGGCGAATTCTCGGGTCTTTCGGACGTATTTGCAGACGTTCTTGTTGTATCCCATCAAGACCTCGACACCGGCATCATCGGCTTCCTGCTTCATTTGCTCGAGTTCGGTAACGGTGGGGGCACCTGGCTTTTCTAGGTAGATGCACTTGGATCCAAAGGCGATGGATTCGGTCAAAAGACGAGGGTTATCGGCGGTACGTCCACTGATCAATGCAAGTCGTGGAGCCTCTGGGGGTGGGAGTTCTTCCAACGAAACGGCAAACTTGACTCCGTACTTGGCCTCGGCATCGTCCTTGAACTCTTTGAATTCTTGTCCGGCGGGAGAGTCGCTTCCGGCTCCCAAGAACCAGGGTTCCACAATGTAATCCAAGGAAGCGCTGGGGCACCTGATGGTACAATCAAAAGAGGTGGCGAGGTTAGTGACACGAAGGAAGCAATCGAGGGAAAATATTTTGGCCGACTCCATCACGACAAAAGTTCATTATCCGGGGGTATCATCAGTCAATATCCGGATGTATCCTTTAACTCTCGCGAACCGAGTAGATTATGTATGGCCCGCACAGGATACCCCAGCATGAGAAGCCGACATTCCACATCCGCGAAAGGTCTGGGGTAGCCATTAACTCGGATAAACCTCTATACCCAATGATACCCCAACCGCCACCGAGCAGTAAACCCAACAAGAAACGAACGACACAGCCATGGAACTTACTTCTCTTCAAGCATTTGAACGGCGTGGTACCATCCCATCTGAGATCACAAGTAGAAGATAAACAGGGGTATCCATTATCAAATGATAATGACCAAAAAAGAAACATTTGTGAGCAAAAAGGGATACCCCAGCCTCTTCCCAGAAACCCTTCCACAGAGGGGGGTATATAATATTGGCGTTATCTTGGGATAAAATCGACTTACACCTCTGTTGGGAGCTCCACATCCGACAAGGACAACTTCGGCTTGTCCTTCTGTCGCGGCCACAGCCAAGGAAGGGGTCACAAAGGTTCGTGCAACATTGCGTCCGACCAATGGACGAGCCACAAAGGCAGAGGAGCGTGCTAGAGTGGAGAACATGATGCTGCTGCTAATCAAAGTGGCGTCGAGTTTCATTTGTGAAGGTGGATTGAAGATGGACTATTGAAATACCGCAAGATCGGGCAAGTACGTGTGTGTTTGTGTGCGTTGACTGCCAAGAAAAAAACTATGCGATCTTTACTGGATGATGGCCCGAAGTGATGGAAGGCTTTCTTGCTTGACAAGTTAGTAAAGGCGTGGCAGCCGCGGTTCTCATCCAGATGGGATCCGTTTGAACCCGGAATCCCTACCCAGTTGCCTGTACAATTGCTACGGAGATCTTTGGTTTTCGCTTCTCGAATCTTTTGTGTTGCCGGAAGCAGCTGGCTCCGCTGTCTTTTGTTGGATGCCAGCAGCTGGAAACCATCAAATGGTTGGGCAGTGGCTATTACCGGTAGCAACTATCTACATGTAGCAACCATTATCCATCATCATCACAAGGAATACACGGTACCGAAGCATTTCATTGTTCTTCCAAGCTCCGAGCACTACCCATCGCGTCATGGTAAAGAACCTTGAAAAAAGCTGCTTGAAAGAAGCCTTGAAGGAATCTCTGGAAGCAGATACCTCATTATCCATCTGTTTCCCATCGTGTCTTTATTGCCGGTGGTATATTTGTTGGTTGGGAGGCATGGAAGCAATGTTGCAGACTGCCAGAGCATTTTATTGCGGAAGCCTAACTTTGCTGCTGTCAAAGAAACTTGTTGACTGGGATAAAAGGAAGTCGTTCTTTGACCAAATCTCAATTTTCAGAATGGATGGTTGGGACTGTTATCTTGAGTCTCTTGCTGGAAATTAACGGAAAAGAGTTTCGGTTTGTCTGGACATGGTTGATTGGTGGTCTTCAAGCTTTTTTTTTATTTTTGAAGGTGGGATCATCCCCAGATGGGCAGGAGGAAGATATTGAAAATTGCTGTCGAGACAGATCGCTCCTGGTCTAACGAGGAAGGAAGCCACTATTGGGATAGTTGGATGGGTACAGGACTACAACAACTGCGCAGAAGGTCTGTAACTAGTTGCCAATACGATCCTGTGTGGGGCATTCCCAAGGGGTTATTTCTGCGGCATTTATTTGCAAAAGTGAGCATTCATTTTGGAGCCAATGGTGCCTTTTAGTGGAATCTCTATGCAACAATCAACCTGTTCACTCCTTTCTATGACAGTCTCGGCCTTTCATCAATGATTAAGTTGCAATGACCTGGTTGGCTGTTTTGACACAGTTTTGTTGTCAGGTTTTTCTGTGTGGTCTGGTTGGGTCAGATGGAAGCATGGCGATGATGGATGGCGTGGGTCCACCAGAATTTTTGGAGGGGATAGTTCGAAGGATTGTCAGACACTGCTATCATTCAAGAACCTTGCCTCTGTCTCTATACCATTGATGTATCTGTGCTGTTTCAGGAAAGAAGAAGAATCTGCCTCGAGAGAATGTGCATCAATGATCAAGTTGCTGTGACCCTGGCTGTTTCGAAACAATTTTGCTGGTTGCTCTTTTTCTGTGTGGTTGGATGGCACCATGGTGATGATGGGTGGCATGGGTCCATGAGTGTTTTTGGAGGGGATCTTTTGAAGGGTTATCAGACAGTGCTATCAGTTAGGAACCTGGCCCCTGTCTCTATTCCATTGATGTATTTGTTTCAGGAAAAGGAAGAAGAAACTTGTCTCGAGAATGTTGATGGGACGCACGTAGTTGACACTTTAGAGACGTCTGAACAACCATAAAAATAAACCAGCACTTCTTGGAGAGCAAACTGTGTTACTTTGTGATGTCTCCATCTTTGCTCGCGAGTGTCACACACTAGAAACTGCATACAAAACCAAAGAAATTCTAAGTAGGTGCTGCCTTGTAGCACGTTGGAAAGTCATGCATGGTTACCCATGTCTGCTCCTGCTGCTGATCGATAGGTGTGAGTAAGGTGAGGCGAGCAATCTGGTGGTTTCGGAGGATACCAACTCTGCCTCGATTTTGCAAGAGACTGCCTATTAGGAAAGATCTATTGCACAGAACAACTTGCTACGACGGATGTTTCTCAGTTTGCTTGCAGCTTTAGTTTGCCCCGATTTTGCAAGGGACTGCCTATTGGGAAAGGTCCGCTGCACAGAGCAACTTGCTAGCTATTTCTCACTTTGCTTGCAGCTTAAGGTTATCTTTGTGAATTGTCTCCATGTCTGCACCACAAATCACAATACCGTAATAATTTGCTAGAGAACTATGGGCCACAAAAAGCTGGTGTCTTCATTTGCCACAGGTGCTACTGTGCATAATCCATTGCAAACAAATAAAATTGTGTTTTGTTGCATTCTTTTACCACATGTCAGGGTTGATATCCACCTTGGTTTTGACGCTAACTTTGCATCCACCATCCAAACCAAGGTATCCATCCATGGGTGCATTCAAATTGGCTTGCCAGGGTCCATCGGCAAATTGGATATCGATATGATGATTGGGTTTGTATGTGGTGGTAATCGTGCCTATTTCGACGCGTGTTTCATACTTGACTTCCAATTGACCATCCTTGGTGATGGATGGACGCACAATGTGGTTACTGCCCAATCGTTGCATCAAAGATAGTTTGGCATCGTTGTCCGTGTTGATGTCCAATTGAATACTGTTGGTATTGTCTTTGGCATATGCCAGACTGAGATCTCCCTTGGAGGATCCCAAATCGTAGGTTGGAGCGGCAATCACAGTCCCCCCAGCCGCATCAATAGTCTGAACGGCCTTGACTTTGGAAACGGAAAAGGAACCATCCTTGCCGGCCGATGCCTTCATTTGCAGCACGGTATCAGTAGGCGTGTCGCATTGGAAATCCAAATCCACCTTGTCGATATTGGTAACCGAGAATTGACCTCGTGCGGACAAGCCAAATCCTTTGACATTGCGTTTGACCATACCCCATACGGTTTCTTTAAAGGCGTCCACATCTTGCACCGTCACATCGATTCCTCCCTACGGTATCAGTAAAACCATACAGTACCGGTACCATAGAGTGGTGAAAGAAAAAAGCCCAATCAATGAGATTGATACCCAAGCATACCATATGTGTGACTTGGTACGCAACGGACCATGATTTATTGATCGACACTGATGGAACTTACAAAGACATCGTTGTCACCGATACTTCCCGAGGTCTTCCATTTGATCTGGGGTTCGATGCCACCCAACTTGCTAGTGCCAGCAGTGGCTGTATTCAAGCCAATCTACAAAATTTTAAAAGGTAAAGAAACAAAAGATATGGAAGATGATGGATAAGATAAGATTCATTCGCTTCATGGCTGGAACCAACCAACCAAACGTCCGAACCCAAAGTTTGACCGGCACTTACGGAAATCTCGGGTGCGCTGGTCCCGGCCAAGCATTGCTGAGCCAAGGCAGCCAGCAGGAGAGAGATAATCGACAGCTTCATATTGCAAACTGGATTGATTCCTACGAACCAACTTGTAGACAATGGAGGCTTGTGGTGTCGCTTTCCCTGGGAAGATAAGATGCCGAAATGGTATGGTATTGACGGGTGGCAGTTCGATGATTTGGGTTGGCACTTCGGTTTGATGGAGGGAGATCTTTGGTGAGTGTCGTCAGTCAGTGGGGTATCCCGGGAATCAGTTAGTCACTATCATAACTACCGCACCACGGTCGCCTCGCTCATCAGTTGATCAAGCGTACGTACCGGTAACCAGCTCGGAGTGGCAGAACGGCAGAACACCAACATGGAAACCCCTGGCTCCTGGCTAGCTACCTGGTAGCTGGTACTATTTTCAGATGCAAGCTAGATCCTCTCATATCCTGGCTAAGAAGTTCCTCAAGTAGTAGCTAGTAGTTATGTAGTTATGTAGTTATGTATTATGCATCATCATGTAATGATACCAAAGTTTTTCATACCATACAAAGCCATGTGCTGCTGTTGCTTTTGTTCTCTTGAAATTGTCTAGGCTTGCTGCTGCATGGTTGCACGCACGGCCCCCATGCTGGTGGCTGCTGCTGTTGTTTTATTAATCATAGGGTGCCGTGCAAGTCGACGTAACGTAACGTCGATCAACTTCTCGATCTGGAAAGGCTGGCGATCATTCTAACTGTGCAATGGCCACCTTCAGCTTCTCTGGTGTAATGGGATTCATCAGGGAGTTGTTTTTGTAGATACAATAGGAAGCTGCCCATCTCGTCCATAGTGACAAGGATGCGAGAGGAACAGATGGAGGATAGGAAGGCTTAGGCTTCAGCACAGGAGGGTGACCATTTGGAAATATGGCCCATGAAAGGCCCAATTGTCTCCTTCAGCTTCTCTGCTGTAAATGGCTTCATCAGAGTTTCATCCATTTGGTAGGTTTCCATCTCATCCTTAGTGATAACGTTCCCAGAGGAACAGATGAAGGGCAGGTTGCACAAACGGTGGTCATTGCGCACTTCAAGACACATCTCTCCACCGCTCATCTCGGGCATGTTGAAGTCCGAAAGGATCAAGCTGAACTTTTTAGGGTCTTGTCGCAGCTTGTCCAATCCCTCCATCCCTGACATTACAGTCTCTGCCTTGATGTTCAGCTTTGTCAAGAAATGCTTCAAAAGCATCAAGTTAAGCTTGGTATCGTCAACCACAAGGACGTAGTTTGTGTCCTCGACATCATCTGTATCCACAGAGGAGCTTGGAAGATCTTTGGATGGGGCGTCAACGTCTGCGGTGACGGGGAGGATGGTGAGGGGGCCGTCGCAGGAACTGTCGCTGGAGCTGTCCTTGTCTGTGACTTGGTACGCACCAAACCCTGGGTCCTTCTTGGGGGGCAGCGCGTCCAAAGAGAAAAGTGGTTTCACTTCAGATTTCTTGTCCACCAAGGAGAAAAGTGGTTTCACATCAGATTTCTGGTCCAGAGGTAGGATGGGTGTGGACAAGCAGGATTTCTCAGATTGCTGATCCAAGGAGAAAAGAGGAAAGAGGGCTGGAGGCGAAGGTAGAGGCGGTGGCGGAGGGTTCTGGTCACATGTGACGACCATCCAGAAGAGAGAACCCCTGTCAGCCTCAGAATACACACCGACTCCTCCTCCCATTTCCACCGCTAACCCTTTCACGATCGCTAGACCAAGTCCTGCACCTCGAGATCTGTCATCGTCACGGGTTTGCGAATAAGCATCAAACACAGTGGGGAGCTTTGAGTAAGGGATTCCCCTTCCTCTGTCAAGGCACGCCAAGACAATGTACTGATCATCTTCGAGGGTGCCGCACTTTGCCCAATGGCTCGCCTCTGCACCAAAGTAACTGTCAAATTGATCGAGGAAGGACAGGCTTTGAACTTGTTCGCGCGTTACCAGCATTGCCTTGAGCATAATTTCGCAACCAGCAGCGTATTTTGAAGCATTGGAGACGTAGTTGGTAAGGATACGCTGGACGTGGACCGGATCGGAGTATGCCTCGGGCAAGCTGAATCGGTCCGCGCAGGACAGCTTTCCACCCCCAGACTCAACTTTGTCCTGATACAATGTGTTGACTTCTTGTAGGGAGGCCCATACATCAAACTTCTTCTTGACATTGGTGACCTTGCCGCCCTGGATCTTGGACAGGTCGACCATGTCATTGAGCAGGATGCCCATGTGCTTGAGGGTCTCAGCCAACAAGGGAAGCTTATCCTTGTGTTCTTCGATGTTGCTTTGCATCATGCCGACAATCCCCAGCACGCCATGAAGAGGGTTGCGGATATCGTGTGCAATGGAAGCCGTGAACTGTCTCTGTTCCAACGCTTGACGAAAGACCTCTTGCTTGTTGTTCCATGTCTCCAGCAGTTGAGCACACAGGTCTTTGGTAGCGTCTCGGATATGGTTGAGGTCATTCAAACGGGTCGTTTCGAACACGGGAAAGAAGTCGGCTGGAAGAGGCTGGGTAAGATTCTCGGTCGAGCTTCGAGACATTTCTTTATCGGCCATTTCCGATATCAGCGACCGCAGCTTTTCCATAAAGTCCACCAAAGCTTGAATGCGCATTGACAGGTATGCAGCTGTACAGCCGGCCACTGAGGCAGCGACAAACAAGCCACCCACTCCGATGAGGAGAACAACAATGAGCCTGAGATCCCTCTCGTCCTCCAATTCTGTGGATCAAGTGCACACACAAAGAACGGAGCCAACAAGGCACGAGTCAGTTATCGGACGACGAGGAAAGGAGTATGGCAGTGACGAAGATTGCACAGTGAAGTGATACATACCCTTGGCAGATTCCTCCAGCACCAGCTGGGTATTGAACCGTTGGGCCTCGGCCGGCCCAGTGATGGAAAGCTGAGGCAGGAAGGCAAGGATCGTCAGGTTGAGATCAGGTCTCGAAAAGGTTTCGAAGGAGATAAAGTAATCAGCCCCTTCGAGTGTGGCCGAGACAATGAGAGGAGCCGGCACCTGCCCAATACTGCCGTAGGACTCCTCGATGTATTCATTGACTGCATTTGCCAAGGGGTTTTCCATTGTGGAAAGATTACCGGCCCGTTCCGCCTCATTGATCGATCCGTCCGGCATGGTGACGTTTTCCTTGTAGATGGCGGATCCGAGCGACGTGCCCAGGATGGTTCCCGAGGAACTTTCAATCAACGCGATGCTGAGGTTGGCATACCGTGCTGACCCTGCCAGGTCGGTGAGATACTCGTTCATGGACGTGAAGCGTACATTGGCAGCGGCCAGCCCTTCGCAAGTGCCATCTGGACCAAAGACTCCACCGACGACACTGGTGAGGGCCACGACATTGGCAGTCCAGACAAAAAAGTTGAGAGGCATCCATGTCAGGGGCCTCTGCGTGGCGTTTTCGGGCACGACACAGGGCGTTGCTTCTTGGAGCTTGACAATGGCCGGGGAATAAAGGTGAGGCCAGATGCTTGGACTGGGCTGATCTGGTTCCTCGTAAAGATCCTCGATACACCAGAGGGAGCTTGACAAGTTGCTTGCATTCCTGTAGTAGTAAAAGTCACAATCCATTGCCCTGTTTGGGATCCTTGACTTGGTTCCAAACCAGACCCAATTGTTTTCCTCTTCCGTGGAGTTAAAGCCAGCGATGACAACGTCTTCCACGACATCGTCCTCTATGTCTTCTAGCGGGTTCAAGAGCATCCAACCGAGTGAAGGTAGCATCCGATCGCCATGAAAACTGTTCGTTGCCATTCCCTCCATGAATCCAGTCTTTTCAACTGCTCTTGCAGCAGACCGAGCGACACCCTGCAAAACAAAGCCAATGGATGAAAGGAGGGTATCATTTTAGATCATCATTGAATGCAAATCAAGCCCATCCACACGCACAATCCAAGCACATTCAAACTTATTAATGCTCACCTCGGCATCGTCCACAACACCCTCGACATGGTTTTTGATTTGGTGGGAAATGTCCGTGATGAAGGACTCTCCCACCTCCTGAATCGTCTCAATATATTGGTCAAAGCACTGATTCACGGCACCTTCGCCATGATCGACGCTGGCAGCAATGGAATCCTGCTCAATGATAAACGTGCAGAGAAAGATCCCACACGCAATCACCAAGACCAACACGAGCTGGATGGATAAAACCGTACAGATGGACGCTTGCATTTTTCAAAAAGGACCAGATGGTGATTGGGGAGAAGTGCAGAGTAACTTGGTTGTTGGATCAGATTGTCGTTTTTTGTGTGCTCTTTTCGGATGAGCTCTATTTGATCAAGCTAGCTAGCTAGCTACGGTAGCTGCCAAGGTCTTGGGTGGTTTGGAGGTAGTGTATGATACCACCGGGTTGTAAAAGAGGTAGCATCAATAGCTCCTCAAACCAGCCGCAGGCAGCAATGGATACCGTACCAGGTAGCTTCGCATGAGCTTCTCATGGTCAACTGCCTGGGTGGGTGCCTCCGTGCCTGGGTGAGATACATGTAACGACATGGAATTGCCTTGGATGAGATACCTGTACCGGCGTGTACTGCCCAGCTGCCCAGGGGTACTAGTCTGTTCGCTTTTGCTGCTATCGACATAGGGCTGGCCCATCCAACCAGCTGCCAAAGAATGAGGCAGTAGAATGGTTCATTCAAGACATAGAGGTATTAATTAATAGTATACATGACATTGTACTACTAGAGTGGCTACTCGAGTTGTAGCCAGGATCGCTAACCAATGTTAGGTACTGGTTATGGTTACTGGTTGGTAACCAAAAGTTCTAGGTACTGGTTACCGGTTACTGGTTGGGTAACCAAAAGTTCTAGGTACTGGTTACCGGTTACTGGTTGGTAAACAAAACTTTTGGTTTAATAGTAATAACCAGTAACCACTGGTTAGTAACCAATTGCAAGTGGTTACCTTGAGGTCTGAACATGCAGCGCAAGACTTTTGTGTTGTTTGCCTCCCCCATGTCAATCCATCGCTGTTTCCTAGACATCCTTAGGATTTTGCAGCATTGGCAGCACGAATCTGCTCCTCTTCCTCTTTGGAGTAGTACTCCAGCTCCTCCAGCATCTCCATTGTTGATATCCTCTTCTGTCAGATCTGGTTCTCCTTCTTTGCGTGGCTTGTTGAGGATTTCACCTGTTCTCTGAAGAGTCTCTTCGTCCTGTTCTTGGCTTCCAGCAACCTTGCAACCGCCACGAGGTGCCTTGTGGTGCGCAGGAAGTGACGATTCTTGTACGTGAGAACCTTCATTTGAAATGTGAAGTCGCCCTGGTTTGCCTTTAGCCTATCGTTCACCATGTAGCTCCACTGAAGGTTCTCTCTTGATCCCCATTACTGTCGGGCAATGACAAGACGATGCAAGCAAGAGGATACAGAACGGGGTGGTCTCTCTTTCCACAGTTTCCCACATTCCATAACATCGAAGTTCTTGGCAATAAAGTCAATGTTCTTTATCCAATCCAAGTCCTTATGCCGATGCTGCGGACTTGATCTTTGGTAAGAGTTTCTGTTTCTGCTTTGTCAGTACAGACACAATGTCGAACTTGCTGTCCATCCAGGATTTTATAACCTGAGTCACCTTGTCCACTCCTTCCTGTGGTTGTGCTTGGACGGTTCACCGTTTCAGCAGTTCTTGCTTCTTCCTTCGCCGTTGTTCGAGCTTGGATAGCTTGTGAATCGGAACTTCTGGCTCCTCTTCCGCCTGGCGCCGCTCGCAGGAACAGGCTCTTCTCACTCATCATTTGGTCACACAAGGTTTCAATCGCCTGCCTCACTCCTTCATGGCAAGATCCGAACACCGGTGGCCACGTGCTTGTATTTTTCCTTGGCATATTCCTCGACGTGCTCACTCAAGGTCTCTCCTCGTCAAGGGCCGTTCCTTTGGTGAACGGTTCAGCATCATTGCCAGTAGACGGACTTGTTGAATTCCTTTTTCACGTCGCTCCATACTCGGGAAAACCATCTGCCAAACGGTCAACCAACTCTGCTGAGGAATCGTCAATGTCATGTGCTGGTGGGGGGTCCTTTTCATGCCACAGTGGTCAGAGAGCTCGGCACACAAAGGAAATCTCCTTCCTCTTTAGGGGCAGGATGATAGGGGGTGCCGTCATAGTGCCGTTTGGGGAAAGTAGGTCACCATCCCACTTGTCGTTCTCATTAGGGCTCATGTCGAGTCTTGTCTCTGGGACCCAACAATACTCTGGAACAAAATAAAAACGGCAGTTCTGAACACAAATAGTAAGTGTACGAAGTAGAACCAACAACGTCGGATTGAACCGCCATCAACAAAATATACATTGGATACTGGATGGCATGTGTTGGGAGAGCACGTAGTATTTTTCGTCAGAAAGCCTTTTGTTGCTCGGCTTTTTCCAGAAGTAGATGCCGAGGTTCCACCGTGCAATCACATGTCTCCATAATGGATTACCACCCACCGGCTCTTGTAGCATTGGCAGACCAATTTTCCTGGCAGAACGGCCTTCTTCAACCATCATCTCAACGAACTCTGCGAAACGGCCTTTGACTTCAACTCCATCAAGTCTTGGCACAAGTTTCACTCTGTTTTCGTAGCTTGTCTCCGGCCGGAAAGGTATCGACTGGTTGATGATTCTTCGTTCGAATCTTTCTCCCATTTGCATGTTCCAGGCACAATTGCATTTGATGCATACAGCAAACACCGTTGTGTCCACAGAGTAGGCGGCCAACAGCGAGAGCCGCTGCATTGTGTCATTCACGGCCTGGTAGAACATGGCCCTGGAGATACCCAACAATCCCACAATTTTGAGGATCTGAGTGACTGTTGGCTCTGCCTTCTTGCTGTTCCATAACACAAAGAGCAACTGCGATCTTGAAGTACTCTTTCCGCACTGGGTTGTAGAAAATATGGTGACCCCCAAGATCTCCTTATCGTTCGAATCCCAACCGTCGTGGCCAACCGTCATAAAGGGAACAGGTTTGCGGAACAGACGAAGATAGGCTTCGGAAGTTTCAGTGACAGCCATTTCCCCGCCGCAGAAAACTCAAACCAGTTTCTCGGCGCTTGTACGAAGAGCATGACGTCCCATAAGACCACAGTTCTTGACCTTCTTGAGAGTTTCGGCATGGGCCATACCAAACTGCCACATTTTCAAGTACTCGGACAATGGTGTGATCTGTCACCGCGCGTTCAGAGATGTTGTTGTTAGTGTAGAATCATTCTGCAGTTGCCTGAAAGTATCCAGTACCTTTCCAGACCCACCCTGACGGGCCATGTGAGAATTGATTCCCCGGGTGGGCTCTTCAATCTTGGCTTTCGGCTTGCCGGAGTACTACCGGTAACAGAAGAGTAGATACGGATTCATGGGAAGCAACGGCGGAAGCTGCGGCGGCCATAGCTGCTCGGGTTGGTCTTCCGGCAGCGGCAGGAACTCCTCGTGTAGGACCGGCAGGCTGGGGTGCCATGTCTCCCCATTTGTAGTGCTTTTTATGATGTTTGATGGCGGCATGAACTTCCTTGTGAACCTTTTTGACGTGACTCGATAGGTTCCCCGTTCCATCATAAACCATTTTCAAAGTCTTCTCCTTCTTCAAGTAGGACGGCATGAACAGACACTTGCGGAGAGGCTTCCCTTCGATCAATGCATGCATGCAGGCATGTAAGGACGTTTGTCTCCAATACTCTTCAACATCTTCTCTTTGGCCACCAAATCAATTCTCCAGCTCATCCCAACTATTGGGTTCCGAATCAAAACAACTCTAGCTATTTGCCAGAAAGCGAACGGCCTTCACCTGAGTAGTCTTGAAGTCATTGCGCAAGGGGAAAGTGAACAAAGACTTGGCTTGGCATAGCTAGAAGTCAACTGCTCCCTATCTTGTTCAATAGGATCCTCATGTGGATCGTCATCATCGTCCTCGTCCTCTTGGAAGTCTTGGTCCTGCTCGTCCTCTCGTCCTCGTCCTCGTTCTCGGGCTATCCTCAACCACATTGACTTCAACTACTTCGTCACTGGGGGGCCGTATATGTCTTCTTCGCGGAAGCTCCTCTTCTTTTTTCTTCTTCCAGGTCGTCGTTCAGTTGGTTGAACCAGTTGGCCTTCGACAAACTCGGCATCGGCTCGGTTTTCTTCGGAGAAGTGACCTGTGCTGTTCTCGCCATCGGCTATGCTCAGGGCGGCTCCAAAATCGTCCAATACCTTGACTCGGACATTACGAAGCTAGCTTGGACGGTAGCTTGGACGGTGGCTAGCTAGCTAGCTTGAACAGCTTGGACGTATGTTGGACGGCAACCAAACGAGTAACCGGTGGCAAGCTAGCTTGGACGAGCTAGCTAGCTAGCTTGGACGTGGCTTGGACGGTATGTGGACGGCAACCAACGAATAACCAGTAACCAAATGAGTAACCAAACGAGTAACCAAACGACATAGGTTGCCCCTATTGGTTATTGGTTGCGAATTTATGAGAGGAAACGGCAAGTTTCGAAAATCGAGTACGAAATGCGGTAACCCATCGTAACAGGTAACAGTCGTGTAACCGGTCGCAAAGTAACCAGTTCGATAACCGGTAACCGGTCGTAAAGTAACGGTAACCGGTCCAAAAGTAACCAGTCGAAAACGACCCGTTACCGGTTACCGGTTGAGTAACCGGTTATCGCGAGGTCCCGGTTGCCGGTTACCGGTTACGTAACCAAATCGAACAACCGGTAACCAAATGTCAAATAACCGGTAACCGAAAGAACTGGTTAGCGAACCCTTGTAGCTACTACTGTACATGTACTAGTATTTTAAAATAGTACAATCAAGACATCACAAATTTAATCACAACAGTGGAGCATGGAGCAGTAGATCTATTTTTATGGTTGCGTGCTCCCAAATGTCTGCATCATGATTACATCATTCTACAAACCACGTCACAGGTACTCGGGCTTATAATAATTAGTAGTGACGGATTGAGATTTATTCAGCATTTCCTTCCAAGTTAGAAATGGAAACATACATCGTCTCAAGTGGTCAGTGACGTTGCCTTTCCAAAGAACTCTGGGGAAAAGAACCACATGATTGTTCAGATTTTGTTCAAGAACGTACCGGTACTAGCTAGTATCTCAAGAGCTTGCTCATCAAGCTTATTTCGTCTCGTTTGGACCCACCATTCTTCGTGGGCCTGTTGTGTTCCATAGCTGTCCAATCGAGGCAATAGATGTAGTCGAAACCTTGAAGCCTTGACGATAGATGAGTTATGCCTCAAGGAATCATGGCCCAGATTAAAGTACAAGAGCTGTACTAGAAAGTACCAAATTGCCACATTGTCTCAATAGATGTCTCGATTGTCTCAATGATTGGAGGTCACCCCCTTTATTTCCTTTGGACCTGAGACAAGAACAGAAAAAGCCGGTTCTTGATTCCTCCTTCCGCCCCGCCCAGAAAAACAGAAAGAATGGTGTAGATCTCGCTCATCCGCACATGCTGTACTACTCTACGGTAACAGAGCTGTACCAGCTAGTCTGATTGGCAACTGTGATGCCGACCTGGACCCTTGCAAGGCAGCCTGCACCATTGGGGGTCGCACTCGAGCTGTAGAGTAGAAGACCTGGCTGAGTATGCGCAGCTTCCTTTCCTTGGGATAGTTTCTTCATTAGTTTTGAAACATCCAACAAAAGAACACGACAGCCTTGGGAGGCTCCATTCAAGTCAAATGCTTCAGCAAAGAACTATCCTGAATCCTGATTTGGTGCTGCAAGTGTTGCAACAGCCAGCCACCGCACCGTGACAATGACACCAGAGATTCAAGAGATTGCGGGTCATCTTGCTATGGGCTGAAGCTGCCTGCCAAGCTTGGAGTACATGTAGTTGAAGATTGAAGATACTGCTGTAAGAGAACCAGATAAGAGAATCATCTGCAGAGGATAAGGTTCCAGCATTACTACACAAACCGCAAGATGACCAAGTCACAGACACCAAGGAGACGGACGGCTCTCATCTTTTCCTTTCAAGTGCAGCCACCTTCTCTGAGCGCCCTTTCCTGCAGCACAGATAAGCTGTGCAGTCTGATCATTAGGTGGATTTTGCTTGTTGCCAATGTCAATGCAAGTGCTCTCAATGCATGCGATGTTGACTTTTGATGACACAAACGAGACAAGGAGTGCATGTGAGCCTTGGCGGGTCCAAGAGAATGGGGCAAGTGGAGAAGAAGAGTTTTCTCACCAGTACCGGTAACCCCCAAATAACTGAGAGTGGGCCTGTTCTCACAAGTGCAACAAAATGTATGAGGACGTGGGCACATGAACTGTTCAACGTCCCTCTCTCTGGATGTAAACCTACCTTCTCTCCATGCAGCACTCAGAACTGCAGCGGTAATGGATCCACTGTGTAGCCCAAATTAATCCCAAAATGGCAGATTAAGTTCAGTTAGTTCAGCAATCCTGAAGACTGGTGTGGTACACGTGTACCGGTACAGAAACTGTGCATAAATCTTTCTTAAAATATCAATTAAAACATTACATAAATATGAGTTTTGGGAGCGTTAAGAGCAACTCAAACCACGAAAGTTTAAAAGTGCTCCCAAGTCCCGATGGGTACTGTACTGATACCCGTACCAGTACTGGTACAGCGGTACCAGCACGCGATGGCCCGCAGGTGCTGCTCACATCTTATTCACAGCTCGCCTCACATTTTTTGCCCAAGTAGACGTCGTGATGATTGCTTGCCTGACCCCAGACAACCGTCAACGATGCACTCATCTGGAAGTTGAATTCGGAGTTCGGAGGAGGATGGATCCCGGTAAACATGAGAAACAAGCTACGTAGCTACCAAGCTAGCTAGCAATCTATCCCGTCGTCATTGAACTTCTGGAGCATTTCCGCAACAACCTCTTCTCCCCTCAACACCCACTCTTCTCGATTCTTTTGCGCATAATCAAGATATTCTCCCTGCAACCATCGAGGAAAATTAGTTGGAAGTCAGATAAAGATAAGATGGGATACATACTTGTAGTGCCATGTCCTCGTATCGTGGGAACTTACAGAGCTGACTCCAAACACACCGCATTCCTTGAGCTTCTTGGCAAGAGGGATAACTGGGTCAACATTAAAGACGGGATATATTGAGATACTTTTGTTCACTGGTCAACAGTCAAACAAGCAGAGCAAATGATGAATTCTTACTGTAAAAGTCAAAGAAGCCAATTTCGCCCTTGTACCAGTTCACAGAAGGGTCACTGTGGCAGCGAAAGAGATCGTTTCGTTAGCATGTCCATGGACACAGATCAATCCATTTCAAAGTTGCCTAATGTGTGCACTCACCTTTCAGCGCGGCCAGCCTTGTATGCGCCATAGCACTCAAAGAAGAAATTCTCGTTCCATTTGCGGTAAACATTCCAGTGTTGCATGGTGTGGGAAACGTCAGAAGCTTGAATGAGATGCTCAATGACAATTGTAGCCTTCCTGTTCACCGAATTCTTCTCATTGTCGCTAGCCATGCTGGTTGAATCTTTGAAGGCCTTGTCCCAGCGACCGTTCCTCAGCTCTTTCAAGCCCTTGTCCACAATGTCGGTTGCCATGACAGAGTTGACCACCAGCTGGCGGAAGCGAATCACCTCGTCCTTACTGGAACAAATGGTCGAGCGCAAGGCTTCAAACTTTGGATCCATTAGCAAGTCCCAGCTCAATTGCAACGAGTTCTGCTCGGCTGGGCTGCGGTTTTTGTAGCGCCTGCAAACTGTGGCATTCTCTTTGATAAGCTGCGATTCATTGCATGAAGTGAACAACAGGTTAGCAATTTACAGGTCAAGCTACAGAAGTTCAGTCAGTACACGACGTTTGCTAACCTGAGAATTGGGGACTCCCACGTGGTCAACGTCGTGAATCAAGGCCGACAAGGCGCAAGAGAACTGAGTTAAAGGATCGCTTGTGATGCCCTGAGTAGAGTAATTGGTTTGAGAGATCACTGTGTGAGTTCTTCTTGATATTCCGGGCATGTCCAAAACCTTTTCCACTTACATAAGTGTGATCGTGGAGAGCATCATGGCTGTCGGTTGACCAATCCGAAGGAGCGACAATTCGGGACATCAATTTGGTAACGCTCTGAAGAACGTGGGAAGCCTTTTCATTGCAAAACAGTAGGAATGCCAGGTCAGAGTTGGGCCCAGTTAAGTGCCGTGAGGGTTTCGATAACTCCATTGATTGAAACTTACATGCTCGAAGCAGTGGAAAGAATTGTTGCGATACATGCTTGCAAGCGTCTCAACGTAGGATCGTAGCTGCTCCACGACTTTTTCGGGGAGTTCGACCTGGCCGGGGTCTCTCTGAAACTTCGCAATGGTGCTATCGTAGTCTGGGAGGGTGATGATCTCCTTCACTTCTTCTAGAAAGGTCTCCTGTTTGACCTCGGACATGATCTGTGTGATTTGCGCATTCGAAATAGTCACAACAGGCCTGCCCGCAGCAGCGAGAGCCTCCCTTCTCGCGACCACTTGCTTCAAGAGCCCAAGGAGAGTTTCCACATTCCAGCTGATGAGACGCTCGGTTCTCTCGGTCGTATCCCCAGCGGCATCCCAGGCAGAAGGAAGACCAGCGTCGCTACTTCCGACGCTCTTTGAGTTCCTGGTCAGATGCTTCTTGACAAGGTACGTCTCCATAACACCCTTCCCCTTGGCAGATACCTTGCCCTCTCGGGGCTCCAGCCAGTGTTCTTTGCCAGATTTCCTCACCTCGTCAGCGGCCTCTTTTGAAAGATGGACCCTGTTGCGAATACCGGTAGACTCAATGCGAGAGCAAGTGTTCATAGTGTCGCCAAAAAGTTGGAACCTGGCCCGTTCCCTGTGAGATGAAAACATTGGTTGCGTTAGACTTTTCGATCTGCACGCCTGTACTCGACCATTGCTGAAGTCAGTTCTTACCCGCGAAGAACTCCCGCGGTGACCGGTCCTGTATGGACACCGACGCGAAGAGCCAAATCGCTTGTGTCTGGTCCCAGCGACAGTTCCAGCGTCTTGACAACTCGCGCCATGACGGAGATGATGTCGTGGCCAAATCGAACCTGCAATGTAGAAAAGAAGAACAGCTGATCAGCTTTGCACCTGTAGCAAGATGAGCCTTAACGTGTGCATGGTGCAAACTCACCATGACAGCGGTGTGATCCCTCCTTGGCTCTGGGATCCCGGTGGCGGCCACGTAGCAATCCCCGACGGTCTCCACTTTGAACACTCTTCGTCTGGCGAAAACCAATGGTTAGTACGGACAAGAGCATGATGTGATGTCAACAGAAAATACAATGAATCCGCCACATACCTGTGGGCGACCTCATCAAAGTGCTTGTATACCTGCATATATGTTGCACAAGGAAGCAAGGACATCCCTTGGTCAGTAGCGAACCATGCGAAGGAACAGCAACAGCTAACGCTCCGAACTTACAGTTTCGAGCAAAGTGAATACCTGAGATGGCTCTCGTACAGAGCTCCACGAAGTAAAGCCGCTAATGTCAGCAATAAGGATGGTCGTTTCGAGGTAGAGTTCGGCCAGTGGCTTGTCAGTGGACATCCCATCACTTTGTCCCGCCACAAAAGATCTGAGATTGGCTTTGCCGCGAGCGGCTCCAATTGTGCCTGCATTCTGTTCAATGACTTGATCACGCATCTTGCCTGGAAACAATTGTGTCACAATCGCATTGGACTTGGCTGCATTGATGACAATCTTTTCATTACGACGTTGGACCAACAAGTCGTAAACATAGAACACAATGGCAACACAGACAAAGGTAACGGCCACAATAGCCGCATAGACTTCGGGGGTGTTGGTGTCATAAGCCTGCTCAAACTTGGTACTGGGGTAGATGCTCAACGTGTACAAGCAATGACCAGGGGCAGTGTAAGCCTCAGGATTGTCGTGAAGAGTCATGTCGACCACAACCTCAAAGTCACTGTACTTCTCTTCATGACGGTCGACGCTTCCCAAGTAGATTGCATCCCGTCCCTGAAGTTCATAGGTAAACTCTTGGCCACAACTATTGCGAACGACCACAACGATCCCATCCACTCCATCGGGGAGCAGATTTCGACTGGAGCGGTCCAGAGCTACAGCTCCCGTCACAATTCCAACCACATCCGAGTCTGGATCGGCAATGCGACGATGAATGGGATAAAAGTAAAACGTATGCGGGTGCTCCTTTTCTCCTTCGGGGAGAGGATCATGCATGGCATCGTGGCCTTCCTTGGACAAGATGGCTCCCACAGCAGTCGTATAAGTCGTGGACTTGGTCGTGAGGGTTTCAGTCTTGAGACGACGAACACTTTCCATGACAGCTCCAAAGTGAGGGACACTGCCCAAGTTCCAATTGACGTTGCGGTAGTTTCTTGGGGGCGGGGTATTGACCTGAATAGGGAAGTAGGTCTCACGCTCCTTATCTTTCACAAGACCATCGGGAGAGACGCCGGAAATAAAGTCCTTGTAATCTTCTTCAATCAGGTTATCCAAGCTCCCATATGTAAGCATGTGCGACTCCTTGATCAGCTCTTCGTAGAAGGTACCCACAAACTCGGGATAAGCATCTACATCTTCAAAGTCCACAATAGGGATGAAGGAGGAGATTTCAGAGTTGGACATTCGGAGAAAGTTGGCGCCATATTCCTCAAAGAAGGGGATGCGAACAAACGGCCATGTTTGATTGGTGGATTCAGCGGCCAACGACACGGAACTGGCATAGGCGTGAAGGGAATCCACAATGGCCCGACGCTGGACAACGGCAGCATCCGCTACCGAGCGACTGAATTGGTCGTACTGGAAGTGAGAAGGACAAAGGGAAGGGGGGATGTGTTAGGGTGGTTATGACATACAGAGTGAATGGTAAAGAGCGTGTATGTGCAAAGTGTAAAGCGCACAACACTCACCGCCGTTTCGAAGCTCTGCTTCTGTTCTCGCCGGAGAAGCTGGTAGGTGGTGAGCGTCACAGCGAGAGCCGTGAGGAGAAGCACCACCGTAACGACAATACGCCAGAGTCGCAACCGATGCGTATCCGAGCTAGTGGCCTTCTCCACTTCCTTCACTTCATCACGACTTTCCTCCGAATTGTCGCCAGGGTTCGAGGTGACGTCGTAATCATCGTCATCGTGAAAGGAGCTACTAGCGATGGATCCTTCTTCCAAGTCCTTGGATTCTTCCATCGTTGCTTCGGCGATCTTGGACGTCATGGTGCGTGTTTTTAGTTATGTTCTGTTCAAACTGGGTTTACTGCTTTTGGTCGAGTTGAGTTGAGTAAACGTAGCTGTGAATGTTGATTTTGAGGCTCGTTGCAAAAATTGTGAGCTTGATCAGTAATCGGCCTGAGCCATCAGAAACATGTTTTTGCTCACTGTGGTCAGCTTGGGGCTTCTCAAAAGACTTAGTGACTGTTTTTGGTAGAGTTCCTGGTACCTGGTATTAATAGTTCCTTGTATGTTGTATGCTACTCGAGTCTCTAGCTAGCTAGCTAGTATGTCATACTAGCTAGCTAGTAATACTATCCAATACTATTAATAGTATCTAGCTGTTAATAGGCTGGAGGCAGTTCGTGGTCTGCTCGCGGTTCGCGCTAGCGCTTCACAGAAAAAATCCAGAATCCAGAAAGACCAAAGACCAAGGCACAGTCATAATATATTATGTTTCGGAATTTACCTCGAATGGTGATGACTTAAGGAGGTACCACCCGCTTTTACTCCCGAGTTTGTTTTGGTCAGTCCACAGTGGATACGTAAAATAGACATCCATGTTGAAGTGTACTCCATGGCCACGTACTTTCCCTCATGCGATTGTAGCTAGTTTGCCGCCAGATGGAATCCTTCTTTTGTGGAATTCTTTATTTTAGCTGGCGACCATGGCCAATTTGTTCTCCATAAAGTAAACAACGGCAAGATATGGATGATGCATCAGGAGAGGAAGGAACTGAAACCTCTACAGACAACCCACAAATTGTAACTCCGGCAGTGGTAGGAGGAGATGATTCAACTCCGGTATTGAGAGAAAGTCGCCGTCAGAGAGGAGTAAACCAATTTTGCCTTGTTTTTCCATCAGTGAGAACAAGGCAACAAGCAACTATCAGAGAGAAATCAACAAGTTAGCAGCAGGCAACAGGAAGGACATTACATCGAAGTTGCCTCGCTGGGACCATTCCAAGTTGAACATGGGAGCACCGAAGAGGAGGGAACAGCCTCAACCAACTCCCTCTCCAATAATCGACAATGTAGCCACTGCCCTTTCTCCACTTGCTGTTCCGGAGGATGACAACAAAAGAGGCCACCAACACCTCGAAGACTCATCCTGGAACACAAAGGATTATCTGATTTAGTGAATGGCAACACCCGATGATATACATGCCGACAAGCTAGTGTCGAACTTACATTCAATACCACCTGTGTCACATCCATGGGCCAGTTGAGCTGTGGTAACAAAGAATGCAAGTCTTATGGCCAGTTGAAGTGTTCCGAAGTGTCACGAACCACTCTTCCGAAGAAGTCCGCACATGTCACCAACCTTGACTACTCATTGAACGTGCAGTTTGTGTTAGCCTTTGTGTGGTCGGGTGATGGAGGAGTGGAAGCACAGCGAACACTTGCAATGTTGAACTTACCACATTCCCTAGGACGTTAGGTGGCTGCTTCCAGGACATGTCGAAGATGATGAGAGAACAACGCATGGTTGCTGGAAACTGCTGGAACCAAATCACCTCGGCCTTGGAAATGGAAAGCAGGGTTCCAATGTTGATTTGCTCTTTGTCCAGAATCAACTGGTAACTCAAAGCCGAATTACAAAAAGCATACATGAGACTGTTGCTCCCATCGGCAAGGACAAAGCAAACAAGGTCAGCAGGCAGAGCTCCAAAGGTACGCTGCACATTGAAACAGTCCACAACAAGCAACTGCTCAGGGAAATAGATAGTGGAATCCTCGTCATCTCTCTTGGTATTACTGATTGCATCCTTCCAATCTCGCGACCTCTCAAATTTTCCATCTTCCGTCTTCCTGAATGCAGGTGTGTGCTGGTGGCTGAAAGCCAAGCTGGCAACAAAGTCAGGAGATGCCTCTCCGTGTGCTCGACAACAACCATGGAGGTTACCGGCATCTTGTTCGATGAAATGGACGTTTTATTATCTTCTATTATCCTACGGTCCATTTGCCCGTGAAATGAGTACCATGGATTGGCGTCCCAACAACATGGGGAATGAAGATTCCTATCCGGCTTGCTCTGCTTGTCGATGCTTTCGCGATGATTCGGACTCCACCACAACAACAAACTGCCTTTTTCGACAACAGACAATGATGTACGTTGTGGTGCTCGATCATGCCCTTCCGGTGGACCAAGGAGGGTATGGACATAGCGGATGGAAGCTATGCTTGTGCTCTACAGGACGGCATTGGGGTGGACAATTGCAGAGGGGTGTAGCGGGTAAGTGCCATCATCGAAGTTAACAGACTTTTTTCGATACCCCAAACTACACACATCTCTGTTCTCGTTAAAGGTACAGCCTTCTACCCCAAGGCAATTAACAGCCATGGTTTGGAACACACACATCCACTGCACGGGTCTCTACATGGCCGGTGAGTCTAACTGCAGCGGCATGGAGCTAACGGCATCGGATCATTGTCGGTGGATAGAATAGGCTCGATAAAGTCTGAAATAAGACGAGAGTTTTCCGGGTTACCTCCCGCTGACGTGCAGACCTGGTGGTACCTCCTTAATTAAAGAATCAAGATTTAAAAGAGCATACAACTGTACCGCGAAGAGTGATGACTTCAAGATCAAGATTTAAGATGGAATTCACGGGTCATCGAATGCTAGGTGCTGAACATGTTTAGGGTAGAAAAGACTTCGTCAAGTTACGTACATGTACTCCGAATACAGATTATTGACTTAATACTCAGTCCTGATACTGGTAATCTTACACTTTCACGATCCCCCAACTCCCCTACAGTACTCCTTGAGAATGTTTTGGGACTCATCACCCATGTGTGGAGTCAAAATCAGCAATAGTCCACGTGATCCTACAAAGAGTCGAGTCCCTAGTAGTGTGACTGCAATTTGTACTACCAGTAGACTAGTGCACGACGAAACCGCCAAAGCCGGATGGTCATTAGAAAAGTTGGGAGGCGGGGTTTTATAATTTTCCTACTGTAAAAGAATTGGCGAACTATAATAGACCTATACATAGATCTCGAGTTCTCCGGTGGTACAGTCGTACGTTTCGGCACCAGTATGGAGGTTGGATGGCGTATATCCGAAACAGGGGATTTAACAGCCTGTTTAATAATGGCTGTAATAATCGCAATGTGTATTTAGCTGAATCATTAACCACCGCAGCTGTTAATAGGTCAGTCGCGGATATGAGAACTGGACACCAGTTCAAGATCACTGTAATATCGTACAATATGTCATACAGTACCAAAGCCTCACACCTCGCAGTACCGGATTCCCAGTGATGACCATCCGACCCTCTGACCTGCCTTTGGGAACCGTGTCTTTTAAAATTAAGAAGCCCGTCCGTGCAAATCCGAAGCAAGGGATTTATGACAGACTTGACCAAAGAGAATTGCACTGACCTGGGCAAATGGAGCTGGCTGGCTACCGGTACCGGTACATAGCTGCCACATGTAGATGTACGCAAAGCAGCACTGCAAATTACATGTATTGTCTAGATCTAATCTGGAGGATTGAAACCAAAGCCTGCAGGTTAGTCTAGTTTGTTCTCACGGCTGATTTGCCAAGTCGTCAGCCAAAGGTCTACTGTACTGTTGTACTACTGGTGGAGCTCGATACGTGCAGCGAACCCCTTTTCTTGGTGGCGAGATACTAGTATTTTCTTTTATAGTAGATCGGGATAGTTAAGTTGAACATGAAAAGAGTTGGACAGCCTTGGGAGGCTCCATTCAAGTCCGAACTTGTAGAATACTAGCTATCCTGCTGTGCAAGTAAGTGTTGCATCAACAAGTACTGAGTACAAATACGGACCGTGACCCGTGACCCCAGAGGTTCACGAGATATCCGGTCACCTTGCTTGAAGCTGCCAAGCTTGGGAGTAACTGGAGCTTTAAAAAAAGATACTTCGTACTGTAGGAGAGCCAGATACAAGAACCAAATGGGAGGGAGAGGACTGCGAGTTGCATAGTCCAATTAATTGTCAACTGGCTCGTTACTTTAATTACGGTGGCGTTGGCTGAAACATTTCTTTTGGGATGGGAAAATAAGCGTAAGGCTTGATAATTTCAATTAGGGTTAGAGCTTAGTTTTCTAGTCCCAAGCACAGATTTTGCCTTGATCCCTAATGAGTCAAGTCCGCGGACGGAGTGACGAGTCGAGTCGAGTCAGTCGAGTCGAGTCGAGTTCCCAAAAAGATGTGAGGCAACCGCGATGGTGACAAAGTTCAACCCCGAAGAAAGCGTTCCGGTGAGAGTAGTACGTTGCCGTACCGGTACTGTAGCTTACATACATGTACTACCTGCCAGAGAGCCGCGGACTAGCTGATCGAGGAAGGAGCTTCATAATATCTATTGCATTGCGTATTGATGTTGGCCTTTTAGTTAGCCTGCGAGGATCAACACGTACAAGGGCCGTGGAGAAGTTGCCTCTACATAGCGAGAAGAGATCATGTTACCGGTATGGTGGTGGTACTGATCTCATTCGAGGATATCCCCGTCGACTTTTCGCGCGTTGTTTCGCTACGGGCTTCACTGGCATGAGGATCACTTTTGCGTTTGTGAAACCATCAGAATTACACCCAGGCTTTGCTTTCAAGAGGCAACTGGATACTGGAACAAAAGCAAGGAAATTTCAGACAGAGCTCGAGACTTTCTTGTCTTCGCCAACCTCCGAAATGGAGCCACCTTTTGGGCAAGGTCATCGGTAGCTCTATTCTAAAAAATGCAAGGCTCCACACATGCTAACACAGTTCTTGCGAGACTGGGCTGTGTCGCAGAGACGAACTCAAGAACTCAAGGTTGGCCGCCAAGCCTGGTGAATGGTTGTCAGTTTTCGGATCTCACTCCAAGGTCCATTCAGGATCAATCTCCTATACTATTGGTGTCCGCTCCTTCTGGACTTTGCAAGCAAGAAAGCAAACAAGGAGTTGAACTGTGGGAATGCACCGACTGAAATCTGCCGAGGAGCGAATTCAATATGCTTGAAAACGTGGAAATATATACAGTATGGTAACATGACAACATCCGCTCTGGTCTGCAGTATTTCATCAACGCAACAATCTGCGCAACAGGAAATCACACACCGAATGCAGCAACCTGTTCCCCGATGATATTCGAAACAATCAAAGGATGTCTGAAAGGGAGTGCATTTTGAGTTGGCTTGGGAAAAACTCAATTTGGCTGTACAGAAATCTGCATTTGAACTGTACTGCCGTTTCTTTATTTCCACCATGGTTGCAAGAAGGTCGATTCTTTGACAATGGACTGAATTGTGTCATCTCTGCCGAATTGAATTCTTGGTTTTACTTCTTCGTGCTGCAAGGATATAAATTCCTTTTTGCAGCAGGCCCAAGTCAATTGATTGAGCATTCATTCATTTTCAGACTTTTGACAACAAACCTCCGAAAAACCTACCCGACGAAAAAAGGCAGTGCTTCTTTACACCTTCGCGTCTGTCTTTTCACATGGGTTCGAAAGAGACTTGGGCCGATTATGGGTTCCACCACCACCAACAACAACGATTATGGAGCAAGGAGTGCGTTCCGTGACTTGACGCAGCAAAGAGCGAGCTACAATTCATCGTCACACAGTGTGCAGTGTCAACCATGTGACATTGCCATTGGCAACCCTTGGAAACGGCATTTTTGTTGGACTAGTATGCGTCTCTGTGGTACTTGACGCTGCAAAGAAGGACAAGTGACTTGACGCAGCAAAGAGCGAGCCACAATTCATTTTCATACACTAGGCAGTGTCAACGATGTGCCATTGCCATTGGCAAGCTATGGAAACGGCGCTTTTCACTCCCTGTGGTACGGTACCCACTAGACGACATTCTCGAAGTGGCTGCGTGGCGTTCGGCACTACACTACCTATTACATGTATTTTACACAACATTGCCTCGAAGGAGGCAACCGAGGATGAGTTTCCCTAAAAGAGTGATACGGTTTGGACCTAGTGCTAGATTATGCGTTTTGCTACTCAGAGAGGGGAATTGCTCCAAAGAGGGCAATTGCAGAATTGATTTCCCATTTTGCCTGGCTGGCCCACCAACAAGCGCTTGGCGAGTGTCAACCGAGTCTTCTTACGACGTTGGTAGGTAGCAGCCGATGCAACAACCAACAAGGCGAGTTCATACCGGCGTCTGTTTCACTTCCTGCTTAGAAAAGCTCAAAGCCATCGTCGTCATTGTTCATTATTGTGTCTTCGTCGTGTAAGACGCTGTCATGAGGCATTAGTTCGTCCATGCTGTCCTTGCGCTTTAGGTGGATCTTAACAGGAACGGGGAGTGGTGTTGATACCTTGACATAGGGAGTGTCTGTTACACCATCATACCCTACTTCTTGGAGTGATGCCCGCACCTTTCGCATACATCGTAGAGCATTTTCAGATAGAGAACAATCCAGACACCCCCCTGATGTGATAGTGTAAGGAATCACTTCGTCCAAGAATAGCATCCCCTTTACCAGCAAGTGTGCGGTGTCATCACTCAGAATGCGCAGTGAAAACGTTTGCCGACCCAAGACAGGAATTCCAATGGCTTTCTCGTAGGTGGCGCCAATGGGAGGTCGATTGGGGTTGAGAAAGGCAACAGCCTCAACTCCTTGTCGCAGGGAGCTACCTACTAGGAAAGCAAGCAATAGCAGGGTAGTAGGGCTCTTCATGTTGGTTTTGATTCTGTTCTTTTTGGATATTGTGTTCTGTTCATGCCAGAAGAGAAACAAGTTTTAAATGCAACCCATCAACGCCTATAACCAGCGGGCGGGCAGTGACATTGTTCTTCTGATGAGATGTTCTGTTGCCGTTGACAAGCCGACAACATCATGTACAGCCCAATGTTTCCGCGGACCGGTTCAATCTTGTTCCGAAGTGCCCCAACCTTATGCATAGTAAGCGCCTACGCTTGCCTTGGAACCTCACTTGACCTTTACGTTATGTTACGGTACCTGGACGGTAGACTACGTGCCTTTTTCTTTAAAAAAAAAATATCGCAGAGCGAGGCTGGCTAGCCAGTCTACATGATGTAGCCAGATTTTGCTTATGATACAAAGGCGGCCCTGGATTGGCTTGTGCCACCAACCATGGAAAACACTCCTGGATGCGACTGGTGGTGGTTCTTCCTTTTCCGAAGCCATCTTCTTTGAATGCGAGGCCATGCAATTTGTCAGCCACCAGCTGCAGGTATGCAACCGACCGCCCAAAACAAACCTAGCTAGCCCCTACATTAGCCTCGCTCACTTTACAACTCGACCACCCTGCAACCATAGCAAGCATAAAGCCAACTCAGGCTCACTCCAACTGCCAGGACTGTTGCACCACATGAGCTGCAAAGCTAAGCCTGGGCTGAACACTCTCTCCGCGGCTATCGGGATGCCAATCGACAGCTTTCATGGGACCAAATGGCCACCTGTAGAGCATCCCATTGGCAAGATCCCAGCCCATTGGCAAGATCCTGGCAAAGATTTCCTGGGCAGCCATTCAGCCCCAAGAGAAACTCAACCACCAAGCAACCCTTCTTCAATATTCCAGCCACGAACCCGTTGGGTTACTACAGTAATGAAGCGCCTAGCTAGCTAGCTACCGTATAACAGTAGAGATACTTACTACGTGGGACCAGATGTTGTTTGCTGCTACCAGAAATTGACCAGCTTGGCCGAAGACGGTGCCAATGCCATACCACGGTACATGTACACTACCGGAGTCTGGAGTGCAAGCAACCTCGACCGAACACCAGCAGAAGTGAAAAGAGTTTTCGTTCTCGTCATTTCTGCTTTTTATTTGTTAAGGCTTCAAAGGTGACATGGATACAATGACTCTGACGTTTCAGAGCCGTAGTATGATTGTTCGGTTCTTGTGTGCTCCAGGAGCTGAAAGCTGAGTCAGAAGTCAGAAGCACTGGATGGAGCAACCGAGGCAATACAACTCTGTCATGGATATGGGCCAATCATTCTAAACGTGCTACGTGGCTTTTCTTGTTGCTTATGCGCCCTCAAGAGGAGCACCTCTCAAAAGCATATGGACCCGCCACCAAAGCGCTGCTGATCCTCTGCGGGAATCAATCCTCGTCACCATCATCGCCGACTATCATCGTCACCGTCATCGCCGATCTCCGACAGAAGCAATGCAATGCAACACAGCCATCACGTCGATTTTCTCCCTCTTACGCACACGTTGTGCTTACAATTTTTGCCTAAACCAATTGAAAGCAACATTAATAGTCGTTCAAAGAAGTCAGAGCACAGCAGGTTATTCTCCACATATTTCTTACCAACACTCCCTTTCAAAACTCTGTCAGTTAGTATTTTTAACCCAAGCAACAATGCAGTTTTTCAAGAAATCATGGTACCTTCTGTTCATGCTCCTTGCGCTCGGAGTTAAGAGCACCCTTGGAGCGTTTGGTGTGGCTCCTCCAATTGGAGCCAAGTACGAGAAAAGCGTTGGAATTCCTGTCCTCGGGAAACAAGTCTTCTCCCTGCAAATCCTCAGTGACAGCACGGCTCATCTTGTGGTTCGAGGGATGTTGATTCTTGATGAAATTGTCCCCTACAAAGTGACCTCAAGGGGCCGCCTGAATTGTAGCCTGAGTGACAAAGCTCTGCAGTGTCTGCGAAAGGTACGGGCATCACTTCAAGAAGTTGGATATGATAGTGTCACAGATACCCCCTATGTCAAGGTCAGGACACCACTCCCTGCTGCTGTAAAGATTCATCTGAAGCGACAAAATGCTGCGGAAGTCTCCGATGAAGAAAAAATTCTTAACATCAAAGAGGAAGCCTTCTCCTCTTGCTAGCTGTGGTTCCCAAAATCTCCGTTTTCTTTCTCCTTTATGTTTGGAGAATTGAAATTGGCTAGGATGCAGCCGCGTTGAGTCAACAATAGCGTGAGGGTTGATTTTTGGTGGGTTGGTCCGAAGGTTTTCTTTTTGGAGACGTTGCTTCCAGCAGCAGCAACAACAACAGCAACAACCGTAAATGTGTACATTAACCATGGATGGGGAATGGCAAAAGAGTCAGCGACGTCAGGCAGCAAGTATTACGATGGCAAGCTATATAGGAGGTCCCACCTACGCAAGAGCAGCAGAAAACGCAACAACAAAAGATTCATAAACTCAACTACATAGAACATGCGTTTTCCTCATCGGGTCTCCATCTGTTGTCATTTTAGTTGTCTGATCCTCTCGCTTGTAAGGTGGACTGTGCCGGCATCGGTTTCTTGGTTTTTCACTGCGAGTACATGGCTTTCACCCAGCACTAACTAGGAGTGTTTCGTCTCCGTGTCATTGCTTTCCACTTCCTCTAAGCATAGGCATCCACATTCTGATGTCGCCTCTGATGAAACAGAGCGATCTTGCCAGGCATACGGAGCTATCAAAACTACAGTATAGATGTCTGTTGAGTGTTGAGTGGGGCGGAGCCGTTGTTATGCGAGCAGCCACGCTTCCTACTGGCATGGCTATTTCCTTTCACGAAATTATAATAGTGGAGATCCTGAGAAGGCCAGGTGAACGAAAGTGGCCAAAGACACTCAAAGGAAACCTCCTCTCTTACAACTCCTACATAGATGGTGTGGCCATACCTGGCTGGACTAAAGCAGCAATGACATGTCCCAAAGCAAGACAAGAGCGAACGAGGCGATTATTCAGACTACGACCAAGAATCTTTCCTTCTCAGCGAGCAGTTCTTTACATTCTGCTCCCACCGAGAGCCACAACCGAGGCCGCCGCCATAGCCCAAGCCCCAAGAGCCACAGTAGCGGTGCAGCCAGTGCTACAATGATGAGATGCTCTCCTCATACAAGCATCTAAGTTAAACTAGCTGTGATACCACAAAAATGTTGTTCTGTATATTACAATGGATGTTTGGCTATGAAGTATGCAATGGATGCGGCCAGCTACAGTTGGCTGCTGACTTGTATCGAAGTTCATTGTGTGTTGGAGCGGGTGCACGCTACTAGGCATGCACCGTGTGCACTGAGTTGACAAGGAGCTTCTGGAGTTAAAAAAATGAAGACGAAGAGATTGAATCGAAGCTCCACACATTTGGTACCGGCCTCCCCGGTCGGCAACTTTGCGCGTGGATGGATGGAAGGTGCACCCATTTATGCTGCTGGAGCCAGCGTTAAAAGTTGCTGTTCGTGTAAAAGCAATGTCGTTGTGAAAAGAAAAACAATGTCCTCTCCATCAAAGAGCATCTTGTCTCCCTCATGTCTCGCTCTTGCGTGTTCACTGTACTCCATCAGGTCGTTGAGCAGAGACAAGAAGCCATTCACAGCCACAAAGTTGCAATCGATTGAATAGAGGAATGCCATGTTGTTGCAAATAGCCAGCAACTGGAGGAAATGCTCTGAGCCATTTCGTTCTGGCGAGTCCATGCTTGCATAGTCCCAAGATGAGTTTTCGTGCATCTTGAAGGCATTCTCATACATTTGCAGAGCCCTTGGAAGGTACAAAGCGGCTTGTGGGTCACTGATCTGGTGATACTGGAGAGCCACCGAATGATGGAACAAGGCTGCGTTGTACATTACTGTCATGAAGACAATTTCCAAATCTTCTTCAGAGGCGCAATCTTCGTGAAAAGGGAGCAAATGGAAGGGCCTCACGTAAAAGGGAAAGAGTGCGCCGAATTCATTCATTTCTTCTTCGGACAAGGAAGCCCGTTTGACTGCACGGCAGATGTATTTTGGGCTTTGGTGGCAGTGTGCCGAACCTGAGAGGCAGCTGATCGGCCCCGTCATCTTCGAGCGAAGAAGTTCAATAGTATCTTTCATAGTAATCAAGGCTGACCGATAGTCTCCATGGAGGTAGTGAGCTACCGACAGGGTATTCAAGTCGACCGCCTTCATGAGTGCCATGGTAAAGGCATCGGTTTTGGAAATGCTGGAGGTTGCTTTCATGGTGATGTTTGCTTGGCTTCTCGGAGATTGCTGGAAAGTAATTTATGAGTAAGACGGAGTGGGGTCCTTTTGGTGGACCTTGCATCTTGTCCGGGTGCAGGCAACAGGAACAGTAACTTCCCTCTCGACTTCTCCCGACTTCTTCATTTCGCTACGGTACAGTACGAGATCTCGCGGCACGTAGAAGATATCTCACTCAGACACAGCCGAGTCAATAAGCCAAAATGATATTAATAAAGCCCAGATACAGGGTCACAGTTGCCGTTTACATGTTGTACAACAGCAGCCCACAACAGCAATGGAACATCCCAGGAAGACAGTTTTGGAAGGGAAGATGAGGTAAAGTTAGGGTTAAAGTCAATGTTTACTTGACCTTTTTGTATACAAAAATATGTTTACCGCAACTACCTGGTTTCCAATGTTGTCTTCCAGGCTCTACATGGCATGTACATTGTAGCATGTAGATGCATGTAGTAATGTACATGACATTGTAGTCTAGCTAGCTAGTAGCTTCTACATGTATCTTGCGAAAACTAGACTATTGTTCTTTCTTTTCTCCTTCCCGAGAATTCAGGCCTCGGCTCCGGCACTCTTACGGTACTAGCTAGCAGTGTACCGTACTGTACAGAGTGTGGGTATTAATATCGATGTATTAGAGTACTGTACCACTTCGACGAAGCAAAAGAAGGGAGTTATGTGTTACTAGCTAGCTATTAATACGGTACGGTACATGTACTACTCCTACCTATTAATGGTATGAATTAATTATGAAGAATTGATCGTACTTGACCCTTTTAGAAGCCACAATGGCCTTCCAGACACCCTTCAAATCAATTTTCATAACGCACATAAATAATCTAACTCGAGTAACACTGTTATTCAAAGTCGTGCCAAAGTGCCAAATGCCTAAGAGATAGAGAAATCAATCGTTCCAAGTTCCAAAGTCACATCAACTGCTCCCTTGATTTAATGAGAAAGGCTCCCAAGAAGTTTCAATTTCTGAAAGCTTTAACATCCAGTTTGCCAGTTTTGGAGAAGAGACAAAAATTGACAACCACTGCTCTATTACATATTACATGTACTCCACAGATCTAGCTAGAGTCTAGCTAGCTCTAGCTAGAGAGGATTTCCTTTCGTAATGGTCCCCCGCCCTGTAGATACTGAGCACTGGGACCTACCGGTACCTTCACGAGCTCTTTTACGGACGTAAAGTGTAGTTGTCGTACGGTACAAGTACTCACTCGAAACGGACATGGAGGGAAGCTCCTCGTACGATGTACCACTGAGGTGTGAAGTGCATGTCGTGCCAAAACTGCTGCCTCTAATGCTGAGCTATGCTCGTAGCTTGCAGGCCGAACCAGTTTGGCAGCTCCCTTGTTTTTCTCTCAGCAGCCTGAAAGTCTGAAAGATAGTCAAGCAATTGCTGCGGCTACTAGCGAAGCAGGACGTGAGTTTTACCGAGATCTTGCATGGCTGCGTGAATACATGCAGAAGCATAGTTTCGGTACTTACTTGGAAGAGATTGATGGGCTGATACGTTCTTCCAGCTGGATCCTTTGTGTCTGTTGGACTGGCTTTACAGCTCTGACAAAGGCGCAGTGCCTGGTATTACATGACGTTGTTTTCAGTACGGTAGTACTCCGAATATTAGTGTTCGAAGACAATCCAACCGTTGGCACTCTTGCCAAAACTCCTCCTACTGATCTGATCAGCGCACACAAATCTTCCGATATCATTATTACAAATGACCATGGGTAATAGCCAGATTAGCTAGTAGGCATAAGTTGTCTGGCCTGAAGCAAAAGTACCAGTAGGACAATTCATCTCATCGAGGGTTGCTTTGCTGCAGTAGAAGAATCTTGCCAAACAATCTCATCTACACGATGTTCTGCTAGCTAGCTAGGAGTGTCGACGACAACATCGTCTGGCCAAGCAGAAAGCAGCAAACTGCTTGCCAGCAAACTACTAGTTCCTTGATTCGATTCAATGCTGGTCCGTACAGCGCAGTCGATGATCCGAACGGCAGCCACGCTTTCCTGCTATGGGGTGTGTGCAAAGCAGTTGATGATCCAAACGGCAGCGGGAGGAGGCAGCTTTTGTGACCCTTCCATGTGCCAGAGAGGGAAGGGAATCAACCTGATGAAGCCAATGCTTCAAGATGCATCAGAGCTGTGGCAGCATCAGCGAACAATTGATCCTAAAGAGACAGCGGAGAGAGCGTCAAATCCAATCCTTTCACTTTGCTCAGAATGGCCAACTCCACTAAAGAGAGAGAACAAGAATCTCACTTGCTCATCATCTTGTCCATCTGGAATCAATCAATCAAGAGGCAGCACCTCTTTCGTCACCATGCTTCCTACATGTACTTTCTGGATGAAACCAGTTGAGAGTTAAAAGTCTGCAATCCACCAAAGGGCAGCGATCACAAGCTCCTTTCGATCCAGCACCAAGTTCAAGATCAAAAAGGGAGAGATGACTTTATCGCCAACAATAGTGTGGTGAACAGCAAACCGAGAACCATTGCTGCTGGGAATGATATGCACCGACAAGCGCCGATGATGAACGCTGAGGCCAGCATGTCAACCCGTCAATTGTGGACATGGCAGATCTTTAAATTGAAGGTCTCACTAGAGCTAGATCCAGAGGGAGGAGCTTGTGGCCATCATATGGCGAAATGGGTACTACCAGATACCGGGACGTGCCCCCGATAAGGTACCGTACCGGTAGTTCGGTACCGCTAATGCACCCCTGCCGCTGAGCCCTTGGAAATAATTTTTGGCATTGGCCGCCCGATTGCGCGCCTTGTCGACTGATGAGAGCGCAGTGTCTACCGACGGGCAAATATTGACCTTCAGCAGCAACTTTAGCCACAATTGAGTCTCTACCACCCAGGCTGCTATAGTTGGTGGCTAACTCGAAGCTAAAAAGTTTAGCCCGATTCTGGATCTGGTCTAAACTTGGCGTGTTTAGCCCCGTTTTGGTGTTCCAGGTCAGGGTGCTATTAGTACAGTATCCTTTTGCCTCTTCATCATTTTGGCTAAAGCATCAAAATGGTGGGGCGCAGCCGGAAAAGTTGGCGGGGAGCCTGGAGAAAAAGAGGAGGAGAGTTGGGAGAATTCGGAGAGACAAAAGAAAACGGAGAACTAAATCACTACTCTAGCTAGCTTGCTAGTACCAGTACAGTAAATAAATCTGGAGCTGCACTGTATCTTTGATTGATCATTTTTGAATCGGATCTTGAGGGCTCGTCGATCTCGTGCCGGTGCCAAATGCCAGGTGCCGAGGAGAGTCAGCGAACAAATAAATATTAAGGTGAACTTCAAGTTCGGGAACTTTGGATACCTATCGGTATCTTCTTCAAAAAATTTATATGTGGTTGGCACATTTTCAGACAACAACTCAGCTATAAGAAAGTCATGAATTCACTACTGACAGCCTACCACTTGTTTTCCACATGGACACCAGGGCTCCGGTCGGATCCTTTGGGTACTGTACTTGTACAACCGTGCGACGGGATACAGCTTACAATTCAGCTTTACAGCTTTACAATTAGCAGGCTTATTCTAGAAAATAATCAATAACTGCTCACTTATTTGGAAATACAAACTTTGCATCTCTTAGATCGATAGATTAGTCAATGCACAATGGTATTGTCGCACAATGGGCCCGAGCTAGAGCTAGAGCTAGAGCCAGAACGGTGTGTTTGTCTTGGAGATGTGCCAACTTGTAATCAAAGCTGAGTGACATCCATTGTTAAGCAGCTTAAGCTACTAGTATTGGCTGCCCGGGACAATGCGCTAGCTAGTAGAAAACCTCGTGTTACGAATGGCCCGCTGTAGTAGCCAAACTAATGGAGGATCCTGTGTTTTCCTTACCGGTACAGTACAGACCCCAAGAGGAACGAAGTCCGCATCGCTACCGGTTTGCTTTCTCTCACCTTTACAGGCATCAAAACCTTTGCAGGCATATCCGCCGCTCCAGTTCTACCGTGCTGTACCAAAGCGGCACGGTGGCGGATTGGAAGTCCGTTGCCATGGCACTACAGCAGACGTTTTTCTCTCGCACCGGTATCCCTTCAACCCTTTTGCAATGAATGGAGAATGGACAGCCATACATCTCTGATCCTCTGATTGCTGTTGGCTCGATCGTGAGGATGATGCTGGTGGTTTGTGCCATTGCAGTCTAGTCCGAATGGGAGGCACTTGCTAGTAAAGTGATGTGACTAGACGAAGCAAGGAACAACTTGCTTGCCACTTTCTATTCCGTGTCTGCTGGATGGATGCCTACACTTCGTTTTTACTAAGTAGATGGTTATCAAACTGCCCTGGTATGGTAGCTGGCTGGGATAGTTGGTCCTGTCCAATGGAGAATGACTCCAAGCAAGACAGCAAAACGAGAAGGGTGTCAAGCAAGGCGATGAAAGCAGAAAGCAGTATGGCATTGCAGGGATAGATCGCATTTTGTCGCCACTACCTGTCGAAACTTCAGAAATCTATTGACGCTTTCAGCAAGCAAATTTTGGTTGGTGACGCGGTGACACGGTGTCAACTTGGAGCGACTACTCTGGTATCTTCAATCTCGAGGTCGGTTCCAACGTACGAGCATATGCTAGCTAGTTCGACTGATACCGTACCAGCCCATACTCTATCAAATCATCAACAACTCGATCAACTACATGTAACCAGCTAGATTGCGCCCACTGGCTACTCCAGAATAGCTACGAGTAGTGGCTACCAGTACCCGTACCGGTACTAGCTACTACTACTGGTAGTAGACTAGCTTGGCTACTGGAACAAGAATTCCGAAAAGCGAATGGCTTTTCTGAGCATTTAGGAGTATGCAAAAGGGTAGCGTGATTTGTCCCTCACAAATAAATTTTCACTTAGAGTAAATGTCATTTTAAGACCTAGGGAAGATTAAGACTATCGAATTTTCTGGGAGGCCACCTTAAGACTATAATATTATTATATGGTACTACCTTAAGATCCAGGTGCTGCTGCTGCTGCTGCTACTGCTGCTGGAGCTGCTGCTGCTGCTGGAACTGCTTTGGGTTTCAGCTGCACCTGGAGCACATTAGGCCTGGACGCCATTCTGTCCTCCAGTTCGATTACCAGCGATGCTTTCGCCACTTTCCCATCAGCTTTGGATCCAAAATACATTGTTAGTAGCGACACGATCTCTGTCTTGGTCAATGAAGCAGCAACCTGCTTCAGTTTGAGCTTCTGCCATGCCTTTGGTGCAAGGGTGCAGAGGTCTTCGGAAGCCTTCCGTTTCTTTTCCAATGCCTGTTTCTTCTGCAGTTCTTCGATTTGGGCCAAGCTTTCCGTAAGTCGTTGCTTGTTCTTGAGATTCAACAACGCCTTTTCATCATTGACCAGGGTGGCATGGTTTTTGACCTTGCCACTGCCATCCAGTACTCTCCGTGCAGCCTTCATCTTGTTCGTAGCCACCAGGTTGGTCTGAACAATCTTCCTTTTTGTCGTCAATGTTTCGATTGCTTGGGATAGATGCTTGCGATTGTGCGTTGATATGGCAACATCAAGATGCTTGGATGGGGACATCTCTTTGGCAAACATGGTACGTCTGTCACACATATGATCAAACAGATCAAGCCCTTTCTTTGCTTCCGGCTTGAGCAGAAACAAGTCAAGTCCATCATCAGCTTTCTTCCGCTTGGCTTCCGCTGATTCGACTTCCGGGTCTACAGCGGCAAGGGTTACATCTTCTTTTCTGGGAACTGTCCTTTCAAGGTGAGAGGGGTCATCTAGTGCCATCTGAATACACAACCGGAGATTTTGCATTTGACTGAGTGGGACAAATGTCTTGTCCATAATTTCAGTAATGCATGACACCGACCAGCAATCATACAACTTGTAGACAGCCATAGACGTCTTCTTTTCTTCTGGTGTCATTCCATGCCAGAACGGTGGCAAGAGTGAGTACAAATCAATTGCTCCCTCTTTCTTGAATGAATCACCACCCTGCATGAAACCCTCTATCTTCAAGCACCACAAGAAGTCCGTTACGGCAACCTGCTTGTAATGGTCAACGTGCTTGATCTGGAAGTCCCTATCATGATCGTAATCCTCTTCGTAATCCTCTTCGTCAATGCCTCCGTCTTCGTCAATGCCTCCTTCGTAATCCTCGTCGTCAATGCCATCGTCTTCTTCGTCAATGCCATCGTCACTGCGGTCGGAAACGGCCATCTTCGATAGACGAATGATAGATGAGGTACGAAAGAAGGAGTGTGGGTGCTTCGATAGAGGTGCTTTATGGATGTGCGAAGCACCTCTACGGGAGCGAAGCACCGATAGAGGTGCTTCGCACCTCTACGGGACGTGCGATCGATAGAGGTGCGAAAGATACCGACACTCGATAGAGGTGCGGCACGGAGTTTCACTCGATAGAGGTGCGTACGTAGGATCCTACGTAGATTCAGTACTAGAGGCACGACTGACGTCATCGGTCTTAATCTGCAGAGAAAAAGAATTCGTATCAGTTGGGTGGATATCTTCAACCGCCGGTAACTCCACCAATAAGTACACTATGGAGCTGCGAGATTTATGGCATACTCAACTACATGTGTTCTATCGATTCCCCTCTTTACATGTACTATATTCGATATACATCCCTGAAGAGAATATTCCGCGAAACGGTGGGTCGTAAATCGCATATCACTCTAGGCTAAGTGATTGAATTTTCATTTAGGCTAAGTGATTCAATTTGATTTACTTAGGCTAAGTGGTTCACTTAGCCTAAGTGAAATTCAGTCTTATTTGATTTACCAGGTAGTCAGTCACATTTGATTCACTTAGCCTAAGTGAATTACTTAGGCTAAGTGGATCACTTAGCCTAAGTGAATCACTTAGCCTAAGTGATGCTTTCCGTGGCAGCTTCTCTCAGCTCATAATCTGTCAGATTTCATTTTTTCAAAGGCACTGGGAAAACTCTGGCTCTGAGATATGTCAATATAAAAACTGTTAAGGATGGAAGCAAATCACGACCATGAGCTTCCACTCTTACAAGGACAGGCCAATGGTGCATCCAACAATACCAACGCTACCAACACCAACAATAGTGTTGGCGAGGATGATTTGATTGAGTCTGAGCTTGGGTCTGAGATTGACCATGTCATAGGAGCAGTTGTTGACTCCAAAGAAAAGAAGAAAGAGAAGCAACGTGAGCACACAAAACAGCATAACAGAAAGCGGAAACAAGAAAATATTGAAAAAATGCCTTGGAGCAAAGCGTGTTGCTTTTTCATTCTACAGTACTTTGAAACAAGCAATGGAGACTGTCCCAGATGAACTTCCAACTATCATTCAACAAAGATTTGATTTGGTAATCCTTGGTGATGACAAAGAATTGTGGTACTCTGATGAATTGGATGGTTTGACTGATCTTCCCACACTGGAGCAAGAAACCAGACATTACAAGGTCTTGCCGATCGAATCAACAGTGTATTTTCATCATTGCGAACCAATGATCATGTTAAATTTTTTCCATCATTGGAGTTACAAGGATTAATCAACAACCGAAGAAAATGCGATAATCTCTTGTCAAGTTTCAGACTTCCACGATATTATTTCACATTTCAAGTTCAAGCGACTACTGACTCGTGGAGAAACTGGTTTATCACAATCCGCAATGAGGCCAGCATGGTGTTTGCAACCACGTTGCAGCTTAGGAAGGTACCATCGATTATGCTGCGAAGACCAATAGACATTGAAATAGAAAGGACATTTCTCGTCGTCACCTTTGATGGGGCATGATGTTTTGTGAATCAGCCATTCCTCAATTTTCTTTTTGCTGCGTCGTGATTGCTTGGTGGAATTTGAAACAGCAGCAATACCAGTAGACACGTCTTTGTGGTATCTAAAACGAGCACATACAAATTTGATGTTGTGACGTTTTTTCTCATACCCTTTCATCACTATAAGGAATCCTTGCTCACGACATGCTTTGACAAAATGTGGGCCAAGCATAGTTTCGCGCCATATGCTTGAGTTTTGGTTGAATTCTTTGGGCAGCCAAGACTGTGCTGTCGTCGGGTTTTTTTGGATTATTCACACCATAGCCAAGGGTGGAAGCCAGATTAATAGTATGAGTGGTGTCATCCTCCAGGGAAGTTGCAACCTGAATTTGAATCTCTGTTGTAACCCAATTAAACTCTTTCTTGTGAAGCTCTTTGAGCAGTTCACATGAAGCTGAAAGTGGGGGCATGATGGGTGATAGTTGTGTCTCTTCTTGTGGCTGTGTGTGTGCTTGTTGCAGGGACTTGTTGTGTTGTGCTGTTGAGGAGACTTGAGACTTGTGCTGTTGAAGAGCCTCGGAGAGCATCACTTAGCCTAAGTGTTTCGCTTAGCCTAAGTGAGTTGATTAGTATGGCTTAGCCTAAGTGTTTTGCTTAGCCTAAGTGAGTTGCTTAGTATGGCTTAGCCTAAGTGTATTGCTTAGCCTAAGTGTTTCGCTTAGCCTAAGTGTATTGCTTAGGCTAAGTGTTTTACTTAGCCTAAGTGGATTTTCGAGCACTTAGCCTAAGTGAAAATTTGTGAGGGACAAATCACGCTACCCACTCGGCCACTCAATATGCAGCATATTGAGTGGCCGAGTTGTTGTTTTTATGATTTGCTGAATAACCTTCACAAGGCATTCTTCGAGGAAACGTTGTATAAGTATTCAAGATTGCTTATGACTCCACTGATTTAAGCACTACTGTTACTATTAAAGCTCTATTAAAGTCCCGATGAAGTTGATCGGGTTCTTCGTCTTCTGCAAGGTACGTGGTAGTAAGAATGAGTTCTGTTAAACGGCTTATGACCAAACACACAATGACTCCAGACACTTTGTAACTGTTTCCCAATCTCCCTATCAAATGGATCCAACACTGCAAGCACGCTAAAAGTCAGAGATTTCTTCCTGATTATAAACAATGGGACATGTAGAAGGTGGGGTATACGCTGTATCATACTTGTATCACTGGTTGCTGATTACAGCTCCCAGTGTCAACCTGTAGACGGACATTCAAGGTTCGCTGAGAGTCAAGGCAACGTGATTGGATGCCGAGATGGTAGCCTCACAAACTCCCACAAATCGGTCGAAGTTGGCTGCAAACCTCTGAAGGTCACAGAGGAGTTCGTCTTGAGCTCTCAATTGCCATACATATCATTGAATACGTACCACCGTAGAGCGTGGAGAAGCAACAGAGTGACAGTTACCAGTCACCAACCCAAGAGGCCTCTTTTCCTTCTTCCTCGCCTCCAAACTAAAGCACAGCCATCCCGTCTCCCGTCCATTACCGAGCTCCGCTCTTGTGTTGAGTCAGTCTGTCTCCTTCTCCCCTCCCTCTCCCAACAAGTAACGAGCGAAAGTACTGTACCATGAGACTCGAAGTCCCTCGCAAAGACGGCGACGACTGGAAGAAGTATCCTCAGTACGAGCTGGATACTGATCCCAACCAGGATGATAAGGCTCGCGGTAAGTGTAGGATAAGGAGCATGATACCCTATTGCTTTCACTATTATTTCTGATACAATGTCCTCCTGCAACCGTACACAGAGATTCGCCTTTGCAGCTTTTCTCGCCCTCACATGAGAGCCTTCCATTGCAGTTGGTGGAGTTTCTTTATTGCCTTCTTTATCTGGTTCGCCATCTCGCCCTTGCTGTCCGAGATCCGCACTGACCTGGGCTTGACCAAGAAGCAAGTATGGACGTCCAGTATCGCTGGCGTCGGAACCACCATTGGTGTTCGCTTCTTGTTGGGACCTCTGTGTGATAAGTATGGAGCCAGAGTGCTATTCTCGGCGGTTCTCTGCTTTGCTTCCATTCCCACGGCATGTACGGGGCTCATCCGGAGCGCCCGAGACCTCATCGTTCTACGATCCTTCATTGGAGTGGCTGGGGGCACCTTTGTCATGTGTCAGTACTGGACCAGCCGCATCTTTACCAAGGAAGTTGTGGGTACAGCCAATGCACGTAAGTCGAATCAATCCTTCACTCTAGGAAGGGGGTATCCTGCCGTATACCCATTTGCAATAACCAACCTGCTTGCCTCTTTTGCATCTCAAACCTGCATTTCATTTCTATGCACTTACAGTTGTAGGAGGATGGGGAAACTTGGGTGCTGGAGTGACGCAACTCGTCATCGGTTCCTTCCTCTTTCCATTGTTCAAAGTCTTTTTCGACGAAGACGAAAATGCATCGGAGCGTGCTTGGAGGACTGTCTGCATCGTCCCGGCCGTCTTTGCGTTCACCACGGGAGTGGTGGTCTTTTTCATCAGTGATGATGCTCCCAAAGGAAACTACAGCGAACTCAAGAGACATGGGGCCATGCCAGAAGTATCCGCCGTCCATTCCTTCGCGAGGGGAAGTTTGAATTTGAATACGGTACGTTCACAGCAGCACAGCACAACACAGTCCAATCCACAATCCGGCCCACCAAAGACTCACGTGCGTGATATCCCCTGTTTTTAGTGGATGCTCTTTATCCAATATGGTAAGCCTTCACAACGCTTCGTTCGCTTAATGTCAGTATCAAATCTTCGTTGCCTAACTCGTCTGGTTTTATACTGGCTATATCTGTACAGCTTGCTGCTTTGGTGTAGAATTGACCATGAACAATGCCGCGGCTTTGTACTTTAAGGATGCATTTGGTCTTTCCACCGAGACTGCTGCCGCCATGGCGTCAATCTTCGGTTGGATGAATCTCTTTGCCCGTGGACTGGGTGGATTCATTTCGGACCTCATCAACTTTCGCATGGGCATGAAAGGAAGGATTGTGATTCACACCGTCATGTTGTTTGGCGAAGGTGTTCTCGTTCTCATCTTTGCCAATACAGAGTCCCTTGGTGCGGCTATTGTGACATTGGTCTGCTTCTCCCTCTTTGTCCAGAGCGCAGAGGGAACCAGCTACGCCATTGTGCCATATGTGGACCCTCCCAACACAGGATCCATCAGTGGAATCGTTGGTGCGGGAGGAAACGTCGGTGCAGTGTGCTTTGGATTGGGCTTTCGAGAATTGGATTACAAAGAGGCCTTCTTATTGATGGGACTTTGCATATTAGGCTCAGCGCTGCTGTCCTTCTTTATTGTCATTCCTGGCCATGCTGGACTCGTCTTTGGCGAGGACATGGAAGTCAATCCAGAGACGGGAAGGCTCTTGATTGATGAAGATGCCGAGGAGATGGGCTTGGAGGAGGGCTTGGTCAACTCAGAAAACGACGACCGCGATTAGATTAGCAACGCAGGGAAACAAGCACATTTTTGATGGGACGATGGCAATCTTTGTATAGTATATCACAATTCATTTTACTTTAGTATATCCCAATTTTGGGGCAAGACTGTCATTCTAGCTATATATCTGCCCGATGAGCATCGACCAAGAGTGTCCGGTTGTCCGGTTATGGCAGTTGTACAAGCTACCAGTATACAGTTCTGCCGGCAGGGTGAAGCAGGAAGCGAAATAGTCGATGGAGTACGATTTGCAGCTCACAGCCACGCCACGACCACGGAAACATTGTCAGTACTACCACGTTGTAGAGCTGCCTTCACCAAAGCTTGTGCCACATTTGTTCGGTCACCAGGAAACCCCACCGCAAATTCTACAGCCTCGTCATCCGAAAAGACATCCCACAAGCCATCACAAGCCAATATGAGAACAGATCCTCGTCCCTTCCCTTTTGCATCGTTGGTTGTCGTTGAGGTACTGATGGTAATCTCTCGGTAGTGTGGCTTTGCCACGACGAATTCTTTCATGCAATGGTCCCCTAGACTCCGACTAACAGCAAGAATTCCAAGGACACGATTCCGATACACAAAGCCTCCTGCCTGTTCGATTCTTTGGACCTCTTCTACATCATCGGTCCGGTGGTCTTTGCTGAGTCTCGTCACTTTCCCGGCATGTCCGAGAACTGCCCTTGCATCACCTACATTTGCACTGTGAATTGTTATCTGATTTGTACCAGGATGTTGCTTTACGAGGCACACAATGACTGTTGATCCGCTGGTCGAAATGCCACATTGCGTTGCATGACTTTCCAACAAACCAAAAAGAAGAAATCTTAGTTGTGAGGATCGCCACCATGGAAAGATTCAATCATTTTCAAATTTACAACTCACACATCCGCCAGGAGAAAAGCTCTTTCCAGTCTGGTTTCTATGGATGCGTCGTCGTTATGGTTCAATTCTCCACCCACATGAAACGCCAAAAAGTAGTCCAAATATTCGACCATATCGCGGCCTCCGTGACCATCGTATACTCCAAGATAAGCCAAGTCTGGATCAGCCGATCTCCAAGTCCCTGGAGCATGAACGACGTGACAATCCTCCTTCAAATTCAGTGTAGAAAACGCAAGATCAGAGGTCGCCGAAGACTCAAGAACAGATGACGAGGACGAAGATACGGTACCATTGTGTCACGTCGCTTTGGATTCATTTCTTCAAAGGTTGAAATGATCATTGGGCGAAGAGCATCGCAGGTGTTTGTAGCTTCACCCGGCCTGCGGGTTGCCGCATCCATGCCTGAAGGAGCCGCTGTTGCTGTTGTCGCCATTGTCGCATGAGAAGTTCAAAAAATGACGAAAAACTGACAAAATAAATTCAAATATTAAGCCTGTTGAGATGTTTAATAATGTGTTCCCTCTCAAACAGGCTGGTTGTGCGAGGTGTTGTGTGAGTGCAGCGACATGGTGGCTACGGGTACCAGTACCAGTACATCGTATAGCTACTGTCCCTCAAGCCTCAAGCTAGCTAGCTAGAGTTAGAGAGTGGCACCAAGCTTTGTGAAGAGGGAGATCACGAGTTGATAATTAGCTAGCGAACGCTTCTTGCAGCTTTGCCCTCGAATCCGGAACAAAGCTGCACTTGCAATGCTTTCAGCAATCCTAATACTAGTAGAGCGGAATGATCCAATCCTGAGGTTTGAGCCGTGTCTGTTTGCCCGTTACGGTAGCCAGAGACACCGGCAAGGCGATATGTTCCCGTCGCCACTACTGAATGGTCGGGAGAGAGATTTGGGATTTCATCAGGCTGCGCCTAAGAAACGATATCTTATTGTGAGGAATAAAGATCCTGCAGGAGCGAGTTGAAATGTGACTCCGGCCAATAATGTAGTTTCCGGGCGACACAATGGGAGTCGAGTCGAGTCGAGTCAGCGACCGGGCTAGTAGTAGCTACTATTAATAGTAGGTCTGTTTTGGCTGCACCATCACCAGTTAGTGGTACCGGTAACGGGAAAGCATTGAAGCCGGACCACGCTTTTGGCAATGACGTTCTGCATGTTGGCTGTATCCGGCGATGATCGGACAAAGGCGGTCCTGGCAACTGGCAAGCAAGTAACAAGAGGTCGCTTGTTCCCATCACCATAGACTCCCACGATGCTTGACCGGGCCAAGTACTAGCTAGTAAGAAACCCCAGATGCCTGAACGGCAGCTATGATTCGATTGAGATTCGATTCATTCCATGTGAAATAGTTGGGTTACCAACACCAAGTTTTTGGGCAATCGTTGGCTCCCACGATGCCTTGCAGGAGGTGTGACAACGACACCAAAAACTTGACCATGGAAATATGTTGTGGACGATAAATGGGGGCAACCAAACGATTGAATTCTGGCCTTGGTGCTCGGGCTCTATCTGGTTGTGTGTGGAACATCTGAAGCCCATTTTTTTGGCGGGAGCACATAAATAATCTTTGAGCACATAAATCTTTGTAGCATAATCGATTTACCACTACTTCGAAAGTAATTGACCGAAGCTGTCCTGGATTGATTTTATTGACATCTTTTGCCGTAGGATTTATACCGGTAAAGGAGCCTTGTGTGGCACATCTCAACGAGGGAAAGGACAATTCAACACAAATCCGTAGCAGGAGAGAATTTTAGAATAGAAGCAGTCTCGAATCGTGTTGTGTAAGGTTTTCGTAATTCAGCGAAAGAAGGGCACCTCCATGATGCTTCCCAAGGGGGTTAGACAAAAATCTCGCCCCCCCTATGCTAGCTAGTAGAAGATACCCATGTTAATCCCTGGTTATTTGGCTGTGCATACAGTACTGGTCGTACCAAAGCCTTAACCGGCAACGCAACAGGGAACACTTTTCTTTGTCTCCCCCCGGTCTCACAATAACTATTAAATACAGTAACACACCTTAGAGAGGCTGTATCCACTTTCGACGGATCGATCAACAGTCTTGTCTTGTAAACGCAATACCACCAGTCAATCATTGAGGGACATCAACAAAGCCTCTACACTACTCTACCACATCTCTTCTAATACCTATATACATCGCCATGATGAGACCTCTTCGGCTGCTTCTTGCGCTCTCCAGTTGGGCAGTGGTCCTGGCTGCTTCTTCTTCTAACGGCGGTAGCAGCATCGATGGCGCGAGTGCTAGCAGCCTGTCTGCTGCCTTTTCCTCTGGATTGGCCAGTCAGCTCTCCAAGGAGTTTGTTCAGAGCGCTGTGGATAAGGAAATCCGCAAGATGCTTGTGAATTGGCATGCGGAAGCCAACAGTACCGAAGGATTGGAAAGACGGCGTTTGGCGCTGGAAGAACAGGAAGCCATGTTTGCCCCCGGTCCCAATCAAATGTCCCTCCGCCGATTGCTCGAGGAGAAGGGAGAGTGGGACGAAGTCAATCTGATTCTCTCAAGCTTGGAAATCACCATCCCAGATACCGAGATCATCCAGCCAGTGTTGGGATTCGATTTGTACGCGCGGGTCAATGGAACCTGTGGCCAGATCGCCATTGAAGACATTAAACTGGACTACGAAAAGGGCCCCTCAACGAATCTGGCGGATGTTACGCTTGCCTACAAGTTCCAGGTGCTCGGAGCCAAACTCAAGTGCTTCATTGAAATAGATTGGAACACGGGGGTCTTGGATGTGAGTGATCACATCAAGATGAGGCTCGTGCTCAACGACAACAGTATTGGAGTTGCCGCCGAGGCTATTGGTGCTCCTCCTACGTCATTCCAGTTCATAGGTTGTAAGACCGTTGCCTCTATTGGAGACGTCCAGTCCACCGGAGGATTCTCGTCAAACATTATCAATGATTTGAACTACCTTCTCATTGATCTCGTCCGGACCGAAGTCAGTCTCATCTCTGGGACCGCCTGCGGCTTGATCACGGACTTTACGGAGACCATCAACGAACTCTTGGTCGACCTTGTGTCGCTGCTGGATCCTTTCCTTGTCAACTTCACTGCCGTGGACCCTCTGTACTTGGAGAAGAACTTGGATGTCGATGTGCCGTTGGTGAACTTTATGGATGATGAAGGTTTTGGAAATGTTATCAATGTTCTCATTACAAACATTGCCACAGTTATTGGAGCCGACCAGATCAACGCCCTCGTAGACGGTGCTCTTCTCGACGACGATGGTTTCTTGGTTCTAGAGCTTGGAACGGTCCCTGACGACTTCAACCAGTCCGCCACCCACCGTGCATTGCAGGGCAACGAGACCACCAGTGTTAGCATGACTGAGGAGGAAGAACGGGATTGTTTCCAGGAAGCTTTTGACCTGGTCGATCTTCCTCTCCGTCGGCAACGTGGACGTCGCTTGGAGGACGCTTTCAACGAGTACCTGACGAATGACTACATCAAGTCTAGCCCTCGTCGTTTGCAGTTCGATGGTATCTTGGACAACATCACTCTGGACGACATTATTAACACTACCGATATCTTTGTGATCAACGAAATCACACCCCTCAAGATCTCTTTGGTTGGATTGAACAACTTTTCCGATGCTGCGCCTCTCCAAGTGATTGGAAAGCACACGTTCTTGTCAGAGCTGGAGCTGGCCTATCTTTACGTGCAGGCGGACGTCTTTGTCGACATCTCAGTGAACAGTGTCCCCATTCGTCAAGTCGTTACATTGGGAGCTGATCTTGGTAACGTGTTCATTAATGCATCCATCCTTGTTGGCCTGAATGAATTGGTGGTCGACCAGTGGACAATTGGAACGTTCCTCAACATTTCAGGGATTACAGATTGCATCCTCTCGGCGTTGGTGACTGCCGGAGTTTCACAGCTGGAAGTGACGGTGGGAGAAATTGGAACCCCGGTTGTTACCGGAGTAATTTCCGACGGGGTGAATGACCTCCTTAATACTGGAGCCGAAGGTATTGCTTGTACCTACCAAGATCTGATCCTTCAAGCTATCCCTGGCTTTGTCCAGCAAAATGTCACTCAGATCGTCAACACGTTCATTGACTGCTTCATTGAAACTGAAGCGTCGGAAGCTGTCTGTGCGGAATCGAGTCTTGAAGACATCCTTGGAGGTGGTGGAGACACGGGCGAAGGGGATGGAGATGGAGGCTTTGACTTCGACTTTAGAAGTGCCGTGTATCTTGTGGACAATGTCAAGGATGAAAAAGTTCAAGGCTATCTTGATTTCCGCGACTTGCTGCTCTTACCTGGGGATGCGAAAGCGCTCGGAGGTACCGGTCGGATGCCGTACGGTGACCTGATTCATACCGCCTATAACACCCTTCTGGGACAAGTGGGAGGTGTAGACAACGAGACTGGAATGCTCGCGATCAACGATCTCCTTCCAGAGGCATTTGCGCTCGGAATGGATCTTCTCGATGTATCACTTGACACTTCTGAGATCGATTTTGTGGGTTCGATTTTGGAGGGCGTTGATATTGGTTTGTACAACCTCTTTGCTGGTAACCTGAACACCCTGATGCCGCCTCTGTCCTTTTTGCAACCCACCGGAAGGGCCCATGTTCTTTCGAACGTATTCAACTGGGGCCCAACTCCAAAACGTGGAATCAACGCGAGCGTGACGTTGTTCAATGCTTTGCATGGATCCCGGTCGATTGAAGTGAGCAACGAGGTCAACACCGCCGCCAAAATGAACGAATTGGATGTTATGGCGGACTTTCAAATTTTGATTTCGACGATGGACTTCATTCGTTTCCCCTTGAGGGACGTTCTGGAGCTCAACTGCTGGCTGGCCTTGATGCAAGAACCCGAAGAAAACGACGCCGGTTTGGAGAACTCTTTCGTGATTACAAGAATGGTGCTGGACATGATGGACCTATCCGTCAACTTCAAGTGCCTCAATTGTACAAGCAAAGTGTTACCCGGTGTTGTGCAGGTCTTGGATGATGCCGGTGCCATGGCTGTTCTGGGAAGGAGACTTGGCCCCTTAATGGAGGAAATCGTCACCAATCCCTCTGTGCCGCCTCTCATTGCTTCTTTCCTTGGACCGGGTGAGACGGCTGCGCGAAAGTGCCCTCATTCTCCTTTGTTCAATACAACCAGTAACGAGACGGAAGCTGCGGCGGCCATTGAAATCCCGCAGTTGTCAAACCGTTCGTTGGACACGGCTATCTTTGCTGGCATTCTCGGTGCCCAAGCATTGGCAGTTGTCTTCGCAGAGAGTCACGTGAAGGCTTCTGAGAATTACACTATGTCGGATCCTCTGGCTCGCCAAGATAGTTTCAATACGACGGGAGATCTAAATCTGTTGGATTGGTATCGTCTGAACGAAACGTTCATTCCGATCGTTGGGGATGCTCTTGATCTGGTGAGAGAGTTCACAGGAAACTCTTCGGGAGGCAACCCAGGAATCAACGATCTCGCCTCAGGTTTCCTTGCAGAGGATGGCGGCTTCAATTTGTCACTGGGTCTTTCATTTGAATTGCAAGGCTATGAGATTTCGGTAGACCATATCAAGGTTTACGGTCTCGATTCTTTTACAACTTTTGATATTCTGGAACCGATCGCACCACAAACCATGAAGAACACGATTGGCATGGGCAATCTCACCGTGATCATCGACTTCTCCCTTGATGCGGTCAACACCACAGACCCTCCCCAACCATACAGGATTACCGTCGATGTTGAAGATGTCAATGCCACCATATACCTGTTCACTGCGATTGATATGGACAAAGTGGAGGCGCTCGAGATTGGCCAACTGTTGTTCATTGAGAACATCATCCCCTGCTTCTTGGGCACGGCGTATGATGTGAACGTTCCTGCTTTGTATGTATCTGTTGGGAACATTTCCAACCCCGTGGTGGAAGGGTTAGAGCCCGATACAAGCGAAGCCGCTGCTGCATCACTGGAAGCAATGTTTGACGAGTACTCCGACCTTTTTGTTGAGGCAATCAACTCCATTTTTGATGAGACTGTCCGCACTCTGATCAACGACTTCATCGCATCATTCGTTGAGGATGCGGGATCTTGCTTGACCACCGACGAAATCATCGTAGACACAGGCACAGACTTGATTGACTTCCGCGATCTCTTCCTGCCTCCTGAAGCCTCTGTGATGCTTGGTGGTTCCGGCTTGCAGCCGTACGGCGATGTTGTCTCCACCGCATACTCGCTTGTCTTGGACCAGCTTGTTGCGAGCGAAGAAGGGGAGTTGTTGGGACTGAACTCATTTATTGAGTCTTTCACAGAAGGCAGTTCAGGCGTCCCTGGAACGTTTCGACTGGAGGATGAGCTCTTCGGCTTCGTCAGCGACGGTCCGTTGCCTGTTGATTTGCTTTCCTTTCTGAACCAAAGCGTCGCACTTGGCGCTTTCGACGCGCGGATCAGAAATCTGAATACTCTTGTGAGCCCAATGGCGATTGCGTACCCTACGAAGCATCCTCACATCATCGAAAACGTGATTAATTTGGGGCCTGTGGCCGAGATGCCTTTCAATGCTACCTTGGGCGTCCTCCTAGCTCTCCAAGGTGACTTGAACTCGTTGGACATGTACAACATGTTTGATCTCAGTGGGGAGATGAGCGAAATTGACTTGTTGGCTGCTGTCACGCTGCACATACTGGAAGAAAACCTGTTCCGTTTCCCGCTCAGAGACGTGCTAGAGATAAACTGCTGGCTGTCTTTGTTTGAGACTGCCAACTCAACAGAGCTTGACGCTGGCAAGGGTGGATTCAAGATCGATTCGATGTTGTCGAAGTTTGCGTCGCTTTCTATTGGTGCCGACTGTCTGAACTGTACCAGCCGCGTTCTAGATGACGTGATTGCGCTCGTCGATTCTGTTGGTGCTTCTGAAACCTTTGGAAACAGGCTGGGCTTCTTGATTGAAGACTTCGCCACCAGCGACGCAGTGCCCGAAATTCTCGGACAGTTCGTTGATTTGGGAAATGAAGCGGGACGCGCATGTCCTCACCACCCATTATTCAACACCAGCTCTAACGCTGTTGCCGATGGCGACCTCTTGAGCTCCTTGGATATTCGAGACCTGTCCAGAGTCTCGTTGGACACAGTCCTGTATGCTGCGATTGTTTTTGCTGAAATCAGTGCAGTGATTGGCGCAGACAACCACTTGCAGCACCCTTCGAAGCCGACGGACCCCCTTGCTGCCCAAGCTGCTCTTGATGTGCCCGAAGGTGCAAAGCTCCTGGACTTCACCAATCTGGAAGAATCTGGTATCCCCTTCGCGGCAGAAGCACTTGATTTGGTGAGGAGCTTCCTGGGCGACACGGAAAGTGGGGGGCAAGACCCGGGGATAAACTCTTTCATCGCTGACTTGGTTGACGTCGGTGGAGTATTCGAACTTCCTCTTGATGGACTGGCGTTCGAGTTTGCTGGTTTGGAGCTAGCGGTCAAAGCTATTCGCGCAGAAGGATTGGATAACTTTACCAAGTTTGACATTCTGAACCCCATTGCTCCTCAGACTCTAATGAACACTTTCCATCTTCCTTGGGTCAGGATTGGGCTCGACATCACTATCGACGTTGTGGAGACACCCGAGGTGGCCAACAACTTGAATATGACTTTTGAAATGACGGATTTGAATGTTACTGTTCCGGTGTTTGCTGCTATTGATCAAGTACTCCTTGGTGACCTCGAGTTGGGCTCGCTCCTCCACACGTCCAATATCTTGACGTGTTTGTTGAGCACCACGTACGGAATCCAACTACAGCAGCTGCAGATTGCTGTGAGCAACATATCCGAGCCAGTTTTCGAGGGATTCCTTCCTGATACCCAAGCTTCGATTGAAAACACGACATTTGCGGTTTTCAAGGAGTATGGGGATCTGATCGAAGAATCCCTGCCATCCGTCTTTGATGGCACTGTCCGTATCCTTGTCAATGGTGTGATCAGTGCTCTTGCTGACTCCGAGTGCGTCAAAATTGACACTGAAAATATTACGTCAAGATACGTTGATTTCAGACAGATGTTCCAGCCAGCCAACTCTACGGAGTACAGCCCATACGGAGATCTCATTCCCTTGGCCAAGAGTATTCTGCAGGAACAGCTCCTCGATATAAACCCAGACACACAAATGCCGAAGATCAACGACGTCATAATCGCTCCCTTCACTGAAGACCAATCGGGTGTAGAGGGCACTCTGCTGTTGCCGGGCAAGTTGTTCAATTTTGGGAGTGACGCACTCGGCGACGTGGGAGTAGGAAATATTGGGGTTGAAGCTTATGATGCTCGAGTAGAGAACCTTGACACTGTTGGTCACCCCATTCTGATTTTGGAACCCAACGCGACACGAGGAGATCTTCTTGACAACAGAGCCAGTTTCGGAACCCAATTCAACCCACTCCGATTTTCAATCAGAGGTGTGTTGTCGGTGTTGGGACCCATTGTTGAAACGAGAGATGAAATAGACATCTTCGGCGAGCTCCGATCGGCGCCAATTTTTGCTGTACTCCTGGCAAGAATTGGAGCAGAAGAGTTGCTGGGATTCCCCTTGAGGCACGCATCAAATGTTGATTGCTGGCTTGGGTCTTTTGCTGCCCCGGCCCTTGACGCGCTGGAGGCAGGCGATACGACTGTCAACCCTGTTCTTGCACCGCACTACCTCAACCTCGCCTTTCGAAACATGCGAATCAGTGCCGAGTGCTTCAATTGTACCACCCGAGGTCTCGTTGTCATGCCAGACCTGCTTGAAATTCTTGAGACAACGAACTCGAAGAATGTGCTGGGCTACAGGAATGTTGAATTGCTTCTGAATATCCTGAACTCCGACTTTGTCCAGGTTTGGTTGCTACGCTTCTTCCAAGATTCCATGCGAAAATGCGATTACTTGAATAACTCCACCGCTGCAGGTCTGGTCGTTCCAAGCCCCGACTTCCCTAAATTGAGCACCTACGATATGGAAACAGGCGTCTTCACTGTTACTGTTATAATCCAGTTGGGCCTGGTTATTATGGCAGAAACCATCGCAGAGTTAGAAGGAGTCGAGCCAATCTTCCCAGACGTGGTCCCTAATATTCCTCTTGGAACTCGCATTGTGGATTACACAAAATTGGACTCGTATGAAATGGGTTCATTTGTGGCTGGGCTCATCTCGTCCATGAATGACTACCTTGGAACACCGCAGGAAGACCCTTTGTCAGGAGAAATATCATTGGGAATCAATGGTCTCCTTGGAAATCCCATTGTACCCTTCAGCGACTTCAGCTTTGACGGCGAGTTCGATATCGGCATCAGTGGATTGGTAATCAGGATGAAGGGTGTAACGGTTTCAGGCCTCGACACTTTCACCAAGTTTAACATCTTTAACGTGACGGGCCCCACAACAATGATAAACGAGTTCGGCTGGGCTCGCCTGCAAGTAGACCTCCAATTGGAAGTCGATCTCAGTGGCACACCCGATTTCGCCGAAGCCCGATTTCTGCAGGATATTCTTGGCGACCGTGCACTCGAGGAGGAAAGTGTCTATCCATTTGGTTTGACACTCGAGTTGACAGACGTTTCAGCAGTCGCAGACACCTTCCTGGCCCTGGATTATGAGCTGTTGGCTGAGTTGGAGCTTGGATCATTCTTGCGTTTTGCATACATCCCTAATTGCATTCAAGCGGCTATCCGTCACTTGGAGTTTCAAGCGTTGGGTTTGGAAATCGGGAAAGTCACGAAGATGCAGGTCTCAGGGTTCAGGTCAGAGGACACTCGCACCGCAGCCGAAAACCTCGAAGAAACTCTCGTGGAAAAGTACGGCGAAACGATTGCGAGCATGGCACCAACTGTTTTCTCTGTGGCAATCCGTCCATTCCTGAACACATTCATCCAAAGCTACATCGAGGACAGCGATTTCAAGTGCGAAGAGTTTCCGTTAGACCCAACTGATGATGGTTTCATCGACATGCGAGACCTGCTCGAGCTTCCCCCTGAGTCAATCAAACTGGGAGGAAGTGGCCGACAGCAGTATGGAGATATTATCCCTCTTGTCTTTTCGTATTCTACAGCCGTGATTTCACAATTTGTCCTTCCTAACTTCGACGAAGGATTTACTTTCCCGGGAACTTTGTTCAATCCAGGTATCCGATTTGACGTTCGAGGTTTCCAGTCGGTATTGCTTTTGCGGATTTCTGACCTCGAAATCAAAAATGTGCATAATCCTGTGACATTGCAGTATACAAGACCAATAGAGGGAGAGGCACACAGACTTGAAAACAACCTTGCCTGGGGACTTAGCAGGAGTCGTTTACAGATCAGGTTCAGAGTGTACCTTGCATTCAAGGGCCTTGGATCGCAACTTTGTAAGTGCAGTGATTACTTACTCCGTGGAACCCTGCTGTCATCCGTTTTGTGTGGTGTGCTCACAAAGCGTGTTTTATTTCCAACAGCCGAAGTTGACATTGAAAATGACGCCGAAGTGGTCATGGATATCAGGACTCTACGTTTTCTGTTCACCCTGTTGATGAAAGTTCGTGAAGAATCCTTCTTGAGGTTCCCAGTGCGCGATATGCTTAATTTGGATTGTTGGTTTGCAACTATTCCTCCGCCGGAGATCGATGAGAACGGCAGGAGAGTTCCAGGACAAGAGCCAACGTTGACAGTGGAGGACCTTGCAGTTACCATGAGAAATTTGGACATGCAACTCAACTGTTTCAACTGCACTAGCCCACGCCTTTACGAATGGGGCGAGGTTCTCCAGCAGCCTGGAGTATCCGATGAGCTCACCTTCGAGTTGAATCGGCTTCTCGAGGAACTAATTTTCCGGCTAGGCGGAGATTTCTTGCAGGACACGATTGATGCTATACTTGTTGACGCCCCAAAGAATTGCCCACACACGGACAACATCGACCCCGATGGGCCATCGTTCGTGTCTGAAGCACAACCGGTGGGTCCGACCGATGACATTGGATACCTCACCTACGTGCTGGCCATTGTGTGTCCTCTTATCGTGGCGCTGATAGTTGTTATCAGTGTCAGGTTTATTGTGACCAAGAGACACCAGAGGTGGTTAGACAGTCTTCCCAGTGAGCGCGTTTTCTTGATCCAACAAAAGCAAGAAAGTGAAGATCATTTGGAGTTGGAGCTCAACGAATTGACAACGTCGATGTACGAGAGTCCAGATATTCCTTGTACAGCTCGGTACCTTATTCCTTTCATCGTTATTGTGAATGTTGGTTTCTTCTTGAGTGGACATCTCAGTCCTGGAGGAAGAGCCATGATCGATTTCAACATGTTCGGAGAGACCTTCAGGATTGAGGATTTTTTCACTTTTTCTATCGCTCAATCAACGCTTGACATGTGGCACGCCGGTGGAGAAGAACTTGCAATCTTGATCCTTCTCTTTTCAGGCATTTGGCCATACACGAAGCAGCTCATCACGCTTGCGCTCTGGTTCCTACCCCCTTCGGTTGTCTCTGTATCACGTCGGGGACAGTTTCTGTTGTGGTTGGATATTCTGGCCAAATGGTCAATGATAGATATCTTTGTGTTGCTGATCACTGTCACCGGGTTCAGGTATGTACTGCATGTCTCGCCGAATGGAAATGATGCCTTTTTGGTTTATTCACGTTCGTTATGTGTCCCTCGTTACAGGATCGGTGGTGTCAGCCCTGTGTGGAGTTTCTTGCCAAAAGATATGATTGTCGTCGACCTTATTGTTGTTCCACTTTGGGGTCTGTATGCCAACATGATCGCTCAAGTAATGTCGCAGATCAGTTCTCATTTCATTGTGATGTACCATCGAAGAATGATCCGCAGCGGAAAGCAAAAATACAAGGAAAGGCATGCTCAGAACAAAGACAAGACCGAGGGCGCCGAACAACAAGATCCCGCAGAATTGCTCATTGCTTCCTTGAGTTCGGAGGACCACAGAGAACGACTTTGCAACCATGGGTTTATCAGGCTTCACAAATCGGAAGGGCCCAAGATTGTCCCGCGTCGTGTTGTCAACGGCTTGCTCCCACTCTCGGCCATCCTCCTAGCCGGACTTTTGGTGGTCGCTTGTATCCTGCCCTCTCTGAAACTGGAAGTGTATGGGGTTATTGGTTGGGGAGTCGAATTGGAGAGCAAGTTATCAGAGGAAGCTGTGAGATACGAGAGCATCTTTTCAATGGCACAGGTGCTGCTTGATCAAGCCAAGTACCTGGGCGAATGGACTCACTTCATCGGGCACATTGTCCTCGTAGTTCTTTTCATAACAACGTTGGTGGTTGTTCCCATCTTGTCGTTGTTGTCCTTGGTCTTCATGTGGATCTATCCATTGACAAGAGGAGGTCGGGAGAGGGTTGCAGTTCTCCTGGAGATTCTTCAAGCTTGGCAATACGTGGAAGTGTATATCCTTGGCATTGTCGTCGAAAGTTGGTAAGTTTGCCGTTTGGAACTATGAATTTATGCAAATGGCAGGAACTGGATCTCATTCGATTGGCTCCACTTTTATGCAGGCAACTTGGCGCTATATCAAAGCTCTTCGTGAACCGTTATTGCGAGAGTATTATCCCGACGTTGGAGTTGTTGGCTGGCTATGGACTCTGGAGCAGAGAAGACGCACAGTGCTTTGAGGTGGCGGCATCCATCGCGGAAGGTGCATATCTCTTGATTCCTTTCGTCTGTGGACTGGCATTGGTTGGTACCTACGTGGTCAAGGCATACATCCAATACCTCCGAGAGATGCAAGACGAAGAGGACGACATCTCTGAAGAGGAGAAGCTTCGAGCGTTTGATAGGACAACCTGGGACAATCGAGAGAACGCGCTCGAGAACATCCGCAACCCACCCGTTCTATTCACCGATTCGTTCCGATGGACGCTACGCCATGAGGATAATCCAACAGAAACTCTGTTCGCTGCAACTCCCCCGGACGGCGAGGAGATGACGGCGGACAAACCAAGTGGAGCTGCCGCAACAATGCCTGTGGATGATACCTCGAGCAGCGACGATGCAAACGAGGACAAGATGGCACGGCGCGAAGTCCCAGCCGGGGATGAATCTGGCAGCAGCGATGAAGTGGCCCTTTAATTTTAAAAGGCTATACTTGTGGCGACGGTGTTGCAGCCTCTACCTCCAAGAGGGCTGCATGTTTATTCCTTTAGTGTATTCATACTTGGTTTGCTTTTAAATTAAATTAAGATACATGTAATAGCTGGCTGCCGGTACGATGGTACCTAGCTAGCTAGTAGTAGTTCCACACTCCACACCAAAAGCTCTCAGAAATCAAGCCCCCTTTGTAGAATTTTGACCAGGACTGCAACACAGTCAATTCTTCTCGAATCTGTTATCAGGACTCCGTACAATCGTATTGAATCCCACAGAGGATCTTAAAACGAAGCAAGACTCAAAAGAGGACCGACGGGACCTTTCCTGAATGTTGGAGGTTGTTGAATGAAGGCTCCCACAACCGGTACAACAACCAACAATACTTCCCTCTGACTGCATAGTAACCACTCGATTTAGAAGTCAAAACAACAGCAACCATGAGCATCTCTACCGTCAACGACAACAGCAATACGTGGGAATACGAAGAAGTGTACCACCCACCTTTCTTGCCGCTCTTAGCATTATTCCCACCTCTGGCCCCATTCTTCTGGGATTATCATGTCTTGGTAAACCAGGATTCCTTGCAGGTCGGATACTCGGTGGGTTTCCATCGTTCGATCGATCGAAAGTTCATCCAAAAAGCAGAGAAACTTGACTACATTAATGGCCTCACGCAATGGGGGGGCTGGGGCTATCGAACGAGTTTGGATATGAATTTTGAGACTGGTTATATAGCCACAAATGGCCCTGGTATTGGTCTCAGCTACAAGGACACTGAAGAGGGCAAAGACAAGGTGATCACTTTTAATTGTGCCGAAGCTGACGTTGTTTGTCGAATGTTGAACACACCCGTCATTAATGCAGTGGTACACTGATAAGTGAAGATGAAAATAGATGGTTTGAAATTTTTGTTGTCTGGTTCCGAGTTCTGGTCTTCCTTTTCTACCTTTACTAGCTAGTAGAGATGAATGAGTTTGGATACAAACTTTGTGAGACTGGTAATGTACCCACAAATGGCCCTGTTATTCGTCTCAGCTACAAGGACACTGAAGAGGGCAAAGATAAGGTGATCACTTTTATTTGCTGCGGAAGCGGAGGACGTTTGTCGAATGTTGGACATCAGGTACGCTGATGAGTGAAGATAGATGGTCCGGAGTTCTATTTGTCTGGTTCTGAGTTCTCAGTCTTCCTTTTCTATCTTCACTGAGACACTGAGACGGACAGACGAGCCAGCTAGCCGCCCCGGATGGCCCAGCACAAGCCCCCATGAGGTGGCAATAGCCTCTTCTGCACCAGTCTGTCTAGCTACTAGTAGAGGTTGACACACTCGCTGCCTTGTTGCAAGTGCATCAAACTAAACATCGCAATTAGATCCCTTATATCAGATTGCAATGAGACTCTCTAGTACTGCTTTTTTGTCATTATTGCAATTGCTGCTGCTTCAACACCTTTTCAATCGCATCCACCGAGTCTAAAACGACGCCACTGGCAGCTCTGGTCAATCGATCCTGAAGCGCCAGCGTCAAGGCATCATCATCATTGTTGTTGCTCACCACTTGCGGAAAGACAATGGTCCGTGTTGTTGCTGGTTCTACCTGTTCCGCCCATCGCAATGCTTCAAACACGCATTGTGCCGCTTGGGAGGAATCCCCCGACGGACTCAAATCGCGATAGTTCTTGGCATGGGCTTCCAATGCCACCAATTTTCCACCAAAGTCCAATACAATGGATTGTTGGGCCAGCAATTGTAGTTGGGCGTGGGCGTCTTGTTCTTTTTGAAACAACAAGTTGGGTGCTATCAAAAAGGATGGAATTCGTGGCGCGTAGTGTTTGATAGTTTGTCCTGGTGCCACGGTCGCCTCGGTTTCTTCGACAGTGCGACTGCTGAGACTCGATACTTGAACATTTTGGATTCCAGCTTTTGTCAAGGACTCTTGCAAATCTTGCACGGCAATGGCTCCTTGTCGTAGTACGGTAAGAGCATAATATGGTGTTGTGGTTGTTTCAGCTGTTGTTGATTGTATCTCCAATTTGGCCACGGTACTTTCGACTCCTACTTGACAGGCTGGCTGTTGTTGTTGTTGCTGTTCTTCCAATACCCATACATTTTCATGTCCCAAATCATCCATGACATGATCGGCTCGAGTGGGCGAGACGTGTCCGAATTTGTTGGCGGACGGAGCCGCAATGGGAACTTGCGCTTCTTGAATCAATGCTTGTGCCAATGCATGGGAGGGACATCGGCATGCCACAAACCCCGTATTCGCCATGAGAATGGGAGGAACATGGGGTGCCGCCGGTGCGACCAATGTCAAGGGGCCCGGCCAAAACGAATCGGCGAGTACTTGTAGAATTTTGGTGGCATTATCATTATTATTGTTGTTGTCGTCTTGTTGTTTCCACAATGGCATGGCGTCTTGTGTTTTGGCAACGTGTACAATGAGTGGATCGGTCAAGGGTCGTTCCTTGGCCGCAAATACCTTTTGGACGGCCGATGGATCCAAGGCATGACATCCCAGACCGTAGACAGTCTCTGTGGGAAAAGCCACCAAGTCACCGGCACGCAGTCGTTGTCCACATTCCACCAATTGGGAGGGAGTTACTTTGCGTGCTACCAACGGTTTGACAAAATTGTCGTCGTCGGAGGTGCTGATTTCCTGTTGTTGTTGGGGTGTCATGATACTACTAGCCAGTCTTTGGATAATATTAGTATTGGAAGAGGTGGTAGATAATCTCTTCTTGAAAATAGATAACTGATTGGGGTTGTGAAAGGCAAGGCCACGACTGCACCAGGAGATCATCCAACAGCTACACAGCCAGAAGCACACGTTTCGGTATAGCGGCACACTCAACGATGCCAATCTTCTTCTGGTTCTTCTTGGAGCAGCACGCATTCATTCAGTCATTCATTCACTGCAATTAATTGAGAGAAGACACTGGGATATTTACTTGGATACGGTAGACAAACACAGTAATAGAAGAATCGAATCAATAGAGTAAATCGACAATAATATATTGATACCATTGAGTGTTCTTTCGGACAATCGAATCCTTTCACTTCGATTTGAGGGGGTGGGCCCGCCGAGTTCCGTTGGAAGATTGAGTGGTGGGAAGTGGGCCTTTACGACGTCATTCTGGATCTTTGCAATATTATTGTTATTCAAAACCCAGTGCATGGCCACCAAATCAAAGGCGGCATCTTCATTGTTTGCCAAAAGTTAGTGAATCAAAGCAATTTAACAATTGAAGAGAGATGGAGGAGGATCAATCATCTGTCAAGACCAAGTCGACCACCACCAGTGGCAATGAGGCTGCTGAAGAAAAAGCTGAGAATGCCAACGATGAAGACCTAACGACGGAGGCCAACAATAATAATGGGAAGAATGGTAATAACCACATGAATCGCAAACGCAAGCGAGAAAGTGTCGATCATTATGCCAAAGCCTACGAGAAGACACAGTACGAGCCCATTGCTCCACAACCTCAAGAAATACAAATTCCAGGAATTCCGTATCGGGTGCCGGCCAAGCACCATCCTGGCACTCCCCTACGACAATTTGCTCATTCCTTTCGAGCCAGACTACTACGAGCAGAAGACAAAGACTGCAAGATTGACTCGAATGGTAACAATTGTCAAGTCATTCATCAACATGGCAATGGACTATGCATTGTCACTGCTGGGTCTTGTTTCCGATCTACACATATAGTAGGCAATGGCAACAATGACAATCCCATACAGTCCATCGAATTTCTCGTATCCCCCGCCGATCCTTGCAGTGCGGGAGAACGACGAAAACGACAAGCCAAAATGCTCAAAAAGGGAACCCTCAACAACAACAATAACAACAACACTACGGCTTCTGGAATCGTAACACCCTCCACCATTATTGCACAAGTCACACTGAAAAATGGTTCAATTATTCCCATGTATGCTCTCGTCTGGGGAGCCATTATGGAACTCAACACACATCTGACACAAGAAAAACTATCCTTGTTGCAAACAGATCCACTATTGGACGGATACCTGGCTGTCATTCTGCCAACGGGGCCATTTCCTCCCAACAATAAAACACAAAATACAGCAACAACAACAACCAATAATAATATTGAGAACGAGGATGAACCTGATGATTGCAATAAGAGGGCACGAAAGGATCCTACCGGTACTGCAACAAAAGATGGCTAACCAACCCTAATAAGATGTCCACTCTGGCTATTGCCACATTACTTTCTCTCAATTTCTCCAGCATGCTCTCACTGATGCGAGATACGGTAGCATCAATGGCTAGTGGCCACCACTGATATCTTCTGACAGTAGATCCTTCCACAAACTTACTTAATCACTGAAAACTGGGTTCTTCATCACTTACTTGTTATTGGAGAAGGACTGCGACCGCAACGACTCCAGTGTCTCTTGCCACCATTCAGGCAAGGAACACTCCAAATCAATCTTCAGCATGGGAATCGAAAGAGCCGAAGCATGCAAAAAGAAACGTTTGGATTGTGGTTCTTGTTGCTGTTGCTGTTGCTGCTGTGATGCCTGTTTATTCTTTCGGGACTTTTTGCTCTTCTTATTATCGGTGGCATCCACAGTAGTTCCTAGATGCTCCTCCTGTAGAAGCAGATTGGCGGGAAGAAATGCGGACAAGTCCACTGCAGCTCTGGATTCTTCATCTGAAACGGAATACAAGGGATCCAACACAACTGGGCTATGCAATTCTTGAGCTAGATGAACCCGTACTTGGTGCCGCCTTCCTGTTGCTGGTTCAACCTTCAACAGTGCGGCTGCATCTCCATAGGACTCTAGCAGGGTCACCCTGGAACTAGCCGTGTGTCCGTGAACAGGACTGTCCAAGGGAATACTACTAGCCAAAGATGATAAACCATCTGGTGCAGGTGCGACGAGAGCTGTGTATTGTTTGTGGACTTGGCGAAGGAAAAAGCACGTGACTAACCGGGCATGCATCTCATTCGTCTTGGTCCATATCATGATTCCCCCCGTTCCTCGATCGAGGCGATGGACGAGTCCCTGACAGTCCGGGTTCAACGTGGAGAGTGGGACATTGACGTGCAACAGAGCATCTTCCATGCTAATGTCTTTGGTGGTGGTGCCCTTGCGGTGTTTGGATGATATCTTTCCCGCTGTGGTGGTCATGGTGTGGTAGCAAGTGATGCCACTGGGTTTGTCGAGGACAAGAAAGTCCTCTGTGTCCAACAAGATGCGAAGCGACTCGTCTTGCAAGACCTGCCTTAGGTTTGTCTCCAAAATTCTAGTAGTAACGTCAGAAGTAGAATCTTCTCGTTCGTTGCTGCTCTGATGGCTAGGTTTTCGTCGTCTTGCTGCAGCCAAGGCTTTGCGTCGTTTGGAGCCGGCTTGTTTCTTGCTGGCCTGAAGACCTCGTTCCAAGATCGACCGGGCAAAGGATGGATGTTGCTGTTGCGTGGCACAGAAACACAGACTGTAGGTGACAATATCTGGAGCAATATAGTGGTCCTTTGCTTCTTGTCTCTCCATTTCATCCAGAGCACTCCATATGGATTGAGCCACATTGGCAGCATTCTGTTGCATCGACACATCATTATCAGCATGCTGGAGAGCAGCACAAGCTCCAAACAAAGCATTCATTACAGAGGCAGCCGCCGCTCTCGGTTTGGGCAGGTTCTGGGTTGCCTCTACGCATGTCATGATGAGGATGGACGGGGGCGGTTGCAACAAGCATTCAGGGTTGTCTCTAAAGAAGGCCAAAACTCCGTCTGTCTCTCGGTCTTGATACGACGCTTTGATTTGATCTACCAGGTCAATTTCAATGGGTTCTTCGTCGGGTACCAATGATGATTGGCCACGGCTGCTCGTTTTGTCTGCTGTAGAGAACAGCCTAGTCCCAACGTCAAGTGGAAGAGTTCTTATTGATCGACCCCATGGCCAGATACGGCCAGAGAGGTGCTGGACGGTCCACCCAGCCACTGGCGAAAGAAAAGACAATGAACAAACCAACACTGCTCCGTGGGAGATCGAGGGCAGTCCTCGCTTACGCAGTACATGTGATAACATTCTCTGCCTTGCCCTCCCCGCCTTCAGAATGATGAATCGAATCGGGCGTGTTCCACAACAATGGCAATACCGTTCAGATCTTTTTATGCAATAATAATATTTTGACCCTGCAAAACCCTGTCTAAGGCTACGGGGCAGCTAGTAGAGCCAGCTGCGAGTACCCGTACATGTACCGGTGGCCATGTTCAAACTTGTCTGTACGAAATGGCCGAAAATCACGATTCTACTAACCAAAAACTAAAATGTGCAAATAGCAAACAAATAAGTGCTAAAATCAACCTGAAACATAAAAATATAAAGTCAAAACACAAAAATAGAAAAGGCGACTACGCGGTATACGGAATTCTGACCCTTTCAGATAGATCAACTGCATGCTGACCTGTCCTGCAGGAATCCCCACCCACCATGCAGAGCCAGGTCACTGTAAATAAGCTGTAAAGCAGCCATGGCAGTAAATTCCGACAGGGACAGCAGCGAAGCGGAAGAGAGCTTTGAGGAGCACGAGGAGCATCATGAGGGGCAGAGTCGATCAAGCGGAGGGGATACCGAATCCGGCAACGAACACGAAGAATCAGATGATACTGATGATGATGACGAGGAAGTAGATCTCATTCGGACTTAGCTACAAGATCGGTTGTGTCATCGGCACAGTACCATGATGCTGAGTGAGGAAGAGCAGAGATGGACGTGGGAACTGAAGCAAGCAATGCAACATCGACCCAATCTTGACGAAGAAAATGACATGTGGCTGGCACACTATTGCATAATTGCTCAAGGGGACCTCTCCAATGCTTTGAAAAGGATAACTAGAATACAGGCATTTCAAAAGCAGTATGGAGTCAACAATTCAGTGGAACAGTGCGTTGAAATGCTCTCCAAGCTGTTTGAACTCATGCCAGGGGGAATTCTGTATCTGGATGTTGACCCTATGAAAAATGAGGGTCTGCACATCATGAATAGTGGAAAACACAATCAAATAGCTGCCATGGAAACAGAGGAAAACTGGAAAACTTGTTTGGTAGGTGCTTCCCTACTGATGTTCTGCCGACACTATCATTCCTGGTCCTTGAACATCTAATCTAAACAAGTCTGTTGCTCTGTTCCCAAGGTTGGGTTCTATTATTACTTCCTTGTCTGCCAGCCAACTCTGGCAACCATCCGAAATGGTCAATACACCATGGCTGATTTTGGAAGCTTTGATTGGGACAACCTAAAACTGGAGTTCTTCTACAAGTACAACCTGGAGTTCGGTGACATGTACCCTGTCCAGTGCAGCAAGTTCCTGGTCTTCAACACAGGGACCATTGCCAATGTAATGTTCTCCCTCACAAAGCACATCTTTCCCCCAGCGATCATGTCAAAGGTGGAATTGGGCTGCACTGTTCCCTTAGGAGAAGAAAATGAAGCCCCAAGGTCATTATCTGAGATGTATTTACAACCTTCTCTTCTGGAGGCAAACAATAGGATGCTTTCCAGAGCTAGGGAGCTCATGACACTTCGGACAAAGATGGAAGCACATTTCCAATTCTAACCAGGCATTTTGGGCACTCCGGGCCATAGTTTCTTACAGCTGTTCTTACACACATAGGTTTGGCACAGAGGGCTGCAGTAACAGTAACCATTGTTTCGTTTCTAGCTACAGTAGCTAGCTAGAGATCCGATTCAAAGGAGGACCCAGCTCAGAAAATGCAATTGCATACACTTCTGCTCTACACGGATGACGACAACAGGATAGCTACTCTAGTGCACTACTGCGGAAATCCGAAAGATATAGGATAGTTTGGTGGTAGCTATTTGGTTTGGTGTATGACTATAATGTTCACCAAAAGGTCCGTCCGTCCTTGACATTGCTCATGCTTTTGATTTATTTGCAAAACATCAAGGTGTTGCTGTGATGAGACGGTTTTGAAGAAAGCTCCCCTGAAGCAGAAAAGTATAAGGCAATCTGTACTTTCTGCAGAGCACAATGAGGTTCCACCATATCGTGGAATGAATATCGTTCCCGCTCCTCCACTCTGGCTTGGTCAATTCTTCGATTCCACCCTCTCCTTTGGCAACGGCGTGCAGCTCTTTGCGGAGCACCCACGGACTCAAGTATTCGCAGTACAGTGGCGTTCCCAAACCCTGGCTGCCCTGAAAGTCAGGCGCCAAATTGGTCACAGAGAATCGAGGAACGAATCTGTGCTTGCAAGCAGGACAGGCAGTTGTGAAGTTGCTAAAGGCGCAAGGAACCCACCCCTGGACAATGTCCGACTCCTTCAACTCGGCTGAGCATTGCGGACAGCAGTCTCCGTGCGTGTCAATAGACAAACTTGGGTACAAAAAGTCCAACAAGTTCTCGGCCAACATGACTTGCTTTGCAACAACATCAGAAACGGGCATGCCAATCTGAAGAGAGGACTTGCGACGTTTACGTTTCGACTTGCGCTTCTTCTTGTTGGTCTTTTTGTGAGGCGTGAACCATTCCATGAACGATGATGTGGATTGTACCGGTGCGCTTGCCACCGAAGATGATGATGAATCAGCAGAGAACACACTTTCATCGTCCGAAGACAGGAGACCAGTCAGACAGGAGGACGAGCCCCGGAGCTCACGACTGCATTCCAACAGTTCGAGTTTTTTCTCGAGGTACTTGTAGTAGGCATCGTCTGAACCGCGGTGAGGCGACTTCACATTGTCTCTGTTTGCGGGAGAGAGCCGACTAGCCAGGGCCGCGTCGTCGTTGTGGGCAAACGCAGAGACAAACCAAGAGAGCACTTCACCGTCAACTAAACCATCGTGCTTCATGATTTCAATGAGCTCCAAAGCCCGCTGTGTATCACCACATCTGCCGCAAGCGCCCATGAGAGATTTGTAGGCGTCGGGATCCGGTGCGAAGTGTCGAAGTTGCGACATTGTTTTCAGCGTCTCAAAACCAAGGTCCAACTGAGCGCTCGCAACTGCACGGGCTTCCTCGTACTCAGCCAGCGAATCGTCTGCAATGTTGTCCACAAGTGACGCGGTTCTATTGGGAGTCACGTAAGGCTCGGTTGTCTTGGACGCAGTGCGCTTCACCGCGCTAGCAAGAAGCGAAAACTTCTTGAAATCTGGATACATAATTGGGAACGGAGAAGTGTAGGGAAGGGTGGATCCAACCGTTGCCTTAGTACAATCGTCGCAGACTGCAATATAGCAGTCGTCGTTGCAATTGGCAGATGAAAGATCCTGGTGGTTCCCAGTAGTCAAAGCGTTTGATGGAAGCTCCCTGTTTTCGTCAATAACATGCTGTTGCGAGGACCGTTCTGGAGTTTTTGTGGTCCCGGGTGAAAACAGAGGGGTCCTCGCAAGATTCTCTGCTTCCAGTTCCTTTCGCTTCTTTTGGTACTCCTGCCAATCACGGCCAATGAAATGAGAGTAGGCGAAAAAGAAGACTGTAAAGGCTGCGCACTCCGGGGAAGAGTCGTAATCAGCCGCAAAGAAGTCTTGTTGTTCGTCTGGAACAAGATCGATGCTGTCGGCCTCCTCTCGAGGCTTGTAGTTGGCCAATCGCAAACGGGATACCAAGACGCATTGACGATCGAACTCTGCTGCAATCATTCTTGGGATAGGCTTTGGAGCGCAGACCAAGGAGAGGTCGAATACCTCGGGCCACACTTTGTAGACGTATGGTTCCGAGTTTCTGCTTTCGGACAACCCTTCCGTGCTGGGCTCGACCGCTTGGACCTTCTTGAGCACCTTGTGGGCCTTGGCGCTTTGCAAGAACGGAGTGTCCACCTTTCGAAGCTTCAAGCGACTTCGGTTTAGTTTCGCGTCAATGCTCTGGTCAAAAAAGATCACGTCAGGCTCGCCAGGGCTGTAGAGCCGCTTGGTGATATAATCCTCAAACTGTTGCGTCTCGCACAGCGCGGCTAAGAAAGGTTGGTTTTCTGGTTTTTGCGACGCAATGAAGTCTTCCTTGCGGAATACACCTGGCTCGTTTCCGTTTGGCGGCTTGGCAAACTTCCGATAGTCCTTCAAAAGCGCAACGAAGAACCGAAGGAAGGCTTCTTGGACTCGGTCCCATTGACTCTGCTCGTAGTCGGAGATATTGTCGTTTAGGATGTTTGCCGAAGTGGGAGTGAAAGCTAAATTGAAGGCGTGATCAAACGAATGCAGTTTCTCCTTCCACGTCTGTGACCCCTTCTTTTGTAGATTGGCGAGGTTTCGTCGAAGATTGATACGTCGGCCATTCATGAGTTTGTGATATTCAGCATCCAATCCCCGTGTTTTCCAAAACAAGCTCCCAGCTGTCTGCTCGATGGCCGCCCTCAGCTTGGACCATTTTTTAATTGGCGGGGTAAGAAATGGTGGCGTCATCTCCCCGGTTGCGACCGTGTTCTGTCGTCATGAAAAATGGGAGGGGATTGGTTAGACAACAAACAGAGAGACAAAAGAGCAAATGCCACTATCGTCCACTCACCCTATCCAAATCCACAATGATAGTTTCTCTGCAGACAAATTGCTGAGCATAAAGCCAGTTCTCTCGCACAACCCCACACAAGTACGGGACCGGAGCATCCAGCATGGGGCAAATGAAGCGTGGCAACAGCGGAACATAAAGATGACACCATCGCATGGGAAACAAGAGAGATGTCAAGATTTCGGCGCACACCGTCAAAACGGAATATTGACTCGACACCAACTGGAAGAGAGTAAGAAAAGCAAGACAAAACAAAAAGTGGTTGAGGCAAACGAAAAAACACATTATACGCTCTCTGAGGAACAGCTCAATAAGCTGATGCGTAACCTACCAGGATCTTATTTTCCATGATCAGAGCATTCCACAAGAGGAGAATGTTCTCCACGTCCAGGCAATCAAACAGGGTTTGATAAGGTAGAGCGACGTAGGCAATGGGCAACTTGGCAGGCGGTGCCCAAAATCTAATGGTGGAGTTCAGGATTGACACTTGCACTTCGTAGGCACCCGGTGGTGGTGCTGGAATCTCTTGGGTAATGTTGATGACATAGCGCTCAATGGGGGCCTTCATAATGTTTGTGGAGGACGAGAGCCGATATAGCTGAGCCAAATATTCTCGGAATGCTGTCAGGTAGGGCCAGGTGGAAAGAATACAGAGGACCTTGGGGATATAGAGTGCCGAGTCTTTGTCGCTGACAGTGACCTCAATATCATGGCTAGAGTCCTCACTGTGAATATTGTCTCTTCGGATCCATGGTTCTTCCTCAGACGCATGGTACTCCTCCATAATGGTCAAGCATGTCCCATAGACCTTTCTGCCCTTGTCGTTGGTAAGAACAAAGTGGTGGACCCGTGGCAACTCATAAACTCGAGATGGCACAATAACATCTCCAGAGGGATAGCAAAATTGAGTAATCATTGGATTCAAGGGATTGTCAGCGTGATCCATGAGAGGAAACCGTGCCGTAATCAGGGGCTGAAAAGAATGGTTACAATTCTTATGCGAAGGCATGTGAATATTTTCATCAGATCCTGATTGACCAGTTTCCTCCAAGTCGGGTGCTGTGCTTTGAGCATCATCGTCTCGAGTCCACTCGCTTCGAGGAGTCGGAGAAGCCGGTTCCTCCAGCGGGTTTGTTGCTGAGTCCACTTCCTTCTTTTCATCATCATCACTGAATGACGGCCGTTGTTCCACAGTAGCGTCATTGTCTAGGACTCTAAATCGAAATCTGGAACCAAGAGGTTTGGGCTTTTTCTTGGTGGTTGGAGGGTTCAGAGGTTCAGGTGAGATCAAGTTGTCAGGGTCAAAATGTGTTGTAGTGCGTTGGTTTTGGCTGGGGGTTTCAAAGACAATGGGCTTTTCAACAGTTTTAGGAGGATCCTTGGCCTTCTTTTCTCCTCCTTTCTTGCGACTCTTGGGGTCAGGAGTCTGCAAGCGTGGAGTTGTTTCCCATCGTGGTTGGGATGAAACCACCACAAAATATTCCACCAAACGCTGAACGGCTGTGGATGTGGCTAGAGCATCTTCCACAGAAACTTTTCGTCGCATTTTGGGCTTTGAGGGCGATTTAAACGACCTCTGGGAATGCGGTGGAGTCGGAACAACACCGCCAACTCCAGCCTTGTGGACTACTTCCGGTGCAGGTGTCGAGGCTTCCGGTGGAGTAGAGCTGTCAGATGAGTTATTCGTTGCGGAAGCACTCGACGAAACCGCCGGTGGCGACATGGGTTCTTCTACTAATGCCATTTTCTGCTATTTGTTTGTTGATTTATCTCTCGATTGGATGAAGAAACCAATAATAGAAGGGACTGGAGGAGACAGGGTTATCGATGTAAAGGACGAGAAAAAATGGTCGGGTCTTGTAGATCGCAGCCGGAGTGAATTTATTTGTTTTGAAAGAGGGCTTGGAATTGGCTTGATGTCCCGTGACACAAAGTACTGGTGACCGTTTTCAGAACCATTTGGCAATCAAAGCATTGTTTATCGTGGGTATAAGGCTTCCCACATGTTTGATTGACGCCGATAGTTACAGTTGCACCTCTTTTAACTATTAATTAACACTGTTGGTATTCATCTTGCCGACTCACACAGAGCCGACTCAGCGGGGCGACCTCTTTGAGATGGACCGACTGCACATTTTGGACCGTAATTTACTAAATCAAATAAATCTAGTCTTGGGGTGTTGGTTGGAACTGCACCCGCAGTTGGTGCTGGTCCTGGAACTGGTCCAAGTGTGGGATCTGGAGATGGACCAGTTGTACCGGTAGGTCCTTGAGTAGGTTCATTCAGGAAAAGGTCAAGAGAATGGTTCGAGCATCTTCCCCAGGAGTGCGGCAGCGAGTTTGGCCTTGCATTGGTCTGAGAGATTTGGTTCAGGATTGGTGCATACATGCACGCGGTGTTTCTTGTGGGATTGGTTGAGCCTTACTCAGTGGAAAGTTGTCAAAGACTCTCAGCTTATGAATTGACCAATGGAAAAACAGATGGATCTTTATAGTTGTTGTTTGACACCCACAGATCAAACACTGCAAGATCCCAGCCCAAGCGCTTTCTCCAACTCTGTATTGGAGCCTCCAAAGCTCCTAAATCCAAAAGAGCTCCTCATTATTCCAGTGCACAATCCCAAAACCTAAGAACCAATTAAACCTATAAGTCCCTGAATAGTCAATCGGTTTGGGATATCGATACCTAGCACCGTAAACGAGTTCATCCGTAGGACTCCGTTGCCGTAAAACTACTAGTACAGTTTGTCCCACTGTTGGTTCAGGTGCTGGTCCTGGAGGTGGTACCAGTGTGGAGCATGTTGGTGTACCTCTAGTTTTGCCCGACTGTGTACCTAGGTTGGCCCTGGAATGGATCCTAGAGTTGGACCAAGTGGGGCATTATGTTGGTCTGAGAAACACGGGTCGGGATTGGGGGCTGGAGTTGCGGCGTGGTATTTGTCCCAGCATTCAGCCAGAAGTGGGGCGTGGTGATTGCCAGGCATGGAGCCTGGTGGTGTTTGAGTGTGACCTGGCAATGTACGGTCCCTGGTGTTGGACCAGGAACTGGTCTCGGTTTGGGCCTGGAGATTGACCGGTTTTGGTTCAGGAGTTGGTTGGTTGAGGAGCTGGTCCCGAAAGTGGTCCACAAGTTGGGCCGAGGTGAGTTAGCCTTGGCGATTTACCCGTTCTGGCCTGGAGTTGGTCTGAGGTTTGGGCCAGGTTTATGTCCAAGTGTTGATTCCGGAGTGGGGCCAGATAATAATGAACAATATATATATATGGGATCTGACGTTGTTGCTTGGACCTGTTGCGTAGCCCAGGTGCTGGACCTGCCGTAGAATACACCACACGGTACGTAGAGCAGACATCCTAGCTAGCTATGGGCCAAAGAAAGCTGGCCAAGAAGCCACCCAGTTCGTACCATAGAGACTGGTCAAGTCGAGACAGTATTGAAGAACTAACTTGGTGTTCCTGTAGGCTGTTTTGAGTTGAGGCGGAGCGAAGAATGTCTGTACTTGTTGTTGCTGCCAGCATGCACTCCATGTGTTCGACAGGAGTTGGGCTTACATGTACAGGAGTTACAGTGCATGATTGGCCTGGGGTGGCGTCTGGAGCATGTCCAGGATGCATCAGAGGGCCTGTGCGGTGGTTTAATTGGTACAAAACAAGCAACTGAGCTATTATTGCAGCCGTGAGTGCCTGCACTCTACTAGACAATCCCGACAAACGAAACTAAACAACAGCATCTCGAGACGGCAGCCTATTGCATGGCTTGGCAGTTGATGTGTAAAGGTTGGAAAATGAAAGAGCCCCCCCCCCCCCTCCGAAGCGAACCAGAGGACCACGTGGCTACCGATTATGCCGGTAGAGAGACCGGAATCTCAAATGATGTTCTCGGTATACCTGGCACATTGCAGACCCATACCGGTACCCTTCTTGCCGCAGAGGATCGAAGCAAAGAGATCATAGCAGCCAGTTCGCCGTATTGCGTCGACACGATTTTAAGATATTTGCACACTGGATTGGATGCATTGCTTCGCGGTGCCACCTTCGCATGTTGAGGACGTTTGACATGGGATCAGCCATTCTTGGTGAAAGGCTTCTGTTCTGCTGTGCCCCAGGCCTGTGGTGGTGAACAAGGCACTTCAACCGTTGGCTGCTTCTACTACTATCGAGCGATACAGGTGATGCAACAAGACCCAAAGCCCGAAGTAACTTGGAATTTAGAGTTCATCCTGCAATGTAATCGCGGGTGATCAAGCACGTAGATCGTCAAAACTTGTGTTCTCTTTCCCTCTCCTATCTCTTCGTCTTCTTTCTACTACTTGAGTACTCTGCCGTTAGATCTTTTTGCCTAGAAACCGACGATGAAGTGGTACCGGCACCGGTACGGTACCGGTTTCTGCCAGAAGTCAAACCAACAATGGAGAACTCCACCGGTACTCGGTGGAGGCAGCGGAGCAAAGTGCCAAGCAATGTTTTCCAGCCAGCCAGCAAGGACGAAGTGTGGCACAGATTCCGAGGACAGCAATCCTCTACAAGTACGCTGTAGCACTCAGCACGTGAACGGACCCTACTAGGCAAATCAATTGTCGAAGGATTAGGGCCTCCTCTGGATATAGATAGCTGATACGGCCGTCACGCACGGTTCGAGCTGAAAACTTGATTGCGAATCGAATCAGGGCATCCACTTGTGGCGGTACTCTAGTCTGGCTATTGAATTCCTGTGGCCGTATCGTAGGAAAAGTAGAATTAGCTGTGTACGTAGAGTCAGTGGAAGACCAATTATCATTTGATTCTGCTTGGAGCTAGCTAGCTAGATAGATAGCCAACAAAGCAACACTGCTTCTTTAGTTGGTGTCCGCTTGGATAGTGGAGCACGCACGAGGGAGTGGGTACGGTACCGTACCAGGTAGAGCTGCTGTGAGAGTACTGGTACCAGGTAACATGTAACATCAGTAACAGGGGCCTCTCCAGTACCGGTGCTACCATGGTACGGTACCCTTAGCGGCAATGATGGACAACGGTCTTTGGTGGATCGAGGGCGGCAAAATTTTCCCGGCCTGCTTTTGGCCGGACGACGGTTGGACGAAAAAGTAAAGGATGCTTCCGGGTTCTTTTGCCTCAGGGCCCGCCGTTGTTTGCTCTTTACTGCTTTTTAGGCACTGTCAAGCGAGGACATCAGACAACGATTGCTCCGCAGCCAAAGCTTTGTCTTTATTGTTTGTTGTGTTTAAAAGGTGAAGGTAAGGGTTGATTGATGTTGTTGTTTGTTGTTGTTGGAGTGTTGTTTTGATGTTTCGGCTTGTTTCTGTCATTGTTGGGGACCCGACTGGAGAAATTAAATGAGGAAGCGGAAGATCGAAGCTTTTCGTACTGTCAAAATTGTGACGCCACCTTCACAAATTGACCAGTTTTCCGCATTGCACGGGTGCCTGGGAGTGCCAAGAAGTGTTTTTGGACCCTGCAAGACCGTCAACGACAACTATTCTACACCCTCTGCATGTTTCTTTGCACTCTTTACACTTATTGTTGCTCTATTGTTGATTTTACGGCACCAAGCCTACTTTATCGCTGGATGCTCACGGTTTCTGCCGCTTGTTGACTTTGTTGACTTTGTGGATGCCTTAGCGGGTGATTCTGATTGTGGAAAGTGAACACTAGACCAGCCATTGACAATGGATGACGACGACGATGCCAAAGAGAAGGCGCGGAGGGGAAAGAGAAGGACAGCCAAAGTAGTCAACTATGCCAAAGAGCAGCAGTTCAGCGATGCCTCTGACATCTTTGAGGACAGTGATGACAGCGCACCCAAGGCAAAGAAGCGGGGTCGTCCTCGGAGAAGCGATGCCAACGATATGGTCTATGCTCAAGACGATGACACGTTCAAAAAGACAGGTCCAATATATACGGAGCGTGGCTACGACACGTCTCTTCTCCCCATCAGGGAACGCTTTCCCTTTTTACCCGAGTTTGAAGCCGATGGATCTCCAAAGATAGATCTCATTGTAGGACGTAGACCCATTGACGAAAAAGAAGAGAGCAATGAGAATGAGGGGAAGGACAATGAAGATGAGAAGAAGGACGAAGAGGATATGTCAGACGAAGATGATGGAAAGCGCCGCAAACGCACTAGACGTTCCAGCGCCGGCGGCAAGGGAAAAGGAAAGTCCAAGTCCCCCGCCAAAGCAACAAAGGAGGCCACGACATTGGTGGAGTATGAATATCTAATCAAATACAAGGGTCGCTCTTATCTGCACTTGGAGTGGAAAACTGGGGCTGACCTGGAAAGCATGAACAAATCCGCCAAGGGAATCTATCGGCGCTACCTCAAGAAGATTGGATCAGGCGATGAGGAGCTGGAAGATCCCAACTTTGATCCTTCGTTTGCCATCCCACAGCGTATATGCGACGAAGCCCAACAAGAAATCACAGTGGAGCTCTCAGACAAGGAGTTGCTCAAGTGGGAGAAGGAACGCGCCAAAGAACTGGCTGCTGAAAAAGATGATGACTCGGATTCTGATGACGACAAGCCTAAGAAAGCCAAAGTTGATGACAAAAAGGACTCGGAAGACAAGGAAAAGAAGGAAGAGCCCACAGAGACGAAAGGTAAGTCCACCCAATTCCCTAAATGGTTCTTGGTTGTCACGCCAATCATATTTCTGACCATACGGTTCGCACTCAGAGGAACTAATGGATTGGGAAGGAGAGGACGATATTGATTTCAGGAATGTATCTATGGATCGCTTGCGGAAGATCCTTGAGTCTGACGGATCTTACTATCCTAATATTGAGGGGTCGGATAACGCCTATCGCGACGGATACGTCACCGAGCCACCCAAAAAGCCCCGTGCGTCGTACCTCTTCTTCCAATGCACAATGAGAAACTACTTCAAGAAAAAGCATCCGGGCACTACCATAGCCGAACTCATGTCGATCCTTGGAGAGCATTGGCAAGCCATGAGCGACGAAGAGCAAGCTCCATTCATCCAACTAGCCAGGGAAGAAATGGCTGCGTATGACCGAGAGCGTGCTCTCATGGAAAAGGCTCAGAAACCCAACGAAGTGTGGCAACCAATTAGGAGGTGCCGAATGGTGCTGAACAAAATCAAGGCGGATAGCTTCGCCGACATTTTCTTGAGTCCCGTGGAGTTGGATGATTTCCCAGACTATGAAGAGACGATTGACCAGCCGATGGATCTAGGGACAGTGGAGACGAAGCTCAACAATAAGAAGTACCAAGCACCTGAACAATTTGCCCGCGATGTTCGAAAGGTAAGCGTCCTGTTGTCTTCGTTTCCCTGGTGATACATACATGTAGTGAAAGAGAGCCTTCTGCTTACACCTTGTTTGTCACATAAGATTTGGAACAACTGCAAGATTTACAATCAACACGGTTCGGCCATTTGGCACGTAGCAGACTACATGTCCAAGCAATTCGAGCGGCTCTACCATGCGTGGGTGCTTGACTTCCGCGAGCGCTACCTGCGCTGGGCCAACCCGAAAGCCAGGCCTTGGGAGCAGACATGTCGACAATGCGACGGCAAGTGCGGCACCCCCAATGACCAGCTTGTGATGTGTGACCATTGTGATGCTCCTTATGGTTTTAAATGCCTCCCAAAGCCACTCAAAAAGGTGCCCAAAGGCGTCTGGCATTGCGCAGATTGTAAGCCAAGGCTCAACACATTGAAAGGGACGCGGATGCTTTCTGCCATGGCAGAAGCCGCAGCTCGCAAGAGGGCAGATCTGGGAGACACACCGAAGAAAAAGATCAACCAGACGATGTTTCTTGTGAAATGGGAGGGACTGGGCTATGAATATTGCACATGGGAAACCAAAGAAGACATCAGTGGCAGTGGTCCCAATTTGATTGCAGTGTTTCACAGACTCAACAATACGTTTCCAGATGAACCTGACATGCCAGAAGCTGACGTGAACAACCACTTGAACAAGGCAAAACACCTCAACCTTGAAAATGCGGGTGGAACTTCTTGCGTTCCTGAGCTTCGTTCGCAGCTGTACTCCCAATCAAGGGCTCTACAGTTTTCTAAGTTTGGCAAGGATCTGCCGGAGGGTCTTTGCAGCCTGTGCGGACCGAAGACTAAAGCATCAACAATTTGCAAAACTGTCAAGGAGCCATCGCTTAATCGGGATGTGGTTGAATGCATCTCGTCGCTTGTGGACCATGTATCCAAGGAAAATGTCTTCAAACTACAGGCAAAAGTCACTTCGCATCTACCACCTCTGCTCACGGGTGAATACGATGTCATCATTCCAATCACAGCAAAGGGGTTGATGATGAATGTCGGCGAAATCCACGGCTCTGTGGCGTTTCTGGGATACCGGAGCTTCCCGGATGGTTCGAAGGGTCCTTCTGAAATCAAAAGACTGATTCGCAATGTAGGGGACAAGATCATTGCAGTTGATGGTGTTTCAACTGTGAAGAAGACATTTCAGCAGGTGATTGCGATGCTCAAGGAAAGTGGAAAGCACAAGTACGCATTCATGCGCTTTCTCGAAACAAAGTTCTCCGTCTGCGACAGCGATCTTGCCAGTGTTGGGGCAACTGGGCGTTACGCCTTTGAAGAGTTACAAAAGAAGTTTTCGACGGATCGAGAACGCTTGCTGGTCCAGCGCAAACAGCAGCTCATCGAGGCCAAAACTGACAAGGTTGACGAGGCGGAGGAGAGCGATGGAAGCGCTGAGGCCGACTCTGATGAAGAATCTGAAGACGGTAGCGAGGGAGAATTCCAGCCTGATAGTGATGCCGAGGAAGACGAGTTGATGAAGAAGAAGAGGGGCAAAAAAGCAGCTGAATCCCCGGAGCAGCCTTCCAAATCTGACAGCATGGACCAGACACCCGACTCGAAGGGCGACAAAGAAAAAACGGAAGAGCCTTCACATGCAAAATCTGCCAGCAAGGCAGAGGACGAGAAAGACGAAGTCCAACCTATAGTGCTCCGCCACGAGACCACTCGCTCCTTGGCGTATCGACTACTTGACGTGGATATCGGCGACAGCAGTGACGAAGGCGGCGACGAGGATTGTGCGTTCTTTTACGATGGAATGGATAATACCTACACAACCATGGCCGCAGTTGCTGCCGAGGGGATCGAGCAAGAGACAAAACTGGGCAAAGTCGAAAAGCGAAAATCGCAGACTGAAAAGAAGAAGGAAGAGCCAACAGTTCCAGTCAAGCGTAACGAGTTTTCCGAACTTGGAGAACGATCCAAGCTGGCTGCATCTGTGCTTCTAGCGAAGCAAGAGCCAGCGGAAGACAACTTTGACAATTTCCCCTACCCCTCGAAAAAAGCACTGGAAACAAGCCAGCAGGAAGCGATGATGCTTGATGAGGCAGGCAGCCCTCTGAAAGCAGCCAAGCGATCTACCGTCAAGATTGAGCAGATTGACACGACAACAGACGAGATTGTTCATGTGTGGGCCAATGCACAAAGCGCCGCAGCTACGATGCAGCTACCTCTTGACGAGCTGAAGCGTCTGCTTGATGGAGATTACGACGAAGATCTGGGGGATGAAATCGGCGGCTATCGATGGCGTTTTGCCCTCGCAGGTGCCAAAGTTACTGCAGGGCTGGAAACGACTGGAAGGGGCAAGAAGGGAAGAGAGGCGTGGCTCGAGTTTCGTGACAAGCTGTATGATCCAAGCGAGCCCCACCTATACAAGAATGGGAATCGTCTGCGAGATTACCAGGTCGATGGTGTCAATTGGCTAGCCTCGACCTACTACAAACGTCACGGCTGCATTCTAGCTGACGGTAAGGAAATTACATTGCTTCGCTGCTAGCTAGTAGGGATGAGATGGGACAGAACCGAAATGAGCTCACGAACTGCTTTGGTTTGCTTTCTGTAGAGATGGGTCTTGGGAAGACTGTTCAGATTGTATCTTTCATCGAGCATCTGTATCGGGTTGAAAAGATTAAGCGGCCGTACTTGGTGGTTGTGCCTCTCTCCACCGTGGAGCATTGGCGTCGTGAATTTGATGGATGGACCGAGATGGTAACGTGCGTCTATCACGATCGACAACGTGTTTGGCGTGATGTCCTGCGCGAGTACGAATGGTACTACAAGGACCGACCACACACGGCAGACTTTCTCAAGTTTGACGTGCTGGTGACAACGTACGACACTCTCATTGGTGACTTTGACGTGATTAGCCAGATCCCTTTTCGGGTGGCTGTCGTAGACGAAGCGCATCGTTTGCGGAACCAGAAAGGGAAATTGCTCGAGTGCATGCGTGAAATCAGTGCGAAGGGAACTTTGCAGTATGGATTCCAGAGCCGAGTCCTGATGTGAGTACTTTGTCTTGTGTTGCTGGTTGTGAACGTGCCTGCTGGGTGACCGCTTTCTAATACTCCCTTCTATTTATCATATGTTGCAGGTCTGGAACACCCCTTCAAAATGACCTGAATGTAAGCTGGCCTGCTGTCTGTTATGTATTGACCATTGACCATACCAAAAATCTGTTGTCACTCACATTCCGTGCACTTGGGGTGATATCTGAATCACATCACAGGAGCTATGGACGCTGCTGAACTTTATCGAACCCTTCAAGTTCCCTGATCTGGAAGAGTTCCAGGCCAACTTTGGAAACATGGCCAATAGGGAGCAAGTTGAAAACTTGCAGCAGATGATATCGCCGTACATGCTTCGGCGTATCAAGGAAGATGTAGCCACCGACATCCCGTCAAAGGAAGAAACCGTCATTGATGTGGAATTGACAAGCATCCAGAAGACGTACTATCGCGCCATCTTTGAACACAACCACGCCTTTCTGAACATGGGTGCAACTAGGACGAACGCTCCGAAATTGATGAACATTCAAATGGAGTTGCGGAAGGTGGGTCTCAGTCATATCGGGTTGTCACATAGGGTAGTTTGTATGCATTGCTGTGCACCTCCCCTCATCAAGCATATCTTTCTTCTTTCCAGGTCTGCAACCATCCCTTTTTGCTAGATGGCGTGGAGCACCGAGAGACTGAGAAGCAGTTTAAGGAGTTTCTGGATTCGGGTGCATTTGAGGGTAAGACACCGGAAGAGCAGCATCACATGATCACTGTACAGGGCATGATCATGTCTAGCGGAAAGATGGTGTTGTTAGACAAGTTGCTGCCAAAGCTTCGCCAGGAAGGACACAAAATCTTGATCTTTAGCCAGATGGTGAAGATGCTGGATTTCATTTCAGAGTACTGCGAGTTTCGTACTTTTCCCTACGAAAGGCTTGATGGGCGTGTTCGCGGCACGGAACGTCAGAAGGCTATCGATCGCTTTGAGCGGGAGGACGACAGCTTCCTGTTTCTCTTGTCGACAAGAGCCGGGGGAGTCGGTATCAACCTTACTGCTGCAGGTATGTATGGACAACTGGTTGATTCTAATTCGTTCAAATTCTGGCACAGCTCAACATAACATAACATTGTTTTGGTGTTTCTGTTTCTGTTTCCTACAGACATCTGCATCATCTTTGACTCTGATTGGAACCCCCAAAACGATGTCCAGGTAAGTTGAAGTTGAAGAACCTACAACCCCAAGATGCTTACTTGCTTTGAGTTGTACCACTCAATCACATGTTCGCCCACTACCATATGCTGTTGCGATCAATATGTATAGGCTCAAGCCCGATGCCACAGGATTGGGCAAACCAAGGATGTGAAGATCTTTCGTCTTATAACCAGCAGAACGTTTGAACAAGAAATGTTCGATCGAGCAAGCAAGAAGCTGGGTCTAGAGCAGGCGGTCCTGGGAACCTTCGAGCAGGCCAACGAAGACGACAAACCAACCAACAAGGAAATGGAACAGCTCTTGAAGAGGGGTGCTTATGCTTTGATTGAGGATGAGAACGACGAAGAAGGCAAAGCATTTTGTGCTGACGATATCGAAAATATCTTGGCCAAACGAACCAGGACGCGAGTCATTGAAGGGGCAAAAACGGCATCGTGGTGAGTTGCAATGACACAGTATTCTGTTGTAGCCTGTGCGCACGCTTCAGCTAACAACGTTGTTGTCTTTTTGTCAAATTTGCAGGCTGAACAAGCAAGGAATGGTTGTCAGCAAATCCAAGTTCTCCAGTGAAAGCGGCGCGGGCAAACTGGATATGGACGACCCTCTGTTCTGGCAAAAGGTCATGCCCGACTTTGTGACGCCCTCGATTATGCTTCAGAAGCTGGATGAAATTGTACGCACAGCTTGTGGATTTCTTGGACTCCTGTCCTTTTTTGTGATTTCCTCCTTCCTCACACCAATTCCATCGTTTTTCCTTAATATCTGCAGTCGGCGGAAATCCTCGGATCTCCCAAGAAGGGGCCTGGTCGAGGTCGCTGGCGCGAAAAGAGGGAACAAGAAGCTGCAGCTGCTGCCGCAGCGGCGAAGGAGGCGGTAAATGGCGACGACGACAAGAACGACCCAGACGGAGAGGAAAACGACAAGAAAGACAAGCCAAAACCTGACGAGGATGAAGACAAAGCGGAATCAGAAGCATCGGATAAGGAAGAAGATGAAGACGACGAAGAAGCGGATGAGGGTAATGATAGCGACAGCGAGGACTCGCAGCCGAAGAAAAAGAAGTTCAAACTCACCCGAACCGGTATTCGAAAGGTCGCAAAGTTCATGGCTGATCTGAAGAGTATGATGGCAAGCGTGCTGGATGAAGCCGAGGACAAGACGTTGTCCGCCACTGAGAAGGCAACGTGTCAGAAGCTCATGCTTCAGATATCAATCAACGAAAAGCTCTTCAATGAGCAGCAGAGGCAGTATGCTAAGGGCATGCTGAAGAAGCTTGAGGGCGATCGACGCCGACGGTGCCGTACATCCGACCAGCCGCGCTTTACCCCGGGACGTTCACGTCGTGGTAATGATGAAGTCCCTGAGAATGTGATCCCTGAAGAGCTTCGTATTGTGAGCACGAAAAAGGTGAAACGGAAACGCCGGACAAAGGCGGAAATGGAAGCCGATCGTCAAGCAGCTGAACTCCTCAAGAACAAGCGGAAACGGACGAATTCTGATGACGAGGTGGACGAGGACGGATATCTTCGCCACTCAGATTCAGAAGGCGACTGGTCTGATGTTGCAGGCGGCGACGGGATCTATGGGATTGGAAAGAAACGGAACGTCATTAGCCGCAAAGAAGCAAATCGACGACGGGGTTGGTGCGTCGACGATGACAGTGCGACAGCAGCCGGTCGACCTTGGCCTGTTTTCCCTCGCAACGTTGTTACCAAGGTCCTGCGCACCATGTTGGAATATGTATTCGAGTACGACGAGTCCAAGGGTGGGGTGTTTTCAGTTCCTGTTCCGAAGGATGATTTCCCGGAGTACTACGAGCAAATCAAAAAGCCAATGGATTACGGCACGATGAAAAAGAAACTGGATAAGGGCGAATATCGCTCTGCTCAGGCGATGCAAAAAGATTTCATTCTGGTCATGCAGAACTGTTTGGCATTCAACTCTGCAAACTCCGACATTGTCAAGGATGCAAAGCAACAAGCCTTGTTGAGGCCCAGTTTACTGCGAAAAGCAGCCGCGAAGCATCATTTGTTCTTGTCCGAGGACGGCACTGTTTTGGAAGTCGTTGAGGATGACGCCAAGGAGAAGGGTGGCGAAAAGAAGGAAAAGAAGAAAAAGAAGAGCTCCAGCAGCGAGCCACCAACCAAAAAGGTTTGTGTTGTAGTGTTGTAATGGTGTTGTCACTTTGCCTGCCATCATTTGTCTCACATCTGCACGGTGCGTGTTGATTTTTCTTTCTGGCCATAGAAAAAAGTGGTCATCAAGAAAAAGGCCACGGAAGACAAGGAAGGCGATGGAGGAGGAGGAAAGAAGGGCTCTGTCAAGAAGCCTCGAATTCAAATCTCCTTGTCAACTTCGTCGAAGAGCAAGGATACAAGTGAGGCTGATGGGAACGGCAAAACCATAAAGAAGCGCCGACGACGCAAGCCTGGAGAGACTGAAGACAATGCCAAGAAGAAGACAGAGTCGGATTCCCCAAATCCCAAGCGCAAGAGAAGGAAACTCATTAGTAATGATGCCGACGGCAGTTCATCCAAAGCCACCGGGCTTGTTGGCAAGGGCGCTAGCCAAATGGCGGACCCCGATGAGGACTCGCAGGATGAGGATGACAGGCCCATCACGTCAATGAAAGTGACGCGTTCGAAAGCTGCTGCAAAGAATGACAGTGAAACAGAGTCAGAAAACGACGCGCCATCCAAAGGAGACGGCGCCATCTTTATGGACGTTGATTTCTGGAAGAAGGAGCGAGAGAAGCTTAAAAAGGGAGACTTTCTCGCAGCCAGGGCTCTCTTTAGCAAATATGGCCCGTGGTCGCTTCCCGATCTGAACTCCAGCAAGCCGTTCAAGCTGATTGCCAAAGCCACGCTTTCCAAAATGGACAAGCATGACAAATACTCGGTCTTTGCAGATGCTGTTTCAGACAGCGAAGCTCCTGGATACAGCGATGTTATCAGCAACCCCATGCATTTCAGTAGGATGAAGCAAAAGATCGAGAAGAAACAGTACGGCTCAAGTTTCAAGAAATTGTACGAGGACTTTTTGCTGGTCTTCGACAACTGTTACGCCTACAATGATGCCGACGGGGATGTCGTGAAAGAAGCAGCTCGACTCTTTGGACTTCTGCCAGAAGCGTTTGCCACTGCCGCTTCCCATGCAGCAAAGCCGGCAAAGAAGTAAGGTTTTCACTGTACTCTCCCTCCGTGGATACCAACACCGTATTTACGTTTCAATGTTGTTAGGTGATAAGTGAATAAGTGACAAGTGTTGCGCTGCTATCAATAGTCTAGAGAATGGAATCTAGCTTATCTGGGATGTCTGCGCTCGGATCACTGAGGCTCGTCGGTGTCGATGGGCTACGGTACATGTAGGTACATGCAGGTAGCTCCTGTTTTCCTAATGTTTGAGACGTATTTCGGTTCAAAATGCTACGGTACCCCTCTTTACCAAAGTCAAAAGCGGAGGTTAGGGCAGAGAGAACAACCGTACAATAAATAAAGTAAAGCAAAGCTGCTGGTGAAAACATGGTCTAGTACATTTCATTGCTTTTATAGTACTGCTGGGATATCTGTTTCCACCATTGAAGAGGGTGCAATCTAGCCTCGTCTACTTCAGTATCAGGTGGCCAGGCGGCTACCGTTGAAGAAGCAATTTGCAGATGCCGTTGCGAAAGTGCTGTACCTGGTACTTGCCTCCGTGCAATCAAGCGCAGTAGAGGTTGCCAACCGCGTCGTCGTCACAAGAGGTCTCACTCGAGTCGAACCCTCCATCTCGAAGAAACATCTGGTGCGAATCAACTATTTTTTCGTCTAGTCTGAATTTTGACAGCACCTCTCCCAATTCATTCTCAATCGCACTCATATTTGGCGTGGAGGAATTCTCCAGGTCAACGATACTGGTTTCGTCAGGTGAAGATTCCTCAACGAGATACGAGTCATCCTTTTGTGGAACTTTCTGCACATTGATCCAGGCATGAGAAGACATTTTCGTTGACATGCGTAAAAACTCATCGGTGGACATGAGAGCCACCTGACTGGTCGAGCCAAGCTTTCGCATTGCCTTCTGTTGACGCTGGCAGTGCGACGCATTTCGAAGGACAATCTTCTCTGCGATGCTTTCTCTGGCCTTTCCGGCTGAAGCATCGGAGGAGGATATCTCAAACATTTCCTCTAGATTTGTTGGTTCAAGGTCATTTGAATCGAAAGCAGAGTAGTGATTACAGTGATCCACAAGTTGGCTTGAATGCGTTTTAAAGCTCGGAGACGATGCCTCGATAGAAACCGAATCATCGATGGAGGCATCATCGACGACGCAAGGCTTTGCTGTGAATTGGTTTTTCTTTGGTTCTTCTGGTTCGGCATTGGGTTGAATTGTTGCTTTCTCCAATTTTGCAATGCGAGTCTTCACCGATACGCGCGATGGCTCATTCTCGTTGTCGACGGCGGTGACTGGTTTCTCGTTTGTTTCCTCCACAAGCTGCGCAACGCCATGCGACTGGCTCTTTTGATGTTTTCGTCGTGAAGAGACCTCTAGACCGCTTTGAGATCCCAGGTTAACGTCTTCGCGACTGGTGGCTTTGGCTCGCCAACGACTGGGAAGTTCACGTCCTCCGAGGGAAGAACAAGACGACAACATTGAAATGTCGTCTCTTTGCTGTGAAAGCAGTGAGCGATGACTACCAGCAACCGAGAACTCACAGTCAAAATCGTCGTGTGAAACAAAGCTCGCATCATCTTTCCTCTTCTCACCGCTCTCGACTCGAACTGTAACTTCCATGTCAGTCATGTCAGTCAGAAGAGCGTCCACGTCTTTGCGCACCTTGGGACCGTAATCTCTTCCCGGTTTTGTCTCCTGCGTGAGGATTTGCAGCTTTGGCGGAGACAGCTGAGGAGTGCTGGTGTTTCCATTGCAGTTATATAGATTGTTCTCTACGACTGGTTGGAAGTATGAGATGCTGGGTTTGGTCTCCTTCAACGATGCGGTGGATTTCTTCTTCTCCTGATCTCGGGCGAGCTTTCTCGCGGCGTGTCGTTCTTGCTGCAAAACCTTTTGTGCTTCCATTCCTACATCAGAGAGCAAACAGAACTTTGTCTTTTCGCCCGTGTCATTGCCATTCGTACGTGGCGTTCTGTTCTTCTTGGACTTGTTGGAAAACCTGCCAGCAGCAGATTGGTTGTTTGTCATTGGCTCGTCAGGGCTCCGTGCGGTTTTTTCGCAAGACGTAGCAACTTGATTGCCCTGGTTAAGTGCCACGTTGGTACCATGGGGTGACTTGTCTGTACCTTGCTCGTCGACATGTTCGGAACGGAGTTGTTCCATTTCCTTAAACTGTGTCCAAAGATTGCGATAGCTCTTGATGTCCTCTAGCCGATCTTCAATCTTTGCGTCCTTCTTGCGCTGTTTCTCTTGGCGCTCTGCGATTGATGCTTTTCGCCTGATCCTGTTGAAGTCTCGGACCATGTGGTCATTGACAGAGTTTCGAGCCTTGGCACTGTGCCACAGCAAGTCTGCTTGACCTGGTGGCGGCGCCAAGAGTGGCGGGTTGCCAAAAAAGTGTGATCGAGGTGACGCCAATGCCTTTTGTTCCTCGTCACTTACTGGATCCTCGTCATCATCTTCTTCCAAGTTAGTCTTTGATTGTATACTACGATCATTGGTTTTGTTCAGATGAGGAGTGTCAAAGGTAAACTTGGACGGTTGCCGATTGCTCGACTCGTCATTGCCAAAACTTCTTGCAGAACCCACCAAAGTCTGCGAAGTGCAGGATGAAATGACAGATAAACTCAGGGGCCCGTTGGTAGACGGAGAGATCAGCGTCGACGCTGGAGTTGTCGCTTCTGTGTACGATGGAGAAAGTAGATCAAAGATCAAGTGTTTTCGATTCGAGCCGTCAAATTCAAGTGATTCGTTCTTTCTTGATGCAGCTCGGAGAATACTCTCCTGCACTTCATCCTCGTTGAATTGACAGAGAGAGCTCTGACAGGCTCCCATTTTCTTCCGATCTTACTAATATTTCTTTCAGTTCAAATGGTCTTTGCCTCGTGGATGCTTATGGTCTCTTGTTGTTGTCACACTTGAACAATAACCGGAAGGCAAAACAAGCAAAAAAGTGATCCCGAGTTTGGCGGTTTATTTCGTGAGGATAACGGCTAAGAGCCAATAAAACCTTGAATACCGAGGACCTTTTCCTCTGCTGGTGAGGACATAGAGAGCACGCCGAGTTCTTGAATCCGAGGGAAGATCCTTACGGTACACGTAAATGGGCACCACGACACCACAACCTCCGTTCGGACCACGGAGCTACGGGTAGTACCAGTACCATGGTACCAGTACCAGGTAGCAGCAGTCTCGTCCCACAGTAGTTCTTTGAACTCTTGTAGAGGGGAACTTATTCCAGCAGACGACTTCAACAGGGCTGGAATACAAATTGGTTGGTCCCTTACTATTATCCGTGTCATCGTTCTCCGTCCACAAGTGCATTGCGTTTGGGGTGCATCCCAAGCCAGCAATTGTTCCAAGGAGAAAGCAGCTACAGTATCTTTCAAAATATTATAGAGTCAGTTTAGGTGTACTGCCAGTACCACAGTGGGACTACCGTCAACAAGTCTGCATTCTTGAGGGTCGAATCTTGCTATCTCCCCCCTCCCCCCACTTTTTAAAAAGCTGATAACAGCAGTCTTAGATCTAGCTAGCATTCAACACCGGGACCACCCATACACAAAACCCAAATGGTTGGAGGTTGACCATCCTCGCTGCTAGGCTATGCTTGCTCGGGAAAGAGAACCTCAACGCTCCTATTGTGATGTTAGAATGACGTCATTGCTGATGTGCCAATTCTTCTCCTTAAGTAAATTTGGATCCAATGAGTCAAATGGGTTTGGGTGGGCTGTTGGGCCTACCCAAACAGTTCCGATGTGGGTAAGCCACATCGATCCACATGGTCGCTAAACCCATTTGACTCAGTCGACTCAGGTCGGCCGGCGATACTCGATGCCAACCATTTGGGTTTTGTGCTATGGGTGGTCCCGGTGTTGAATGCTCTTAACAGCCCAAAATAATGAATCCAAAAGGTCAAACAGGGATTCAGAGAACTAGTAGGTAGATTATCTATGGAAGCCAGCCGGGGCCAGGCTTTTAAAAGCAAAGAAGAGTTGAAATTCAGGACTAGGTTCGGTGGGATCAGGGGCGAGAAATTGGGGACCATTACGGGGGCCAAAGAATTTGGCTTTGATTCCTTCCCTAAACTACTTCAGGAGCTAAAAATAGGTAATCATTAGCTACTCCTTGAGTAGCTAGCTAGCTCGACTGTCTTGGGTCTGCACTCCTGGATGTCCCCTCGACTCATAAACTATACTATAAGGCAACAGCCGTAAAACCTTCTTGGATATACCCGACTACCCTGGAGGCTGGGACAGTATCGAGGACATCGCATTCCTAGCGTCGTGGGTCCATCACTTCTTTTTGTTGCTGATTGTTCGAGAAACTACCGTCATTGTTGGTGTTTTCATTCTAAAGGATTTGTTTCTTTTGTGCATCCCAATGCATCAAGCCCATTGATTAATCAAGAGCCCAAACTTTCTGTCCTGGCCGCCATAGGCTCACCAAGGACGGAGCGAATGACAACCACACTCTTCAGTACCTCCATATTTGGGACGTTGTGTTCTGGGCAGAGGTCGATGCACACCTCAAGCTCCAGGTCGGCGTAGCTCCCAAAGTGCGTATCCACACTCTTGACAACCACCCATCGCTGAGTGATCTCACAGTTGTCGGGGACCGTCGTTTTCAGCCACTTTCTGATGGAATCCACGGCAGCGACTGCGGTGCTCATAATTGTCTTCCACTCTTCTCGTTCTCGGACTCGGGCCGGTGCCATTCCCGAGGGCAACTGATCCAGCTCCGTCTTGGCATTCTTCTTCACTGCCAACAGCGGCTGGATCAAAATCTTAAAAAGCGCTGCCTTCTGCCTTCGTGGGTACATTCGCAGCATGCATCGTATGGTAACCAGGGATACCGTGCTGAAGGTCGAATCCTAACACAGTAGCATCTGGAAGAATATCTGGGCACCAAGACTGAAGAATGGGAGTGTCCAAATCTTCTTGACTCTCAGGATTCTCAGGACTCTCAGGAGAAGCCGCTGTCATGTTGAAAAATCTCTCTCGTGCGCTTAGTTTCATCAATAATGATGCTCACTAATGAAGCATTCCTACTAGCAGAGAGTGGTTTATGGCGGCCCTTGGCTATAAAAACCAGACGCGACTGAACCAGTGGCATGTTGTCGTCGACCTTGTCTGTGTGTGTTGATGTTGACGCTTTTGATGAAGCCATCCAGAGCAGGATTTTGATCTCAGTCATGGATACTAGTAATCATGGATAAGCGGGACCCAGTTTCAAATCTTTCTTCAGTTCTTTTGACAGCAGCATATGGATGGATTTTCTTGCCTTCAGCAATTTGTACAGGTGATGGAAGTTGTATCTCAGGCGCGGTCCTAACCATTGATTGTGACCTCTTTATTCCTCCCTTTGTTCGTGAAATCAATTTAACTGTTAAAATCGGCTTGCTTTCACTCCATTTCCACGAAAGCTGCGGTACGGCGAACCATTGATTTCCCATTCTCAATTCGCCGTACCGTAGCTTTTGTGGAAATGGATTTCGCGTAGGACCAATCAAAACGTTAGAGCCAGCCGAACTAGTCACGGTCACAATTCTTCAACTCTATTCTGCCAGTTCGGCGACTGAGTGTTGTTCCAAGAAGTTCTTTATGTTGTTCCAAGAAGTTCTTTATTGCGTGTGGTACTCACACGGTATTCACGGTTGGCCATTTACGTGCGAACCACTGTATGTGGATAGGAATGAAATCTTGATTCGTACAACTAAAAAAATCTACGAAAATAAATGTGTTTCGCGAATGCACGGAGGACACACATGGAGAATGGATAGGACCTCGCCTCAGACATCAGGCGAGGTCCTATCCATTCGCCATGTGTGTCCTCCGTGCATCGCGAACACATTTATTTTCGTCGATTTATTTAGTTGTACGAATCAAGATTTTATTCCTATCCGCATACAGTGGTTCGCACGTTCATGCACGACGAGATTCTATCAAAGAACAATCATATGCGATTTTCACGAGTTTTCCTGACGTACGGTGATTGCGTTTTGGCAGAATCTGGTGTGTGGATCCACCAGGATTGATGTGGATCAACCAGGATTCGTTGGGTGACTGACGACTGACGTTTTCGGAAGCTCGGCTGGCTCTAAGCCAAATCCATTCCACGAAAGCTGCGGTACGGCGAATTGATAATGTGAAATCAATGGTTCGCCGTACCGCAGCTTTCGTGGAAATGGATGGAAAGCAAGCCGATTTTAACAGTTAAATTGATTTCACGAACGAAGGGAGGAAGAAAGAGGTGCAAATAGCTGGTTAGGACCGCGCCTCAGAGAGTCGAGTCTGGTCCAAATGCAATAATATAGTACGGCAGTACAGCATTAGAGCATTCAACTCCGGGGCCAGGCAAACGCAAACTATCCATCTGTCCGTATCACGTCAAAAGCTTGACATCCTCGATGCCAGGCTATGCTTGCTCGTAAAAAGAGAGTGCCATGTCGTTGAGTCATGCTTGTGTGACAATTCCGTGACAGTTCTTTAACTTTAACCCTTTTACTTAAAGGAAAATTTGCCTCCGATTTGCCTAAAGACGTTTTGTGAGGCAAATCCGAACCATTTGCCTCCAGACCAAACCTGAGCCAAACGTCTGTAAGTCAACCGAATGTCTAAATTCGTCGCAGGTGTGGCTTGACTGGCTCTCTTGCCGCCAGATCAAGCTTCCTACTTATGGCTTTCCAAATAAAGTTTGCATTTGCCTGGCCCTGGAGTTGAGTGCTCTTAGTTTGCTATATTATCAAATAACTCATTATCCACAGCCATGCCACGTGGACTGGGCTACCGAAGGTACGGAAGGCCCTCGGACATTCTGGAATTTATCCACTACGAAAGCATTCCTCATCCCCTCAAAGCAGACGATGTGGTGATCCAAATTCATGCGGGAGCCGTCAACCCGGCCGACTATAAACACATGAGCGGTGCCTTGAGACCACTGGTATCTCGTCCGCTTCCCATTTTCCCCTGTTGGGATTTTTGTGGCCAAGTGATCGAACTGGGAAGGACCGCACAAGCCCACCAGAAGTTTCACGTGGGTGACATGGTCTACGGGATGTCCGCTGGATTGCGGCATGGCACTTTGAATGAGTATCACGTCGTGGACGAACGATGCCTCGCCTTGAAACCGAGTACCATGTCGTGTGAAGAAGCTGCGGGTGTTCCACTGGCGGCCTTGACGGCGCTCCAAGCCTGGGAAGAAGGGGGGCTCCGCCAAATCAGTCGTCCCGTGAAAGACCGGCGAGTCTTTCTTACGGGTGGTCCCGGTGGTGTAGGAACGTTTGCTATTCAAATTGCCAAACACATGTTTGGATGCGCAGAAATTTGGACTACCGCAAGTACCGAAGCCAAAATAGCTTTGTGCCAAGAATTGGGGGCCACCCGTGTCATTCATTACAAACAAGAGGATTGGACCAAAGTGCTACCCAAAAATTATTTTGATGTCATGTTGGATCTGACAGGAGAGGCGTACAAAATGTTTCCCTTTGCCAAATCCTCCGATACAGCTACCAATACGCGTGGCGCCGTCATTTCTATTTCTTCGGGCCCCACCGGCAATATTCTGGGGCGCTGGTTGGATAATTTGCCGGACATGACGTACGCTGGTGCCCCGAAAGTATACCCTGTGGCGGCCACATTTATCAAGATGTTACCTTGTCTCGTGGATGTTTTTACAGGAGGCCTCTTCTATAAAGGATGTGGTTACCGCAGGGGTGTATTCTTCAATCATGTCATCACCATGGCGTTAGGGAGTGATCTCGAGAGACTAACGGTGCTGATTGAAGCCGGCAAGATAAAATGCGTCATCGATCAAGTGTACGATTTTGATCATGCCAAGGACGCAATTTTACATGTGGAGAGTGGACGTGCAGTGGGAAAAGTCGTCGTGAAAATAGTCTGAAAGGTTGCTTTGGTAGAGGGCTACCGGTACTGTGAGAATATACAAAAGAAGGTAGGCACATTTCGAAAATGAATCAGACTACCCCCGCGGGAACCCTGAGGGTCGATTAGTAGCAGTCTCGTCCCATAGCATAGTTATTTGAACTCTTGATACCTAGAGAGGGGGGTTTAGAAAGGGAAGTTATGCCAGCAGAAAATGTTGGTCCTTGATCCGTGTCATCGTTCTCGCTCTGTCCACAAGTGCACTGCGTTTGGGGTGCATCCGAACCAGCCATTGCTCCAAGTAGACAGCAGCTATGTAGGACGACCCAAATCTTCCAGTTGTTGGATGTCATCTTGGTCGGGGTGGAGTGTTGCTATCATCCCTAGCCAGCTACCATGTTTGAGGGTGGATAGGGGTACTGTTGCGAACCCCAGAAGCTGCGGCTTCACGCCAATGGCTGATGGTCAAAGGGCGCAAAGTGGAATTATTCAATGCTTGGTCGACCCAGAAGCTTATGGTACTACTACTAAGGGAGAAGCCTGTGTGGAACCACCGATCTCGCAAGCTATAGTCTAGTCACCGGTATGTCAACTACAACATAAACCTCAATGAGCATGAAGCTGGGAACGCACTGACAACATCCCTCAAAGACATTAACTTATACAACTTTCTCTTATTTGGTGTTATAACAAGTCGGTATGTTCATTATGTACTCTTTGTGACTGAAAACTTTCTTTCTTCGGTTGGACACTTCATTTTTTATCCCATGGCATTGAGCTGTTGTTGAACCAACATGAAAGTGCTCTTGACAAGCTCGTTGTGGGCCACAATGACGGGAACTCGCGGGTGAGTCCTGACATCGTAAGAGTTGGCCTTGTTGGTGAGCACGTCAATGTCTTGAAGGATATTGCCCACATGTGCTTTGACAGCATCCAACGTGTATGGAAAGTATTGCCCGTGGTATGCCTGCTTTGTAGCTTCGTCGTTGGACTTGCAAGCAGCAAAGAAGCCTTCACCATTGGGGTCTTGTTCAAGGAGAGAGTACAGAAAGATGTCCCAGACCTTTGGTGAAATTTCGCCTGTTTGAGTGAAAAACAGCAGATCCTTGAAGTCATAACCCAGAGCCTTGATTTGGTTCTCAAGCTGAACAGCTTTGCAAAAGATGGTTGGGCTGTCATTGTAAAGGAACCCATATTTTGCAAACAAGGGTGTTGGGTTGGAGGGATCACCAAGTGAGATGGTGAGAGGTGATCCCGGAGCAATATCTTGCAGGGCCGTGGCCATGCAGTTTCCATATTCGTCATATGTGAGGGCAACATTGGCATCGGTAGCGTGGTTGAACTGTAGGATGGTGGTGATGGAACATCATGTGAGTATATTACTATAGAAAGAATCGTGAACCATTGCCAACCAAACACCCCAAGAAACGCACCATATCAGCCAAGGGAGCGATATTCTTTGCCCTCACAGGTTGCCACACTTCGGTGAACCTCGTGAGGCCCACATTGTATGCCCACCTCATTAGGTCGTCGTTTTCCAGAGTTTCTTGGCTCAAAGGCAAATATCCCTTCTTGAGCACATTCAAGAATCTGGAAAAAGTGTTTCTTTCCTGCATCGAAAGCGCAGCGGCATATGGTGGAAGGCAATCAAAGCAGGCATCTGTGGTTCAAAGGTTCGAGCACACAGGATGAGATAAAGAATGGACGAAGCAAAATACAGGGGAGAAAGCCATAGTTTTGTTTTTGTTTCTTACCAGTCATGGCTACACCATTGTAGAACAGTCGGGGCAACGAGTTGAGCCAAGGAAAGTAGGGCGATTGTTGGCCTTGTTCGTATTCGGACAAGATCTTGACCATCAGCCGAAATAGTGGGAGACGCTTGGCTGTTTCGTCGTTTTGGGACAACATGTTCTCGGCGGCCAACAGGTTGCCTCCAAATTCACCTTCGACATCACTCGACGAAATGACCAATCCCTGAGGTACATAGAGGATGGGAGTTCCAGCCGGAATGTATTGGTTGGTCATGGCACTCCAATCATACCCATCATTTGTTGTCAGCTCAAATCCTTCCGCCGTCTGCACTCCACAGTTTCGAGCCCAGTCTTGCATGGTGTAGACATCTCTCTGTGCTGTCTCCTGGATATCAACGGTTCCAGTGAATGTAGCCACCGAGAGCGGCCCAGCAAGTCCTCGAGTATGAGCGACACCTGTGTTGAAGGCGGGCTGGAAAGCCGAAACGGCGGCGGCAAAGAAGCCACTGGCCAATAGAGTGCTGAATTTCATGGTGGTGGAGAGTCTGTTCCGAATTTAGTGAACAAAGAATATTATGTCATGGAAGTCTAATGATTGGTACGGTGGCTTTGACAGAAGAAAGATTCCGGGCTAAGATTCTATCAAAAAATGTGACCGCACGACAACCACGTAGGGACATGAAACGTCAGATAGAATTCTTGGAGCGTTCACCGTAGTTACAAGCACTGTGTCATTGCTAAAAACCGGCTGTTTCTTGGACTTGTCTGGTAGAATGACATGGGTGGTGGGAACTGTGGCAAGTTGACCACGTTGATGGATGGGGTGTGACATTGTGGTTTTCGACGTTCGTACTCCCAGAGGTTTTGAGTCCAGTCCCAATTCCGTTGGATGCATCTTTGTGGCAAACTGTAAATTATTGAATGGCTCGCCAATGCAAAGCCTCGCATTGTCAGCTTCTTGCCAGCAATAATGACACTGGCATCGACCACATCTTCATCAGCAAAAACGAAGAGCCAGTGTTGGATAATGAACCGGAAGAAACTTTTGGATGCAGCCAGGGGTGTTGTCAATGGCAGCGTAGGTGCAAGGAAGAAAGATTCTCCTGATAGGGTATCTGATGCTGCTACACAGAGCCGTTCCCTTCGCTGTTTCCCCCTTCAGCAGCAGCACGTCGAAGAAGCTTTTACTACTTCCACCCCTGGCCAATTCCATTCATTGCTATGCGAGAAAATCAGAAAAGCAAAAACTCGCGTGTCGCTCGCATCGCTTTATGTGGGTCCAGCCGCATCTCCCACTGCAACTCCACGAGAGCAAGACTTCCTGGACGCTCTTGAAATCGCTGCGGCAAAACCACAAGTTCAAGTGAACTTGATTCTGGATAAAAACAGAGCGTTGAGGCCAGTGCCACTCTCGGCAGATGCCAATGCAGCAACCACTTCGTCGGCTCAGGCTGTCTTCGTGGCGCTCACAGCTGGCGGTAATCATGGGGACAAAAATAATAATCTGGCGCCAGAGGCTGGCGCCAACAACTTGTTCTTGGCTTCCGTTTTGTCACCATCAATGCAGTACATTCTCCCTAACCCCTTCAATGAAGTGGCAGGTGTCTTTCACATGAAAGCTTATCTCATAGACGATGAACTGATTATTTCAGGGGCGAATCTGAGCGAGGAATACTTTGTGGATCGGCACGATCGCTATTTACACTTCACCAAAGGAGGAGCTGGTCTCGTTGATTTTTACCACGAGCTTATACAAATATTGTGCGACCATGCAGATGTCTATTCAGGGGAAAATTCCTCTGTGACGCCAAATAATATGCGACAACCCACAACTAAAACACAATTTGTGCAAGCTCTCAACGAATTTCTAACAATTCCCAAAGAAAATGACACGGATGAACCTCAGGATGACTTCATGAACAACAACAGCAAGAGCAAAACGGTGGCTGTAGTAGTCCCCACATTCCAGGCACCCGAATCCTTCTTTTCTGGATCAACTACTCAAAGAGGGTTCCCTGATGACATTGAAGTGACTCGGTCACTCTTGGAATGTGCCCTGGAACAACAAAAGCTTCAAGACAAAAATAGCACATCTGAGACAGTCGTTCGACTCTCCAGTGCCTATCTGAATCCAACAGACAACCTGCTAAAGGTCCTTGCTGAATTCTCGCACATTGAGTTCTTGACTGCAGGACGGACTTCCCATGGGTTTGCTCCAAAGAAAAAAGCAGGTAATAAAGGCAAGGATTGGATCCCTACTGTGTTTGAGACCTTGTCCCGGGATGCATGCCAACATCTCGAGGCGGCCAAGCTGTTATATTACGAGCGACCAGGATGGACGTTTCATGCCAAGGGGCTCTGGTTGGAAGAGGGGAAAATGACACATGGAGCGAAGACATCAGTTGTCGCTGCCATTTGTGGCTCGGGCAACTATGGGGCACGTTCTGAGACTCTGGATGTGGAAAGTAACTGCGTGCTCATTATCCCATCTGGTTCTCCCTTGCAACAACCGCTGAAACAAGAATGGACCAACATGCTCGAGTACACTTCGGAACCTCCCCTTTCCTCCATTGGAGCAGGGAAAGCAGATAGTACGTCTGGAAAACGTGTGAAGGAAGGTAACAGTGAGGCGCCTCTGTCGTGGCCCTTGCAAGTCTGCTTGCCTATTCTTCGCAAGTTCTTGTGATACAGCGGATGCTTTCCTGCCGCGGGGAGTGACGGGGGAATGATTACCTTTTTCGTTGGCACCGGGAATACGAATGAACTAACTATGTGCTTCCTTTGGACGGGTGAAGCTATAAACGACTTATCACGAGTCCAACCGCCTTCCAGAAGATAGTAGCATACTACCAGTAGTACCCGATTGTTCATTAGTGTTTTACATTCATTTTATTTTAAAAAAGAAGTGTGAATTGGTTGCCTGCGATATACAAAATTTAGTCGGCCTTTAGCTGGGATCAGCTGTGCATAATGGAGTTTGTGACTTCCACCAACCGTCCAACAATCTTGATGGCGTCATCAAAACTCTCGCAGCTGCCTGACCCTGCACAAGATAGCAGAAGTGCAGTGTTGCATCAGATTCTTGCTGCCTTTGTTACATGTAGAGACTCATAGCAGAGCTAGAAGCATGAATACTGGCAACCACCAAACATGAAGAATACATTTCGCTGCCCCCGAATAGTGGCGATGTTCGATGTCACCCTCTCCCAAATCCTCCAAAAAGAGCGCCACTTCTCCTTCCTTTGATTGCCTCGTTACATCCTGAGGCGTGGAATCATCCGCGCCGTAGCATCCATCCGAAGTATCCTCAGGGTCGACACATCGACACTGGGGATACGGCTGTGCATTGTAGTCGCAGAGACCACGGCCGGAACAGCTAGCTGGACAAAACATCTGCGGGCAGACAGAGGCAAGCCGAGGGCATTCCAAAAACTCTTCTTCGGCCGTAGGAATCTTCAGAACTTGTCCGTCGTGGTCGCAAACTTGTTGAAACTCTCCTGTTCCTAGTAAGACTCTCCGCCGTTCCAAATCGCACTCGACGTGCATGCAGGCGGGGCGAAAGACGCGACGGTTGCGCTGAGTGTAAACGTCCGAGAAGGCATTGATACATCTCGATGATGGACCACTCTCCTCTCCCGCATACGCAACATTTTGTCCACTTCTAAGCATGATTTCGCCATGATCCTCGCTGGTACAATCAACGCCCAAGAACTCGTGTGCGATGGGGCAATAATCAGCCTGAGGAAAGGTCACTGCAAAATTGTTGTTGTGGAAGTAAGAACTTGCTTGGTGACCAGGGAAGGTAACATCCAGAGAATCGGGAAAGCTCGAAACATCAAAGAGGTCGCACATAGCCCAGAATTGGTGGGTTGGATCACACCTGATATTTTGCTCGGACTCCTCCGCCATTTCAAACTTGTCGGTGTCGTCTCTCAATCGGATGGGTCGATCGCAAAAGTAATCCTTTGCATACGCAGGGACACGACCGTCCACAATACAAGCTCCGTTCATAAATTCACAGCCTGCACCCAGGCCAAAGGTGGGAACTGATGCATTCTGATAGTTTACTTGGTACCAACCAGTGTCTTCCATTAGTGCTAGGGTCAAGGGTGTCACCATTGTGTTCCTCCAGGTCAAGGCAGGGGACATGACATCGGTGAGGAAGAGTCGCTCGTCCCAGTGTGATCCAACACAGGAAGCTTCATAATTCTCCAAACGAGCACCGATTGTCGAGTTACAGTTGAAATGATTCTTTACAACCTGAGCGACGTGAGGTGTTACAACGAAAAAGTACGAGTCCCCACTGTCAGAGTGCCCCATTTGCAGAACTTGAGATGATGGTAGCCCATGAATGTCCTCCTTTCTCCCGTTGGGACAAAGCACTGTTGTAGCCTGAAATGGTCTCGGGGTCAGAGGTTCCCCGGTTGTGGGATTGCGAAAGAACTTGAACAGGTACGAGTCAAATCCCAGCGTATGAGAGAGTTCATGGACGAGAATTGCATGGGGGTTAACTCTCTCATGATCTTTCAAAAGCACTGTACCATCTTCTTCCAACTTGACGGGTTGTTGGCGTATGCCGTGAGCTTGCTGGAAAGCTAGGGAGACAAGTTCATCGAGATCAGACGGCTCTGCTGTAGGAGGTTGTCTGAGGCACATATTGATAAACCCTATAATGGGCCTGTCATGTTGGTCTAGAGTGCAGGCAGCACCCAAAGCCAAGGCTCTTGGTTGACAGACAGGAACAGCTCCGCCATCGGGTGATTGCAGCTGGCTGTAGGCACTCACGATAATGACAATATCAGCTCCCGAGACTTCGGTGGGTTCTAGGGTAGACTCAAAGGATCCAAAGCAGCTGCTTGGGGAGACTGAAATGGGTCCAGCGACGGGATAAACCATCAAGTGTTGAGCCCAAGTTTCAGCTGCTTTCGGGAGTGCCTCATCTATTATCTCATCCAATTGCTGGTCAATATACGTGCTTTCCCCACGTCTCTGTTCCAACGGTGAAGTGATGAAATGAATGCGCAAATTCCTGAATTCTTTCTTGGTAGATGTAGATGATTGGTTGTTGTTTTCCTCAAACAAGCTTTCAAACGAGTCTTCGTACAGAACAGAATCTCGAACAAAATCGTCATCGAATTGGAGGTGGCCTTGAAGGACATCTTCCCGCAGAGAGTATACATCCTCAACGTTGTCTCTCTCGCTGTCGCTGTTATCACCATGTTGGTTCGGACGAAGGCCGTACTTGCTGGGAGATGGTTGCAGGTATCGTTCATGGGGGTGACGACCATTGTACTCTACTTCCATGCGTCCAATGGGGGTACCCGCGACCATGTCCCAAAAGGATCCCATTGGCAGCAAAACGTCTTCCTGTTCATTTCTCGATCGTCTCCCTCTGCGTGTTCCTGTCACTTTCTCATCAGGGGTATGGTGGGCCTGGGAAGGAACAGATTGTCGTTGATGAGCGTCCAGCGAAGCCTGAGCCGGCAGCCAGGGCAGAGAAACCAAAAGGAAGACCCTTGGCAAAGTGATGCAAATTCTCAGGGAACTCGCCATGGTGCTAGCAATAGAAAGAAGCAGCAAAAGTGCCTTGACCATGCCAACCAACACTCTAGAGACAGAGACAGCTCTATCGCTGTCTTGTGAGGACAATTGGGCCTTCAAACACAAAAGTGGCGGAATTTTTCCCGCCGTTCAGACTCTAACGTAGAGCCGGCAAGCCGTGTAGAACATACTGTATGGTAGAGTATCCACGATTGAGAATACAGGTATTAGTGCCGGTACGGGACCTCTTCAGAAGCCCAAAGAGGGAAATCCGGAACAAAAAGCTTTGTCATTTGACAACCTAATCGGCTTAAATGATCAACGTCATGGATCTTTTCTCTTGCCTCCGCAACCACGAAAATCGTCATTTGTTTTTTGTGAGAAAGCATTCGGCTCGCAATCATTTGCAACAACCACCTCTTGAATCTCTCGTCCCATCAATTAAATCAAGCGGTGAAGGGCAAGCAAGATGGTACTGGAAGTAATGACGATGAACCGCTTGCGGCTTGCGGTGGGAAAGATTCGATGCGGCCCAAGAATTCCTGCTACTACTTCCCTGGCTTCCTTCAGTGGCCACCAGCAGCGATGGATGAGCGATAATCAATTCGAGCATCGAAATATCGGAATCAGTGCTCACATTGACAGGTACGGAACTGAACTGAACAATACACTGCTATTCTAGGTTTTCTGTATGCCTGCCTGTCTTTCTCACATACTTGTTGTCCCATCATTACAGTGGCAAGACCACCCTCACAGAGCGAATTCTATTTTACACGGGCCGTATCAACGCTATCCATGATGTCCGTGGCAAAGATGGTGTCGGAGCCAAGATGGACAGCATGGATCTAGAGAGAGAAAAGGGTATCACCATCCAATCTGCTGCCACTTTTTGCAAGGTAAGTAAAGTTTTGGTGTTTTTTCAAGGTTTCGAATGAAAATATGTTAAAATGGCGTTTTTTCATCTTCTCTACAGTGGAAAGATACGCATATCAACATCATTGACACTCCTGGTAAGCATCATCTGATGGAAATCATTATTTTCAAAGCAACCAAGTTTGTGCTAATAAGTATTTTTCCATTTGCCATACAGGTCACGTTGATTTTACCATTGAAGTGGAACGAGCTCTTCGAGTTTTGGATGGGGGAATCCTTGTATTGTGTGGAGTTTCGGGGGTACAGTCCCAGTCTTTGACTGTTGATCGTCAAATGAAACGCTACAATGTGCCGCGCCTTGCGTTTGTGAACAAGCTGGATAGACAAGGGTCAAATCCGTGGAAAGTAGTCAACGATTTGCGTGGTCAACTAAGCCTCAATGCAGCCGCTGTTCAAATTCCCATTGGATTGGAGAACTTTCACGAGGGTGTTGTGGATTTGATTGAGCAAAAGGCTTACATCTTTGAAGGCGCCCACGGAGAGAATATAGTGGAAACAGATGAAATCCCAGATGACCTGCAGGACCTATACACCGAAAAGAGGACTGAACTGATTGAAAAGTTGGCGGATGTTGATGATGACATTGCCGAACTATTTCTCATGGAAGAAGAGATCGATGCTGAAACCATGAAAGAAGCCATTCGCCGGCAAACAATCGCCTGCAACTTTGTACCAGTCTTCATGGGGTCTGCTTTCAAGAACAAGGGTGTCCAGCCTCTACTTGATGGTGTCTCTGCTTTTCTGCCACAACCATCTGAGAAACCCAACTATGCCCTGGATCGCAGCAACAACGAAGAACCTGTTCAGGTTTCATCCAAAAACAATGATCCACTGCTGGCCCTCGCATTCAAACTCGAGGAAACACCATACGGACAACTCACGTACATGCGAATCTACCAGGGAATGATCAAGAAAGGTAACTACATTCACAACGTCAACGACGGCAAAAAAGTGAAACTAGCTAGAATTGTACGCATGCATGCGGACGACATGGAAGAAATCACCGAAGCAGGGGCCGGAGAGGTTTGTGCCATTTTTGGTGTTGACTGCAAGTCCATGGACACCTTCTCTGATGGCGACATGTCGCTGGCTATGAGTTCCATGTTTGTGCCTGACGCTGTCATGAGTCTGGCCGTCAAACCAAAGGAATCCAAGATGCAAACAAACTTTGGAAAAGCCTTGAACAAATTCACAAAAGAAGACCCAACCCTAAGGCTTCGAGTAGACGACGAAACGAAAGAGACTATCTTGAGTGGAATGGGAGAATTGCACTTGGAAGTCTACATTGAACGATTGTCCCGAGAGTACGGTGTTGAATGTGTTACAGGAGCGCCAAAGGTAAACTACAAAGAGACCATCACGACCAAGCAAAAGTTTGACCACTTGCACAAGAAACAAACAGGTGGACAGGGTCAATATGCACGCGTCATTGGCTTCATTGAACCGCTGCCGGAAGAGGAGCGAAAGGAGCTTGGACTGCCAAATGACTTTGAAAACAGGCTAGTGGGCCAAAACATCCCTCCTGAATACCATTCTAGTTGTGAGAAGGGATCTCAGGATGCCATGGAAGAGGGGGCTCTGGTTGGAGCCGAAGCGGAAGGAGTGAGGGTTGTTCTTGAAGATGGAGCGGCACATGACGTGGATTCGTCCGACATGGCCTTTCGTACTGCTATGGCTCGTGCTGTCCGTGACTCTATGCGACAAGCCAAACCAAAGATTTTGGAGCCGGTGATGAGTGTGGAAGTGGATGCTCCTGCAGAGTTCCAAGGTGCTGTAGTAGCCGCCTTGAATCGGCGGAGTGGTATGATCCAGAACAGTGATTTGAATGACGACGGAAGCAGTGTGAAAATCCTTGCCGAGGTTCCGCTCAACAACATGTTTGGATATGCCACAGAACTGAGAAGTCAGACCCAAGGCAAAGGTGAATTCAGCATGGAGTACCTAAAGCACATGCAAGTGCCAGCCAATACACAGACAGAGCTGATGAAGAAGTACAAGGAGGAGCAGGAAGCAGAGAATGCTGCCTAGTAGGTTTTTGAGACGCTGGTGCCTGTGATTTTTAAACTAATACTGCAAGATAGACAACAGCCAGCTTCGCTTATTCTTCTCTGCTCTGCCGCTTTAGATGGCAGAAAGAAGGTAGAAGCCGGCGAGACCACGGGGTACACGTAGTCTACCGGTACCGGCAGGGTGGTACTCGGGGAGGACTTTCTGCGACAATCGAACCGGTAGATGCACCGGTACCGGTACCAGCAGAAGGTACCCGGTACCACCGATGGCAACGGCAACTCCATGCCTTTCAGTTTCAATCTTCGCTAACCGGCTACGTTGGCACCGGTACAGCCTTTAGAATGCTACAAGTAGCTATCCATACCGACGGTATGTTGGCAACACTATCATAGAGCGAGGCAACGATATCGAGAAGCCCCAATCAGAGAAGGGTTCTGAAATGGAATGCTTTGATACTTTTTGTATTTTCACAGCTATTTCCTCGAGTTGTCAACCAGCAGGCCGTGGAAGATTCATGTTGATTGACACGTACCGAGGCTCTCTCGTACTTTTCTACGAAATGAATACAATCTAGTCGATTCGATTGAATCATTCGTCTTCCTATTCGAATAAAATCCGAATCGAACAATCGCCACCGAGAGGCCATTCTGAAATCGCACGAATGTGTTCCATCAAGAGCGAAAGCCTCTCTTGGAGCAAGGTTCAAGGTTCCCGTCGACGTTGACCAGCACAACTGATGAGAGAGAGCAAACAAACTAGCTGCTACAGGTAGAAGAACGTAACAGCGAGTGCAGGCTAGGGGCCAGATCATCTTTGATTACCTTTGGCTTCTGGTGGTGGCCTGCCGACTCGACTCATCACTCCGTTTGATATTGATGGTTCGATAAGGCGACCCTTGATCTGCGACAGAAAAGCGCTTTCACCCCAAAAAGAGACTGACGAAAACAAGATGCAAGCCCTTCCACTGGCCAAACGGGCCAAGCGCCCGACTCATCAGAGCTCGGCTGCCTTAGCTCAACTTGCGACTTCTGATGGCACCGGCAATTTTGACGTCCAATACATGCCCCTCGACAAAATTAAGAAGCGAGTGCTTCATCCCTCCTCGGTTCACTACAGCTTGCCGTCGTCCTGTTGGATCGCAACCATCTACCGTCACTCCGACAGTCACAGCGATCTGAACAGACCTCGGTACTCTCAATTCGAGTTTGCCTCAGAGGCAGAAGCCAAACAGTTCTGCAAAACATACAGCCCTCCGAAAATGGACGAACCACGCGACGGCTGTTTCATTTGCAACGACACATTCAGTGCCAAACAACGCCCATACAATTGCCGAAATTGTGGTGTTTGTGTCTGTGACAAATGCAGCCCTCGGTGGATCAAACGGGGCGTTCCGAAGACTTACTTAAAAGGAGATTACCAGGCACAAACCGTCCGACTGTGCACCAGCTGCATTTGGCTGAGCAATGCCTTCTGTTTTGCCTTGCTCAAGGGACGCTACCATGACGCCACACAAATCTACGAGAGTGGCAATGTCAATCTGCGCACTTGCTTTGCAGACATTAGAGGAGAATCCTTGTTTCCAGTACATGCCTGTACGTTAGGCGGGAACTTGGAGCTGCTCAAATGGCTAGTGGACAAAAAGCTATGTCCCATTTCGGTCAAGAGAGATCCAAAATCTGACAGCATGCTCTCTGTCAAAACATCGTCAGACAGGACTTTGATTGATCTGGCCATGACAGGCAAACCCAAACTAGATATTCTGATGTACCTGGTGCACAAAGGCATTTCCATTCTAGATCTGCATGACCCAAGCTTGTCGGCTCGAACACTAGAGGCACTTTTGAAGTCGGGGTTCGTCCCTGGTGGACCCGAGTCTGCCATTATGAACAAGGTCTTGGCAACCGTAGAAACCAGTGAAAGTTCCGTGGCCACCGTCGAGAATGCGGTAAGCAATGAGTGGAAGTGAAGGCATGGCCCGTCCGTCTATCGTCTTTATACAAATAATGATGTGCCACTCACTTTTGGTTCCTTTGCTCCTTCCGCGAAATTGAATCAAATCTCAACTCCTACTACTTACTTGTGTTAAGTGCACTCTTTGTTGTGAACGAGGAATGGACTGCGTTTTGCAGCCTTGCGGACACCAGCTTTGCTGTGCCGAGTGCGGTGGAAGGCTTGCTGTGTGTCCATTTTGCAAGAAGAAATGCACTGTTCTGCGAATAATCAAATGCTAAAGCCAAGACGGACGAGAAACCAGAGAGACAAGACAGCCGTTCTTGCTCCCATCCATTTATATTCATTCCATTCTTTGTGGAGCGTGTGCCCAGTTTGGCGCTCGGACAGCACACATGCCAAGGAAACCCAGCTACTCATCACCATCCACACTTTGAAGTTTTCTGGCCACCACAGAAGTAGAACCACCGCAGCTACGAGCAGCTAGCCGAGCACGAAATTTTGCTGGCTAGAGAGTTTGGCTAAGAATTTAGAACTAGTTTACAAAACTGTGAAAAGTAAAAAGCTGTGTAGTCCGTTAAGGCCTAAACACTCTCATAAATGAGCATCCAACCGCGCACACAGGACATCGTGTGATATTCGTAGAGCACTCCAAGCAACATACTTGATGTCCACAGGGTGTTGCTACACAATCTATGCTGTGATCAAAACAGATGATGCATGCCTATTAATAGTGTTGTTTGAACCAAAAATGTGAGCACGGGCAAGAGAAGGCAGGCAAAAGATTGAAAAGAAAACTCACATCGCTGACAGATCCGTCGGAAGCAGCATCCAGCCCTCTCAAGTTGTCATCATGACAAGGGGCTTGCTCATCGGTCAAAACTTCATGATGAATAGAGGGGATCGGAACGTCTGCGCCAGATGCACTGTTTCCAGTTGCCACTTCCTCTGGAAGCAGCCGAAGCACAAGGTCAAGATTTCGACAAAGCGTATCCATTGTAATGTCCTTTTCCCCTGATAACTGGATTCCTTTGTCGACGACAAGGTACCTCACAATGCCGACATTTCTGTTCTCCAGTGCGATTCCAAGCAGCGAGCGGCCCTTTGACGTGGCAATCTCAGTGAAGCTGTTTGATGAGTCACGGCACCGTCCACTAACTCTGACAGACTTGATGGGGCAGCAATTCTCATCGACGAGCCACTTCAGCAACTCAAGATTTCCTCCAAGTGCCGCACACTGCGATGAAAAAGATGAACATGAAACCAGGAGTGAGACTCTTGTAGTGCCATGATACTGCACACGCAAAGAATACTTACATGAACCGGATAACTACATTGATCACGACAACAAGGGCCAGCGAGGTCAGGGCAGCAGAGACATGACACACATTAGCTGCTTTGTTGACAAGCACATGACTTACAAGAGTTCACCCTTCACATTTGCAAATGGGGTCACCACATTTATGTTGCCTGCATTGAGGAAGACACTGTAAGTCCCATGTTATCTTGCCCTACACCCGGACTGATGGAAGAAACCATAAAATGCTTACCTGTTGCGTGTAGGGCTATGGCCTTGTCTCGATCACCTTCTAACAGTGCCAGGCGGAAGGATGTGCATAAAAAGTCACAAGCAGCACACACATTCAGAAAGGATTCCTTCTTGATGTTATACGTCTCTGGGCACATCTTGGCCGGCCAGGGTCTAGAGCAACTGGAACTCGAGCAAACAGCTACCCCGCAATTGCGACAGTGGCAAGCTCTCCTGAAGACAGCGAACTTGGCCTTACATATATGGCAGGCAGGGTTCTTGTTGAATGCATGCATACGGGGTGGAGACCATGCCTTTGCCAGGCACGTTGCTTGTTGCTCAGTCAATACTGAGAAGGCCCTCAAAGATTTGGATGCTTCAATAACGTTCTTGCTGTCAAGTGCCTTTTGATTGGTGTTGACGGTGGCAACCCACATGTTCGTGGCTTCGCTGTGAATAACGGACCATGGCAGCAGCTCTCTTGGCAACACCGACTTAGCAAGCGAAACAGTGTTGGAGTCCTGACCTCTTTTACCATTTGTCGGCTTCGAGTCACCAAACAGCATTTCCATACCACGAGCCAAACTGATTGAAATCTGAGGCAAAAAGATGAAATCTTGTCAGGACGCTTCTGGACTGGGCACAACTTGCGAACGCCTCTAGTAGTTAACCACAATCAACGTACCTTCTGAAATCCACCTCGAGTTGTCGAAGTTGACATTGATGCTGTCGAACCAACACTTCCTGCGTCGCTTGCCGCACCCGTTGAATGGAAGGATCTTGGAGCAGGCATTTCAGGCTCGGGTATCTGGCTTGATTCGTTCTCGCTCAAAGATATTGTTGGTTCGACAGGTTGTCGGTTGACAAAGCGGCAATCGGTTTCATCGAACTCTGGAGCTGGAGCACTGGAATACGCACTGATTGACTCGACGGCCACTGCCGGTTGTGAGTTGACAAGGGGAGACCGACAATCGGTATCATCATAAAATGGGGCTGGAGCACTCGCGTAAGCATCAAGCGAAGTTACTGCAACAGCCGGGGTCTGTGCGTCGCCGTCCACTGGTGGTTGCATCACAAAGACGGGCTGTTCAGATGGGTCGCCTCTGAAGGACGGCGTCCTCATCCAATCCTCTTCAACAACTGTGTCTAATTCGGCGGTAGCCTGAGTGAGCGGAGTACCAACCGGATCTATCCGTGTACCCACTGCTGATGGTGCGCTGAACGCACGTGCAGTCGTCGGTGTGATGCGCTCTGGTGTTGGCAGACCACAACTGCTAGCACGAGAAACCCCAGGGGAGCTAACAACGCCGTCTGCGTCTTCATAGCCTACGACGGTTGCGGCCTGGATCCCACCAGCCGGTCCCTCGGCACTGTTGCCATCAAGCACAGCCACGGCGGCCGCACCAGCCTCCACTCCCACAAGCTCAGCCTGTGCCTCATTGCCTGAAATTTCAGCAGGATGGTACTCCTCGGCTATTTCAACAACTTCAGCTTGTTCGTCACCGTACGCAACCCCGTTGGAGGTCCCGAAAGTGTCATGCGAATAATACTGTGCATCAGATATGCCTAGAACCTCCGCTTGGTCCTCGGCTACAGCGTAAGCAGCCTCACTGTGAGCCACAGCAACACCAGGTTCGCTCTGAGCAACTGCAGCACCTAGTTCTCCTTGAGCTACAGCATAAGCAGCATCGCTCTGAGCAACTGCAGCACCTAGTTCTCCTTGAGCTACAGCATAAGCAGCATCGCTCTGAGCAACTGCAGCGCCTAGTTCTCCTTGAGCTACAGCGTAAGCAGCATCGCCCTGAGTGACAGCAACACCGGATTCACCTTGAGCAACAGCATAGGCAGCATCACTCTGTGCAACAGAAACTCCTGGTTCACTGTGAGCCACAGCATAGGCACCATCGCTCTGAGCAAAAGCAACACCTGGTTCGCTCTGAGCCACAGCATAAGCACCATCGCCCTGAGTGACAGCAACACTGGATTCACCTTGAGTAACAGCATAGGCAGCATCGCTCTGGGCAAAAGCAACACCTGGTTCACTGTGAGCGACGGCATAAGCAGCATCGCTCTGAGCGAAAGCAACACCTGGTTCGCTCTGCGCCACAGCATAACCAGCATCGCTCTGGGCGACAGCAACTTCTGGTTCACTGTGAGCCACAGCATAAGCCGCATCACTCTGGGCGACCGCAACACTGGGTTCACCCTGAGCCACAGCATAGGCCGCATTGCTCTGGGCGAAAGCAACGCCTGGTTCGCTCTGCGCCACAGCATAAGCAGCATTGCTCTGGGCGAAAGCAACTTCTGGTTCATTGTGAGCCACAGCATAATCAGCTTCACTTTGAGCCACTGCGACCCCTGGTTCACCCTGTGCCACAGCAAATCCTGCTTCACTCTGAGCCACTGCGACCCCTGATCCATTCTGGGCATATGCCGCCCCTGGCTCACTGTACAGGACGTCAAATGTGGCCTCACTCTGCGCCACAGCAGCACCCCCCTGAGCCACCGCGACAGCTGGAGCGCTATGAACCTCGGTGAACTGATCTTGCCGCGTAGCGACGGCCGGTAATTTTCTCTCTTCATAAGGAACATACGAATCTTCATTCATCACCGTGGCTTCTCCCGGCAGGCTAGCATTCCATCCATCTCCGCTGCCAAGCACTCGCGCTTCGCTATCTACCACGGCGTAGCCGGGTTCTTCCACTGCCATTACTGCGTGTGTCTCCGATGTCGCAGACGCCACATGAGAAGCAACTGCAACACCGCTCTCATAGCTTGATGCTGCAGTGGCGTTGAAAGATGCTACACCCTGCGGTGACGCGTACGCTGCAGAGGCCGCTGCAGGAGTGGAAGAATAGGCGGGAACGCTGTTGTATTCTTCTCCGATTAGTTCAGCCCGGACAGCAGAGATATCCGAGGGATGTACGTCATGTTCCGTGATGGCTACTACTGTTGCCTGTTGATCAGCAGCGTAGGAAGGGTGCTGAAGGGCTGCTCTGTCATCGAAGCCGCCCCCACCTCCCGCATACGCGGATCTCTTTAGAGCAAGCAGCTCTTCGTCTTCAGCAGCAAGCTTCGCCAGGAGCGCTTCCTCTGGAGTCTCACTTGTCCCCAAAACTGTGGCTTCTGCTGAAGCATATGACATTGAATGATCTACGGAGGCTACAGCATAAGTCGGCGGGGGGCTGTTTCTTTCCGCACTGGCAGGCCCAATCTTGACGTCGTCTTCGTCGTCATGATTATTGTCGTTTGCTCTGTATGCCTCGGCTGGTATTGCGAATTCCTCTTGGCCGGGTGGTTCTGGTACCAAACAAGCGGCGGCAGCGGCAGCAGCAGCTGCTACATAGTTGCTCGTTGCGCTAGCCAAAACATCATCGCACGTGGTTCGCACAGAATCTTGTCTCTGAGAATCTTGCGATTGCGTGCGCATTGGCTGCACTCCATCCGGTGGGTTTCCTACATCTTCCAGACTGGGGTATAATTGTCGTGTGGAGGAGGAGTAGAAATGGTCCAGACTGGAAGAGAAGCGCCTTTCCGGATGAGATCTATCAAACTGCAGCGATGCTTGCAGAACATCTTCCACGCTAATAGGTTTCTCGTTCCTTTCGTCCTTACTCATTTTGTTCGGTGTGGAGGACCCACTAATGGATTTTTCATCGCCTTCAGCACCTTTGGAACTATCTTGTGATTTGTCGGCGTGAATAATTCCTTGCTCGTCCATATACCCCATAAACGGCACATACCCAGAGGGCGGCAATGGCACTCCTTGAGTAGAGGCGCCAGTCGCAGAAGTAGCTTCAGGACGCAAATTGTGGCCTTTTCTCCGAGGAGTTTGTGCTCTGCTTTCGCGTTCCACTGCTGCAACAGCAACAGCACTTTCTGTGAAAGCAGCCTCAATCTCGTTCATAGTGGGGGGAGGCGGCGTTCGACAAAGGGGGCTTCGGTCCCTCGGATTGGTTGGCCATTTCTCAGGTTTCTTCGTCACGCTGCAGGGACTGCTATCACGTTGCTGATGAGGAGGCATTTTCAGATAGATAATCTAAACTCCAGAATCTGGTCCCATTGCACGTTCACCACCCAGGGGTATCCAGAGTGGAAGACGCCTCGACCGCTACGCCTTTAGGGCCAGTCGATTCGATTTTCGATTCACCAACTTGAATGACCTAACGAAACCTCTAGCTGGGTCTGGAATGGAAATAGTTGGCTAACAGAGGACGCACAGAAGGGGATGCTTTGTTGTTGTGATAACTGGATTGATAGTAATAGGTGGATCCTGTCGGTTCCTCGCCATCGCGACCCCTCGTTGTACCACTCACACGGCGGTTTTCGTGTTGTGCTCGTTGTGCCTTTTGGTTCATCAAGACAGGTGGATCAGGTAAAGTTTGGGTTAAAGTTAATTTTGACTTAAATTTGTTGTGTCAACACTTTTTTACCTCAACTATCTGGAAAACCTGGACCCTTTTGGGTCGTACTAAAATAGAGTGGTCGGGATTTAAACTCAAGACGCACACCGGAACCAGGTCGAGACGAAGCCGAAGCCACAGCATTGTTGTTGGACTTCGTCAATCCTTTTTCAATCTTATTATCGAAGGCCAGTTTTCCTTCGGGCTCAACTGGCCAGCAAAAAAGCAACAAGATGTACAGAATCATGTAGTGATAAAACCGTTTTACAATATTTTTATTTAATCTTCTTCCGCCAAGACCAATCCCTTCTTTAATTCCTCCTCAACATTGGGGGGAACAAAGTCGTAGTTGGCCAGCTTCATCGAGTAGTTAGCACGTCCTTACTTTGGGCTCAACTGGCCAGCGAAAAAGCAACAGCTTTCAAGGAAGATGTACAGTACATGTAGTGATAAAACCGTTTTACAATATTTTTATTTAATCTTCTTCCGCCAAGACGAATCCCTTCTTCAATTCCTCCTCAACATTGGGGGGAACAAAGTCGTAGTTGGCGAGCTTCATCGAGTAGTTAGCACGTCCCTTGCTCATGGACCGAAGAGTAGACACGTATTGGAACATATTTGCAAGTGGAACCTGAGCAGCAATAGTCTTGATATTTCCACGTTCGCCAAGGTCACCGACCATACCACGACGAGAGTTGATGTCTCCGAGGATATCTCCCATGTACTCTTCGGGTGTTGTGATGTCAACTTGCATGAGAGGTTCCATGAGACGGGCCTTGGCCTTGCGGAGACCCTCGCGAGCGGCAGCACGTCCGGCAATTTCGAAAGCCATGACGGATGAATCGACATCGTGGTAAGCACCATCAATAAGCTTGGCCCTGAGCCCCAACACGGGGTATCCAGCAACGACACCTTGCCCAAGGACGGATTCAATACCCTTTTGCACACCGGGAATGTATTCCCTTGGCACTGAACCTCCCTTGATCTCAGATTCGAATTCAAAGTCCATACCTCCTTCTTCAGCCATATCCTTTGGCTCAAAGATGAGCTTGACACGAGCATACTGACCTGATCCTCCAGACTGTTTCTTGTGAGTGTAGTCGATTTCAGATGCGGTTGTAATTGCTTCGCGGTAAGACACTTGTGGTGCACCCACGTTGGCCTCAACGTTGAATTCACGCTTCATACGGTCGACAATAATTTCCAAGTGCAATTCTCCCATACCCTCGATGATGGTCTGGCCAGATTCTTCGTCACGTGAGAATCGGAAAGATGGATCTTCGGCAGCAAGACGGACAAGAGCTTCTGACATTTTTTGTTGATCCCCCTTGGTCTTGGGTTCTACGGCGACCTTGATGACAGGTTCTGGGAAGTCCATCTTCTCAAGAATAACAGGGTCGTCTTTGGAGCACAAAGTTTCTCCTGTGGTTGTATCTTTCAGTCCGAGCAAAGCAACAATGTCACCGGCAACAGCTGACTTGATCTCTGTTCTGTCATTGGCGTGCATTTGAAGCATACGTCCAACACGTTCATTCTTTCCCTTGACAGAGTTGTAGACGCTAGTTCCGGCTTCCATGACACCTGAGTAGATTCGAGTGAAAGTCAAAGATCCGACAAAAGGATCGTTGGCAACCTTGAAGGCAAGAGCAGACAAGGGCTCGGCGTCTGAGGACAATCGGACAGTTTCTTCGCCATCTTCAGTCAAACCAGCGATGGCCTCGACTTCAAGTGGGGAAGGCATGTAATCCACAACAGCATCAAGCAGAGGCTGAACTCCCTTGTTCTTGAAGGCTGTTCCGGTCAAGACTGGGACGAATTCAAGGTTGAGAGTTCCCTGACGGATAAGTCTCTTCAAAGTTGGGACATCAGGCATGTTTCCCTCAAGGTAGTCCATGAGAACATCTTCATCTAGCTCAACAGCAAGTTCAACGAGTTTTTCGTGGTATTCAGCAGCCTTCGCCTTCAGTGCATCGTCAACCAACGGAATGTCGTTGCATTCATCAAGTGGGATGACATCATAAGATGCTCCAAGATCCTCCCCACGCCATACAATAGCCTCCATTTTGACCAAGTCAATAACTCCAAGGAAGTCAGCCTCGGTTCCAATTGGCAATTGAAGGACCATAGGAGTGGCAGCCAGCAAATCAACAATAGTGTCGACACAGTAGTAAAAGTTGGCACCTGTGCGATCCATCTTGTTCAAGAAACACATGCGAGGGACCTTGTATTTATCAGCTTGACGCCAAACTGTTTCAGTCTGAGGTTCAACACCCGCCACACCATCAAACACAGCCACGGCTCCATCAAGAACTCGCAAGGAACGTTCGACCTCCAAAGTGAAATCAACGTGACCTGTTATTGTAAAATCCAAAACAAAATCATTAGCTTCACTGCTCTCGATGTAGACTGAAAATTGATTGTATTAAAAAAAAACACGTACCGGGAGTGTCGATGATGTTGATTCTGTGGTCTCTCCAGGAACAGGTGGTGGCGGCAGAAGTAATGGTGATACCACGTTCTTGCTCTTGTTCCATCCAGTCCATTGTGGCGCCTCCCTCATGTACCTCTCCAATCTTGTAGGATTTTCCAGTGTAGTAAAGGATACGTTCAGTGGTTGTCGTTTTTCCAGCGTCGATGTGTGCCATAATACCAATGTTTCGGTACAAATCGAGATCGACTTCACGTTGTTCGGCGGAAGAAGCTGTGGCTTTGTCGACAGCTTGGGGCTCGCCCATCTTCAAAGAAGTCTACATAGATAAAAAAGAAAACTGATGGATCAGAACACTTTTCAACGAAACTCGTCCTTGGTAAGATCTTTCATCCACGAGGAGGAAGTCTACTCACCTTGGGCATGCCGAAGGAAGCACCAGGCACGAAAGCCGCAGCTGGCACAACGGCCATCACGAAGATGGCAGCACTCTTAATGAACATCATGGTTAGCTATAGTTCAAGGAAAAATGATCTAATTCCTTGCTCAAAAATATGACCTCGAAGGTTGAGTAGAAGCTATTGGGATGATGAATAATCTCAGCAGCAACAATTGTTCTGTGGTCCTGAGGATGATACGTAGCCGATTATGTGTCAGAGCTTGCGAATCTTAAACTTAGACTGACGCAGTTTGTTGGAATCCTTGCGGAAGTTGTCCATCCATTTTTTGATGTGAGTTGGAGGTCGGAGGCAATGAGGGTGCAGCTCCTGTGCCAGCTGGAAGAAGCTGACGTACCCCCAAAACGCCAGCAGAGCTATTGGAACAGAACTATTGCTGTCGGCCCAGTCACTCGTCACTCAGCCATGCACTGGGGATTGCGGACTTGGCGAGGGCTGTCCTGGAAGTCCCCGATTGGCGATCGCGAAACTCGCGAAAAGTCGTCAAAGTCGCGAAAGTTTAAAAGCGGTTAAAGTAGCGATAGCAGTCGTTCTAAATCGCGTAAAGTCGCGCAAGACGCACAAGTCGCGATTCAAGTCGCTCCAAGTCGCGATTTTGTACTATTAAAAAGCTAGTAAGGTCGCACTAAGTCGCGCAAGTCGTGAAAGTCGCGCTGCAAGTCGCACTGGTCGCTCTCAAGTCGTGATAATTAATTAAAAATCGCGACTTAAAACCGCGACTAGCGCGACTACGGTCAAAGTCGCGATATTGACGTCATCGGAGGACTTCCAGATATAAGACAGGCCAGAACGTTCCCAGGAAGGGGTCCGTCCCTCGCCCGTCAGGGCAAATGTGCGATCAATTTTTTTTTAAGATATCAAACGCTTCGTATTTATCTAATCTATACATCTTTGTATATACGTATAAGCTGGTTCGGCGCCGTTATTTAGTGATAGGTAACCGACAGATCTAAGTAATCGTGCGCGTTCCTGCTCAAAGCCGACTCCCACGCCGATTCCCACATGTTTTGATCTCATTTTCTTCTTTCGGAACGAAAACTCGAAAAGATGCTGCTTCCGACTCAAACAAAGATGGCAAAAACTGGCCTATTTTGGCACCATGACAACACCAACACCGGCAGCTCGAAGCATCCCTGTCACCCCCGCATCCCCTGTCGACATCCTGTGGGTCAGCCCTGTGAGGAAGATTCATTCTGGAGGAATCAGAGAGCGAATTCTTAGAGGAAATCGATGCAAGAATCCTCCCAACGTGGAAGCACTCAAGCAGGAAATCGAACAATGGCTGGCCAACTACCACCGCTTTGCGCACTGCCTAGCTCTCAAGAACAGCCATGCAACCACCTGCACCTGCTGCCAAGAGATTCAACCTCCAGGTAGCATCGATTTTACTTTTGTCTGTTCCTTTTTGTGGACTTTCGCTTTGATGTCAAAGGAGCGACAGACTGGCTTTGTTGTTGAGTGGATAAAGTATCAACGCAAGTACACCAGGAGAGGCTTTCATCTCAACAGGAAGGAACAGAAGATGGCTTGGATCCTTCCAGGAACTGCCTACCATCCCTGCTGTCGCGACACTCTAGCCAGAGTTCTTGGTTTTGGATATCAGCGCTGGAGGCAGTGTGAGAAGATTGCCGATGGGAAGTCAAGTGCAATTCATGGTGGCACGGGCAACACCAATGCATCCAAGCAAGCTGTGAATGAAGGGCTGGAGCTGTTCTTCCAAGAAATGAGACAACTCGCTTGTCCAAGAGCAACTCTGTTTATTCGCGAGCTTGTTGGGAACGTGGTCAATCTTTCGGCAAGAGAGGAAGACGATGAAGTCCTCGAGTTGCCATCTGCTGGAACCAAGCGTTCCATCTACGGAAGATACCTTCGCGAAAGAGGCTACCGGTACATTGTGAATGTCAAGGGAACTGTCACGTTCAACCAACCAATTCCAGACACAACTCAGTCGCCAGTTTGCTCTTGGGGAAAGTTCCACGGCTACTGGAAAAAGAATCATCCAAAGCTAGTACTGGCCCGCCCTAGGGAAGACATTTGCAATGAATGCTACATTTGGATGAATAGGCAGAAGTTCCTAGTTGAAAAGTTGAAGAAACTACATCCTGGAGTGGACATCGATGATCTAGCGATGGTTGGTGATTATGAAGAAGACGAAGAAGAAGAAGAAACACCAGCCGATCCGCCTGCTCCACCAACACCAACTCAGCCTACAACACTGCCGGTAGTACAAGACACAGCCGCTACTACTGCCACAGCTGCTACTGCCGGATCAGAAGAGACATCCAAGGAAGCTGCAACTGGAACTGCAACTGCAACCACAACTGCACAGAAGGAGAAGGTATTATCCCCTAAAGAGAAGAGGAAGGCCGAAAGGAAAGCCCTTCTTCGCCAACAAGAGGCGATGGTTCTGAAATCCGGGAAGCATGCTATTGACTCTGTGACACAGAGGCAATTCTATCAGGAACAAAGGAATATCAGCCGGATTACCAAGGACAAACCACCAAGTGAGAGAACAATCTGTTTGGTTGCCGACTATGCACAGAACATGGGCCTTCCGCACTTTGGCTCAGAGCAACCAGGCGAAACGTACTACTATTCCCCACTCAATGTGTATGCATTTGGTGTTGTCGATTGCTCCACTGATCATCTGAGTGCCTATGTCTACACAGAAGATACAGCCAAGAAGGGAGGAAACAACGTGGCATCTTTGTTGTGGCTGCATCTGAAGCGATCTGGTGTATTGGATACCACAGAACCATTCAAAGAGATCACCTTCATCTTTGACAACTGCACAGGTCAAAACAAGAACAAGATGGTGTTGCGTATGTTGGCGTTCCTTGTCAAGACTGGTGTGGCGAAGAAGGTTCGAGCTTCCTTTCTTATCCGTGGCCACACAAAGAATGACTGTGACAGGCTATTCAACCTCACGAAAAAGAATTACAGAAAGGTGTGTTACTTGTTGTCATTGCGTCTTCTCTTGTTGCCATCGCGTCTTCTCTCGAAAACCTGAAACTGTAAACGTCTTACTCACTACTTCCTTCTACTGATGTCTAGGCAAACCTGTATTCTCCAGCCGAACTGATGGTTGCCTTACAGCATCCCAAAGTTACTCCAGTTTGGATTGGCAAGGAAGCTAATGACGTCTTCTTTGACTGGGACAAGCTAGAAGGGAAGTTCTTTTACAAACCTGACGCTGTTTCCACTAACCAAGTCTTCACTTACGATGTTTCAGTGGCCAACGCAAACATGTTGATTACCCAGGAAGGAGGTGTCGACTCTGTCCTCAACTATGAGCTCATCTTGAAGAAGAGTCATTGGAACAAGATCCGTGCAACGAAACCAAAGGATCCACAGTGGGATTCTGTACAACGATGGAAGGAAAGATTGCAAGAGCTACAGCCCATTCCTTCTCTGGGTATCAAAGACATTAAATGGATGGAGCTCTATGACAAGTATGCTCCACTCATTCCACACGCAAACAGGGCTGGCATGAGCTACTACACGGAAGACCCTGGAGTCGAGCGTCGCAACAAGGTGAAAAAGAATACCAAGGAAGCTAGAGAAGCAAGGAAGAATCGATCTGTCACCAATGAAAGCAACAGCGAGAGTGTCCCTGCTGTTAACTAGTCTAATCTAATGAGTGTTGATGTTTTAAATTGACTTGTTGCCATGGTAAGCCTTTGTCATTGGCGCTGGAACGCTTGTGAGCTACTGAACAGTGCCTCACTTTTTTGTTTTCGCGATTTCCGAACGATGGGAAAATGGGAACCTCCGGACCATGACAGACGGTACCTTCCCATAATCGTCCTGACCTGTCTTATATGCATAGTCTAGATTTGCTCAAGAAAGCCAGCTACCGGCAGGTTCCAGCTCCAGTAGCTTTCTCTAGACCAATGCAAGTGGGCCAAGCGGAGGGGAGCAGGAAGCAAAACTTAGGACAGGGATCGTAAAGATCAGGCAGCTCCGAAGTGCGCATCTCGTTTTTCTGAGACAGCCAAGGCCGAAGCCCTACATGTGGCAGGCACAACGGTCTACCTATCCCATGCTTACTATGAAAAAAATTTCTGCAAAGAGTGACTGCTGAATTAATAAGTGTGTCTCCCTGCTGGCAACATCAATATGGTAGCACCTTGGCAAAGGTGAAACGCAAAACTCTTTCGAAGTCGTACCGGAATGAATTACTGACGACGAGTGAAAAAGCTCACGCATGTGATGTCTGTGCTACCCTGACATTGATTGCCCAAGGTCTGAACCATCATTTGAAGCCTAATTCATGTACCGCATATGAAATGCATGCTAATCAAACCCGTCTGCTCCGTAAGTGTTCGCTCCACCGTTTTTCGACTCCAATCATCATCTTTGTGTGTGACGCTTAGAGACTAAGAGGACATCTTGAGTTACAGAAATAGAGCTTTGCAATTGGCAAGGACTAGCTAGCTAGGGCGAAGTGTAACAACGGCTGGGCGAGATCCGCAATGGTGCAGGGCGTGCGACGACGGCCGCCAACAGCTTTTGGCATACTAGTACTGGTACGGGTTGGGTGAAATTGGAATCCCTTTCAGCTTGGTTGTGAGGGACCGAACAACCAGGCACCGGTATCTGGTCAAGATGGAAGGTATCGAAGGAGCAACAGTGAATAGCTAGGTGAAGAATGTTTCGATTTGTACTACTAGGAAGCTGTCACATCACAAGTCTATTATACATGTTCGAGGCTCAACAAAGTAGCCTACTAGATCTAGGGTGGGCGTGTCCAGAGCCAAATACGACGAGAGAGCAGAGGTAAGGGCCGCCGCACGACAACGAACCTAGATATACTCCATGTCTACGACGACAGCTCCTTGCTGTGGTTGAAATCTTCGCTACTGCCACACTTCGAGCACGAAACTCCAGTTAGTTGTCGGCAATGTCTCGACCTGCACTGAAGTTCTGCCAGAAGAATGTTTGTCGTGGTATTTTATTTTTCCTCAGGCACACTGCAGCCTGCCTTGTTGTCTTTCACCCACCCGTAGCTAGCAGTCTACAAGCCCTTGAAAAGCCAGACAAATTAAATTCAATCCGGTCTTGCGGGCAAAAAGGAGGGATGGAACATGATCTCAGTGTTTGCTGCGTGCGTGCCTTGCGGAGTGTTTATTTTCTACCATGCCGATACCTCGACGAGCGACGTCGTTCCCGTTGCGAGCCATCTGGTTGCTGTTGTTGTTGGGGTTCTTCCCGATTGCGATAGTATAAACTTGCTTGGTTGACCTTGAATCCGTACACCCTAGGATGGTAAGTTTGTGTGGGTTTTGCCGGGACCATATCCTTTTGCATCAAGTAAGTGTAAGTGTAAGGACGATGATGATGTTGTTGGTTCTAGCGGGTGAGTACTAGTATGTTTGCAGGAATACAAAAAGGCAAGATCATGCATAAAATACGGCGAAGCTTACCGGATGAGTCATGAGATATAGATGGGGAAATGTTGTTCCAAAGTAGGCTCCGTCAATGTTTGCTTGTCGAGTGCTCTTTGGAAAGAAGAGGCCGTGGCATCTAGGACAGAATACGTTGACGGTGTAGTTTCTTGGGAGATCGGACAAACCTACAGGAAGTACAGGTTGTCCCTGGCAAAAGACATGAGGGCATCTACCGAATGCTGCCGTTCGGTACTTTTCGTACATGGCGTGCATTCCTCGATTCGTAACAATGTAGCTGCAAGGAACACCATGAGTAAGCCAATTCGAACCACAAGGAGAAGCACCATCTAACAATAGTAGCAAAGTTCAATTCGTTCGTACTCACCGAGCATGAATCAATCCATACAACATTTCCTGTTGGATACCATGAGAGAGAAAACACGACAAAATCGATCAGATTATTCAATTTGAGTAGAACGCAAGTCCAATGCGGCTTCTTACCGCTGCTGATTCAACGATTTCCTGCTGTTCTTCAGTCAACGAGTCCTCCATTGGCATTTCTACATCTAGCACCATATCTAGTGCGTAGTCATAGTAGGGCACGAGCACATTGAGACCCGTCAAGTTGAAGTCATCCTGTTGGAGTGGATCAGAATAGAATGGGAAAGTTCATTAGACGTGATCACCCTACCTCCCCATCCGTCAATAACCAAAGGACCAAGTAGGAATAGACGCACCTGAATGTAGTCTTCGTCGACCTCGCAAAAGAATTCGTTCCCTCTCAGACTGCAAAACCATGAAATCCAGGAACCGTCTTCGTCTGAGCCTGAAACTTCCGAGCTTTCCTCTTCGTCTTCTTCGTCGACCAACTCTTCATCTTCTGCGCCCTGCGATCCTGCTTCAACTTTATGCGGTTGCCGCTGGTCCATCTCTACTAGTGGGTTTCGAATACCTGACTTGCCCATTTTTGGTCCTCCCCTCAGAGGAGCTTCCACAACGGGGGCTGATGCGGTGCTGCTTGCGGCTTTTTGGAGTGTCTGCAGTGCTTGACTGGCTTCTTCGGCATGAGCCGGTGATCTCGCGGTGTTGCTGTTTCTAGCAGATGGCAATTGGACCTCTAATGACCCTGATGGGGCGATCCCTTCACCATTAAGGCCGTCCGCGGATGCTGACATGATGTTCACCTCTCGGGCCGATGCACCCGCGTTGCTCGTGACACCCGCGTCTTCTGATAAGGACAATTTGGCCATCATATCGCCTGGAGGATCACTGGGCGAGCCATTCGAAGTAGCCATCATCGTCTAATCGTTCTGTTTGATTCGTAAAGTCGCACTGCCGGTAGCTAGAAGCGTCAATAGAGCACAGTGCCGGCAAGAAAGTTTGTTGTCGTCTATTAGTCGAGTGGGGTAGCCTTCACGTCTGAAACACAGCCGCCAACAACAGCACAGTCGATCAGTCCACAATGTCCACACCTTAGTTTAACTAGATACTGCAGTAGCCGATAGATCCGGTATAACAGGTGTTAACTGCACAGCGATGGCCGAAAATGCTCTGGGTCGGGGGTCCGTGGTGCGGCTGCTGTTGGCCATTGCCTCGTCTCGCACTGCTCTGGGAGTGTTACCCCTGCCGGCCCGCTTGCCTTGAGGACATTTGGCGAAGATGGGGGACGGTTAACACTACCGTCTGTCTGCCTGTCCAACTACTACCCTATCCACATCGAGGAGTGGCACAACCATGTCATACCTGGTACCGGTACCAACCGGTACTCTAGTATGCTACTACATGTAGTACACACTTGCTTGGAAGAAAGCATCAGCTGAAGCAAAGGAGGTATCAGTTTAGGTATACCAGTGGGGTGGGATGTCATAATTATTCACGAGACAAGCGCTGTTGCAAACTCGGGTTGTTCAGGCACAAACTTTGGGAGCTAGCTGAAGGCACCTTGATCAACGTTTAGACTAAAAGAAGCACTACTTTAAATTTTATTAATCTTATGCTACATGTATTAGCTTAGTAAAGTTATGATATGATAGGTCCTACAACAAAGGCTTCTGCGTACCGGTACCACTTGCTGCCATAACAGTGCCGCCACTCATGGTCTCAAGTGGTGTCTTTCGTGCAGGTTCCGCTATGAATCGAATGAAGGATGAATCGAATCGAATCGAATCAAATCCCTTTTTTCAAGGCCTGCCTCACTTTATTTACCAGTCCTGATAATCTGGCATTCTGTCTCCAAGGTTGCTCCCTCTTTGCTTCCCTACATGTATGCATAGGTCTACTTGTCCAATGAAGCTCAAGTTTTATGCTTTTGGACTTTGGTTCAGACATTGGACGCGCACTCTTTGCAGGAAAAGAATCCATTAGTTTAGAGCAGACGGCCAGACTGAATTGCTTTTTGACTGACCGACCACGCTCGAGAAGCTGCAGGGCGTGGGAGGAGCGATCGACCATGGGCCATTCGAATCATTCATCCAAATCATTCATTTTTGTGTCCAACGCAGCCGCCGCATGCTCTAAAAGATCTCTCTTGCTAACTAACTATCACCTTGTCATCTATCTGCAACCTCCTTTCTGATTCCATTTCAACACCATGAGCGAACAACAGCAACAAGCCACCACCACCATTGATCTGGATTCCATGAGTCTAGAAGAACTGAATCAAGCCAAGCAACAAGAAGAGCAACGGTTGCAGGCACTGACCAGTCGGTATGCGCAACTCCGCTCTGCCGCGGCCCGTTTGAATGCTTCCCAACGTGCCGTGAACGAGCTGTCTCCATCGTCGGAAGGAAAAGAAGTCATGGTACCGCTCACGGAGTCGGTCTATATCCCCGGCAAGATTCGAGAACCCACCAAGCTATTGGTCGAATTGGGGACTGGCTATTTTGCCGAGAAATCTTCCAAGGATACCAATGCCTTTTTGGAGCGTAAAATTCGCCTAGTGGATCACAACAGTGAGAATGTGACCAAAGCCATTCAAGTGACAAGACAAAATATGGAACATATTGCCATGACGATGCAGGGTAAAATGATTGAAATTCGAGCCAAACAAGAAGGACAGCGCGTCAAAGCAGCAGCTGAGAGTTCATAGGAGGTGCTGGTGGAAGGATGGTTTTAGTTATTTTATCAGAATGTGATGATTCGATTCTGGTTGCAAATTTTGTCGATGGCAGTGTGGAATTGTCTCGGGAAGATCTAATTGGTTTTTCATTGACGGTACCATTCAATGCTGTTTGCTAGGTAGTATTGTCGCGGCTACCTTAGACTGGACGATTAGAACAGCACGAGATAGAGTTACGAGAAATCCCACTAGCTAGTAGTTACAATCTCAAAAGGCAGATAGACGTATACACCAGTGCTGCTCATATCATCTTCGTAACCACAGTTACTACATGTAGCTTGTCATTGCCAGCACTTGATATCAGATATTTTCCTGGGCGGGTTTGTGTAGCTATGTTGGTCCTCTTTTAAAAATGTTAACCTGGGGTATATTATACTTAGCTCAGCAAATTGCAGCAACCTTTGGAAAGGTCTGTTTCCAAAACAATTCTTATTAGCCAAAATGGAAGAGTCGGTCGAGCCATCCCAAGCAACCAACTGATTGCACCGTAGCTAGCTAGCTAGGACCTGCACACAAGCCAACCGTACCGTCTGTGTGGATTGTGTTGTGTACGTCCTTACTTTTTCGAGGGTCAAAAAGTTGGTTGGATGGATGGAAGATGGTTAGACTCTCCGATGAAACTCTGCTCTTCGGTTGAGGCCTTTGTGCAAGTAGAGAGTTCCCGTCAAAAGTTTGACGGTGACAACTTCTTCCTCATCGTCACCCGTCGTAGAGCTACCATTAGAATTGTTTCCATTACTTGAGTGGTTGGTTTTCCCGTGGTAACGAGACCTTTTCCCCTTGTAGCGAGGTGGAGGCGGGATGCGACGTTTGTTGTTGGGTGGAGGCGGTGATTGTCGAGCTGTTTCATCAATTTTGGCTTGACGTCGTTTGCTGCGTGCTTCTCGATCTTTGGCCAACGCCCGTTTGGCTCGATTGCGACTGTAGTCTTCTACGTCATCATAATGATTTCGATGATGATTGCTGTCACTGCCATAGCCACTGCGACGTCGTCCATACGAATCTCGATCGCTCAGTGAATTGTCCGAGTGGAGCGAAGGGGGTGGCTTGGCAAAGACATGCTCGTGAATTTCTTCGTCTTTGAGGGAGAGTCCATCAAATCGAACCAACCAAAGAGGGTCGTCAGAGGAAGGATCCGATAAAAGCTGTGCCAATCTAGCCTTGACGGTAGCGTTCCCTCTCACAATCTGGTAGACACATGGATGGGTATATGGGTATGTGGATGGGTATATGGATGAATGGATGGGTATATGCAGGGATGGATGAATTGAAGGGACATGCAGATTTGATTCCAGAAAAGATCAATATCACAGAAAGATAATGAGAATAAAGAACACTCAATCAAAGAACAAAGGACCAAATAATAGAACAAATAATCGCACCTCCACAATATCGTTCACATGATAATTCGAGGTCTTCTTCGAACCGGATACCACACGACGTGATCGTCGAAGGCCCCGTGGCATGGTTAATGGGATGTTATTAACCTACAATTTGAGGAAGAAAGCTGAATATAATTTATGACGAGTGGATGCAAAGACTTTGAGTTTCGCGTTTGCGTTCTGTGTTGTCTGGTTTTGACGCCACCCGTGGATCCACCTTGATCGTAAATACGTGGTGGTGTGAACTTGGTGGGGCCTTTGGTGGAACCGCGCGAGCACGGGCGATATATTAGCGCCTGCCAATGGGGGGCTAAATTGGAGGGGCTGTCTAAGGGGGTAACAGAGAAACAGCCAATCATATCCTCGCTGTGTACCCACGGTAGCCGTTTCTACGCAAAAGCTCAACATACTCCCCTCTGTCGAGCCCCTTTGACGGTGCTCTATCTCGGTCAGCCAGCTCTTTTGCTTGCTTTGTTGCAGTGTTGCCGTAGCTTTCACCAAGCAAGGTGCGCAGAACACCAAATTGATAGCTTCGTGTACGAATTGTATCCTCCCATCCTGTTGTCGTATCTCATCATGTCGGAGTCTCTGAGAAGGTCTAGTCGAAGGACAATCAAGAAAACTACCTTTAAGGTGGGCGATATCGTGGAGGTAAGGGAGCTGTGATGTGCTGGGCTTGGGCTTTGGGAACAAAGAGTTGCATGTTCTTTATCGAGAGTGATTGAGTCTGATGGATTGTTCGATTCCATGCTTCATCCTCTTTTTGTTCTGCAGGTAGCCAAAGTGGGTATCATTCTAAGAGGCAGGCTGGTCGCTCAGGCTGATAGCACTCAATCGAACCAGCCACGATGGAGAGTTGCCTTTGACGATGACAACTTTCCCGAAGAAGAACTCTTCGAGTCATCCATTGGACAAGTGGTGCCCAGTGACACGGAGTCGTCACCGTCACAGCCGCCTCCTCCTGTGGCTGCTACTGCTCCTGCTGCAGCTCCTCCTCCAAGTCCCTCCCCCGCATCAGTGGCTGCAGCTGCTACTGCCAGAAAGAAAAATCGCAAGAATGGACGCTTTGTCAAGTCCAGCGACAACGCCACTGTGGACTTGAACGGCAAAAAGTCGGTATCTTTCATCGCCACACAGTCGGAACCTGAGGTTGCTCCTCCTGTTTCCTACAGTAGTAATAGCAAGAGGACATCTGCCAGGGAGCAACGAACGGCTCGTCGGAATCGAAGTCATCCGATCTCGGATACCCCTCTGGCACCCACACCCTCCCTTAACACGCATCCGGCACCCTCACACACGAGCAAGAAGAGGCCTCCCTCTGGATCTGGTAGTGGAGGAGGCAAATCCTCAAAAAAACACAAGGGAGGTAGCAGCAACACGGATGAAGAAGTTGTCAAGGTGCCCATGTTGACTGGAACCCTCTACTTGTTCAAGGGCTTACACCGAAGGGCGGAGTTTCATCGAAGAGTGTGATGTTCCGGCCAAATATATCATAAAACACCCTCATTCTTCCTTGCAGATAGATGGGGTTGCTACTGTTGTGGCGAGATCACAGGCACGGTAGGTGTAGAGCTTGATGAACAGCTCTGTCGCAGCTTCCAATAGATGGCACGGGAGCGTCCAAGGGCTTGTTGGTTGGTTGATTGATTGGGAGAGCAAAATAGAATCCACATTATGCCGTCCAAAGCTTCATGGCGGTGGTTAATGGGGCAGTGGAGAAGCCGTTCCTCTCGTCATATCGAGCTCATGTCACAGATGGACGAATCCATTGATAGATAGATATTTGCATAAGATACACCCGGTCAGGTCATGAACATCTATCTGACGGGATCATCACTACCAAACCGGGGTTTGGTACGGTGATGATAGGATAATTTTGCTACTTGAATCCTTCAATTATCCTCTACCGGTACCTGGCTGGGTATGATAACCGCGCTGTTTTGCTGCCATGGTCCTTCATCCTTTGGAAAACTGAAGAGGGTTGTCAGCTTCGACGCGAAGAAGGGACACAAGGAACCGTGACTCCAGCTACGTCCCGAAACTAGCTAGCTATGGTAGCTGCTATGCTGCACTGGCTATCCGATACTTGTACGGGTCGACTCGACTCATTTGACTCATTTTGCTGGTTCAACAGCACTGACTGCGCTTGCATCGGTGATGGTCAAAGACGAACATACATTGGCTACCACTATCTTCGCCTGTCTCTGAAGACGCGGGGCTTCAAACAAGGTTATCAAGTATGAACCTCGGTTAGGTGGTTCCTCCGCATTTTTTGCAGCTCAAAGGAGCCGAAAACACCTCGCTGGCATTATGGAGGGACATAGCTGCCACATCTATCTATTTGCAGGGAAGCTTGCTTCTCCCATGTCTTTCATTTGCGCGGAGGGACCGGCAGGTACGGGTGGGTCTGGTACCGGTAGAGGGGAGCTATGCATAGTTCTCCCAGACTCATGAAAGATTGAGTCTCAAAGAATGTCCTCGGAGTTGGGGCATAGGCTGCAACTATACAGGCTGCGTACTAGTAGGCTGCCTACATCACCAGAGTCGTGCAAGGGCGCATTCAAAACTGAGACGCGAGGGAAACAGATGATGATAGATACATTGCAAATTTGCCTTGTCGACAACGGTTCGGTCTGGTGCAGCCACCATTGTGCAGATACATCATGTACTAGTAGCTAGCTAGGAGCCAACGACTCATTGCTCTGAGCAGCCACCAAAGGAAGAGGACAATGGTGTCCTTTTTTCGAGGCTCCGCGACGGCTACTGGTAGCTATCTCAACTGGAAATTGCATTGTACATCATAAAACGAACTATTTGATACATACATAATAGTATTGCAACACCCAACCCTCACAAAAGCTTTTGCTTGGCTTCGCGTTCGCTAAGAGTCATCTGGATAGGTTGGGCAATTGCAAACAACAGCTTGCTCACCGCCAAGCCAAGCCTCGTACCGGAAGCCCGGATACGGCACTGGTAGTACTGCCAGGCAGGAGGAGCCGAGGCAGGTATGATATGCATAGAGATATTCATCCGGTTCACTCGGAACTCTTCTCCTTCCCGGCAACAAATGTGAATTTGCACAGCCTGAGCTCGCTTCGTCCGTTCTGTCCAGCAGTTGCGGCAAAAAGTGAGGGGGTTGGTCGCCTTTTCTTAGCTCTAGTTACCGTAGAGGAACATGCTTGCCAGTTAGAAATGTTCTAGAATTTAGAGAGGCGCTTCATCGAGCATAATAGTGCTTACCGCAAATTTATCGCTAATGCAAGCCCCCCCTGCGTGCAGAAAAGTCGCCGATCCACATCATTTTTTCTCCGTTGCCCCGGCTTTGAAGTGAAAGCGGCTCTACACTCTCATTGCTTGTCCCTGAGCCAACTTCACTTGCCACTATCGTAAGCATTCATCATCCCTGAGGCCGCTTCAGGCACTCTCAAGATGCCCCTCTATGACGACGACAAATCCTGGGTAGCCTTTGATCATAGCAACATCAAGTTTGAGGCGGCGTCTGTTAAAGCCAAGCGTGGAGAATCAGTTCGCCAAAAGGGCGGCATCGCATCGAATCACAATGCCGATGCTTGGATGAAGAAACCAATAAACTCTGATGCATCATGGATGCCTGTAGCGCCTCCAAGACGAGGCACTCAAGATTCGAAAAGCTTGCAATCACCAGCGACGGTTACACATCCACCTTCTGTGACCCACCCGCCTGCTGTTAAACGCAGAAATTCTTCGTCTAATACATCAGCCACAAATCCGATTTCTTCAGATTCGTCTTCCTCCTCTGGCCGTCATTCGGCTCGTATGAGAGGAGGATCCACAGAAGTTATCTTGGCGGCCCCTCAGGATGTTATACATGATCGTAGTCAACACACTCACAGCCAACGCAGCCAACGTAGCCGATCGAGGTCGACGCGAAAGTCTCAAACGGCTCCTTTCCCTCCTAGTGGGACATCTGGCAATCAAACATCAAAGAGCTCAGGTCGGGGTCGCTCTTCAAGCCGTACTCGGAATAGCCAACCATCTCCTGTGCGCAGACGATCACACAGTCAGCAGCGACAGCCGTCTCCGGCACCGAAATCAAGAGGCCGATCTTCCAGCCGAAACAGGGAGAGATCTACAAGCCGGACCAGAAGCAACACTCGTGGTAATTCAAGAACAAGGTCCACTAGTCGTACTCGATCAAACAGCCGCACTCCTGCTGTAACAACGAAGCGAAGGTCCAGATCAAACAGCAAGACTCCGTCGGTTCAACCAAGATCACGATCGACCAGCCGTCCAAGGCCTGCCCGTCAAGACTCTAACTCGCAGCTATCCGCCGTTCGGCGAGAGTCTGACGGAAATATCAGTCAGCGATCGCGAAGCAGAGGAGGCCCTCCACCATGCACATCGCGCACTCGACGAGAGATGCAAATGCGGACGACTGCAAACAGTGCAAGCAGCGTGGGTCCCGGTTTGCCACCACGGCACTCCCCCACATGCGCCACAAGGCCAGGGCCAGGAGATGACCACAGCGTGCACACTGCAGATCCCAATTTGGGGAGGGACATTACGTTTGGCAACGCTGCCAGCCAGCCCCTCTCCCCCACAATTGGTCATAGTCATAGTCAGAAGACCAAGAGATCCGCATTGATGGAGAAGCTATTTGGAAACCAGGTTGACCGTGCTGCAACTTCGACAGGTGGCTCGAGTATACCGTATCTTGATCGCGGTGAGTGCATTCATCCGCGCATCCTTCTTACTGCCACAGTCTACCACAATACCGCCACAAACCTATGGATAACAACCATAAACACAAACCAAAAAGGCGTCGCCAAGAATCCAACGACAGCTTCAAAGTACCTGAAGGCATTTTCTTTTGCGTCCGAGCGAGAGGCCAGAGAGTCTGCCATCGCCAACGCCCCTCCGAAGATGTTGCCGTTCACCGACAACCCCATTTGCTTCCTCTGCAAGGGAAAGTTTGCCGTCTTTCGTCGCGCCGGTCACTGCCGCAACTGCGGAGTCTGTGTGTGCAACAACTGCTCCACAAGCTGGCCAGCACGAATGATTCCAGATACCTACAACCTGAAGAAAGAGTCAACAGTGAAAATCTGCAAGAGCTGTGATGCTCTAAGCAGGTCTTTTAAGAAGGCTTTGTTAACTGGCAACTACGAAGACGCTGTTGCCCTTTACGGGACAGGAAACATCAATCTTCGTACACCCTTCCCTGTGTTTTCAAAGAAGGATGAAATCATGTATCCGATCCATTGTGCGGTGGAAGGAGGGGACGCGAACGTTGTGCGTTGGTTGATGGATGATCACTTCTGCCCCATCAAACTAATCAGGACCGGAAGTGGCAAGAGGGCAAAGCGGGGTATGACGGGTACGGATGTTCCTATCTTGACGTCCAAGGGTCGGTCAGTGTTGACCATTGCCATGAGCGGACTGAAGATTGACATCTTGAGATACTTGGTTATCGAAAGAGATGTTTCTGTGTATGAGTCGAAGGATCTAAAGAGTTCTCTGCGGGCTCTTGAGGCCGCCCTCCAGGCGCTTCCGCCTCTCAGTCCCACAGAAAGGGACGATTGTCCGATGGCCGCCAGGTGGGACGATGAGAGTTTTTCTGGTGCCGATGATGGATCACTATCGAGCAGCTTCGACGAAGGATCTGTTCAAGATGCGAGCATAGACAAGAGCAAATCCAGCAAGCGGTCCAACACCGCAAGCCGCAACGGAGAAGCTGTAAGTCAAACATCGACTCCTTGTGCTTTGTTGGCTATTCCTTTCGACTTTCTGACTTATTTCATCTACCTTCTCTTTTCTCAAACAGTGCATCATCTGTTACGACAACTCAATTGATTGTGTGATGACACCATGTGGTCATCAGGTATGCTGTCTTGAATGCAGCGCAAATCTTAGTGCTTGTCCTGTTTGTAACAACCAAGGCGAGTTCATCAAGATCTTCCGGCCGTGAATGCCGTGCCCGCTTGACTCTGGGCCAATACAATGAATATCATCGAAGTGCTCTCTCCATGATGAAGAAGGTTCTACGCTACGAAACTGAAGACCGTTCGCACACACATATGACCTTCAAACAATTGTATGTTTCTTTCAACTCAGAGCAGCATTTGATTCTAATTACAATTCATAATATTTTCATCGAGCGAAGCGTCGTCTTTGTGTTGAGCTCGCCTGGAAAGTGGCAGCACCCTTCTAACTTGGATAGCCCGTAGTGCAGAGGTGGTGAAGTATCTCAGTTCTTTCATTCCCAGTCCAGCGTGTTGTCTCCCTGCGTCCCGTCCAGAGAGGAGGACAATGGTGTTCTTTAGAAAGGCAGAGCAGAACTCTGCAAAATGTACCAGTAGTATTATAGGATAACAATAGTGAAGTGATATGGTATAACTATCTAACGTGCAGTGGGTGGACCGGCCTGATCGTTCAGGCCCACAGCTCATACGGTACGGTAGGTATTGGACATCCTCTTCTATGCATAGAGGTGAGGATGTCTTTCGTTTCCTGTACCGTACTGGTACTGTAGGATGAAGCGTCAGGGTCTTCCGAGTGGCAGTCGCCCGTGCTGGAACCAACATTTGCCCTCGTGAAATTGTCACAATGACGGCGCTGCCAGGTTCATTTCGTCGCGATAACATCCCACCAGAATCGGCTATGCCGGTGCCACTCTGCCAAGCCAACACAAGCCCTTGGAGCCAGCCCTGGCTTATACAAGAGGGGAGACTCGAACACCCCCAGAGGCAACGACTAATAAAGGAAGCAAAGAAGACGGCGGAGGGAGAGGGGCAAGGAATGTGAGAACGAAATCAAAACGTAGTCCAAGGCCGGGTGGGTTAAGACATCTCTGTCGTTGTGTCTTAGTATAAGTTTTTACATTATTTAACGCGAAAGTGGTCTTTACACACTATATATACTTTTGAAGCATCCTCCATCGGACTCATTTTCGGACTCAACACTTCATTCTCTTCTGATTGTTTGTTAGCGTAGTGCTCGTCGTTTCAGTCAAGGGCACAAAACGTGTAGTATTGGATGAATTTTGGTTGGATTGAATGGACAGCTTGTTGATTCTGATGTTGGTATTGTTTGTGTTTTTGTTTGGCCAGAGAATGACATCAGTATCTTGTGCTTCAATCGTTCAGGCAGCAATCAAAATCATGGACTGGAAAGTTTGGTCATAATATGTTTCGCAAAGGTGTAGTTGCGCTGCGAGCAAAGAGCGATTAAAGAGGAAGTGAGGCGAACCACTCCCAAGTCGATGTCGGCTTCTCCACCAACAACCGTCAGTGACTCACCAATTCGGCCGCATGGGCATTCAATTCTTCCAAAAGCAACTTTCTCTCCTCGCATTCCGGGACAACATCAAGCGTTGTTTGTACAACGTAGTTGGCATACGCATCCCTGACCATCAACAGCACCACGCTTGCGCCAACCGCACCAGAAGGCTTGACGGCGCCTGTTTTGTCATCGACAACCTGAACGAATGATTAAGGTTAGCAAGGCTTTCAAGCAACTCGGTGCACGCAGATATGGATGTCGAGACGTACCTTCAACATTTCTCGAACAACAGCCCTCCTCTGGTCTGGTGTGCCATACTTCAGCAACTTTTCTACAACGTTGCTGGCAAACTTTTGCTTCGAAAGGCTTAGCAAACCATTCTCGACCACAATGTGCAAAATCGACTCCCTATCCTCCTGGCGCCCAAACTGCAACACATGCTGAATGACGTAATTTCCGTACTGGTCATCCAGAAGTGTCTTGTGACACCTGCTGATTTCGTCCAAGGCGGCAGTCTTCTTCGACTCGACGCAGTGCTCGAGTATGCGCTGAAGAACACGACAGCCATAAGGGTGGCAGGAGAGCGATGCCGTGTTTCCCAACACATCGTCCACAACGAAGTCAATCTGTTCACTCAAGAAATCAGCCTTGGCGTCTTCGCCGATTTCGCGAGCCCTCTTGGCCTTGTTGCTCATGACTTCGATGCACTTCTGGATGACATGGTTTCCGTTCTGGTCATGAATACAACTAAGAACATTGTGATGGAACTCCCTGAGCAAACGTGGAAGGTCGTCCTCGTCTAGAGCCTCCAAAGCCTTTTGTACAACTCGGCATCTGAAAGTAGACACAAACAGGTAAGTTTCAAACCCAGCCACCAAAGTCGAGCAGATGACAACAGAAACGTACCCATACATCTGCAAGGACAACTGAAGCATTTCACCCTGGAGGCTGTCACGGATATCCGATTTCATCGGCATGGTTCCAAACTCGAGCAGCTTTTGGACCACATAGTTTCCAAATACATCGTTTCGGAGACGATGAATGGCAGGAAGAACCTCGTTCATAACAAGTTTTTGTTCTGTTGCGTCACCAATCTCAAGCCTCTGCTGGATAAAGCGCGAGCCATTCTGATCTTGACAGAATTCAACCACGTGGCCTGCAACACAAGGTCGTAACTGTTGGAAAACACGAGAGTACCAAGGATAGCATCAAACCAACAAAGCCCCAATCTTACCTTCGATGTCGCGAATTGTCCAATCGCGACTCTTGGTTGCTCGAAACTCCTCCAAAAGTGGGCTGGACATGGAATGGGGCGAGTGCTTGGAATCGCCGCCGCGACGAGACGAGGGGGTGCCGCCATTCCTGCCTCCTTTTCGGCCCTCCTTCTTTCCTCGTCCGCCTCCATATCCATTGTTGGAATGAGGCGAGTCCATGTTGGGGTTCCCGATCCTCGCTACTGCAATGGGACCTCCACCGGGACCAGCCGCATTCATAATAGTTACCTGTGGAACAGCAATTGGGCCACCACCGCCGTCGGGCTGCCAGTAGGCATAGGTTTGGCCTGATCCAGCGATGCTTGCCAGCTGAGCAGGTCCACCTTGAATGGGTACCACCTGAACGTACTGCTCGTGGGGATGTCCACGTCCCGGCACAGTCTGGCGAATGATCTGCGGCTGCTGATGAGGATGGTACTGAACGGTGGCATAACCGTAAGGGGCCGGGGGTGCATTCATGGGTGCATTCAAGTACACGGTTTGACCACTCTGAGTGATGACAGGAGTCTGCTGCACAACCTGTTGCGGCTGACCTTCGTAATAGATTTGCCTCTGTGGCTCTGGCTGCGGGGCAGCACGATGCATTTGATGCCCGTGTGCGACAGGCGCAGGTGCATAGATAGAGTTCTGCGCCCTTGGTTCCGCAGGCATACCATGCTCCGTCAAGGTAACATACTGAGGTTGGGCAGCCCTCATGGGATCATTCTGAGCGGCAATATTACACGTACACTAGCTAGTGAGCATAGAGCTTTCCATGATGACCGCTCAAACGTCACATCGAAAGTTGTGAAGTGACTTACCATTGGGATCTGAATTTCGTAAGGGTCTCTCGCATTCCTCATTTGTGGTGGTGGCTGTTGCTGCTGCTGCAAACGAGGCTCATGATGAATTTCTCCGCGAGGCATGTACTGGGGTTGCATGTGGTGCTGCTGATGCGGTGGCAGCTGATGCGGCTGAAGATGCTGTTGCTGCAGGGGTGGAGGATGCTGCTGCTGCTGCTGAGCATACACATACTGTGGTTCTCCCCCCGTGGGGCGTTGCATAGCCGGGGCCGCCTGCATTTGTTGGTGGCGGTTGTTGTGGTCTCTGTTGTTGTGGTAATCAAAATTGTGTTGCTGCACAACTCCACCACGAGCTGATTCCGGCACGTCATCTTCCTGAATGAGATCCATCAGAGTGGTCTGGGGCGGACGGAGCCCATTTCTGTCACGTTCGTTGGGAGACTGGTACAAATTGCCTGCCGCTCCAATCACTCCAGTCGATGCAGGACGTTGCTGACCCAACCTCATAATATCAGCGGCCCGATCGACAGCACTCTCGTACTGGTTTGTACTGTTGCTATGACTACTGGAATACGAATCCACAGTCGAGGGAGTGGGTTGGCTCTCCTTGATGTTAGCGAGTCCAGGAGGTGGGAAAAGCGGGCTCCTACCCGTGCTACCGTGAAATGTGGGGGCTGCACTCTGAGATCGAATCAGCTCTGCTCCAGCTCGACTAAAATCGAGTGCTTTGTCCATGTCCAATGCCTTTGACGAAGCAGCTCCACCCGACTCGGGGCCCAAACTGTTGTCCGGTAAAAGGCTAGTGAAATTTGGCTTGGAGTAAGATGGATCTGGTTTCGAATAAGAGGGTCCAGCGCTTGCTCGTCCTGCCTGTGGTCTCGCCAAGAATGTGGTCTCAGCACTTCGGTCATCGCGACTTCTATTTTCATACAAGGGAGCCATTGTCGTCTGTTCTCGCTCGCCCCTTTCACGTCCAAACAGGGACTGTCCGAGTGGACAAAAACAAAATAGAGCAAAAATCAGGTGAGATTATTCCACGTTCAGTGCCATGTCCTGTCTGATCAGATTAACTTACGCCACTGGGTCCATCTCCAAAACTGAGGCCACCATCCGTGGACATGGGTGGGGCAGACGTCGAACGCTCGATAAGACTTCCCAACAACCCATGGCTCATTCCACCGGCACCTCCTCGATCGAATCCATTGGTACGATCATCGTTCTCGTTCCTGTAGTTTGATTCACCCCATGGACTCCTCATAATAAGCTAGTTTGATGATGCAAAATGGGCGATGACTTCTCGGGCTTCGCTGCTAGCTAGCTATAGTGCACAACTGAACTGACTGATGGATCCACAGTGGGATTGATGGGGGTTCTCGATTGGCACGGCGCGATACTATGTACAAGGGCGCCGTTTTAAGATATAGCTGCTTCTCAGCCAAACCTATGCTTGCTAGCTACCGGTAGCTGGCTTCCCCGTGCAAGCAGCAGGAAGTCGTAAAGAAGCCACACTACTTCCTCTTTCAATTAATTGTTTGCGGTTGTTATTGTGTTTGTGTGTGTTGAGCGGTGATGGCTCTGTTGAAGGATCGAGAATGAGTGATCGAAGGGTCTTCTATCTTTTGGTCTTCCAGCGTTCCAGCAGAAGGCTTTGACTGCCGGTGCTGCATTTGGATTGGTCAATATCCTTTCCATTTTCCCAAAACATCTTGAATTTAATTGAAAAAATCATTTAGTTTCCGTCTAAACCGGCTGCGTTTTCTTTATGACCGTCTTGTGACGTTAGGGCACTATAACTAAGAGCTACTCGAGTACTATCATACTACAATGTACCGGTACGGTAGCTTACAGGATACACTCCAAACCTCAAGGTAAGAAGCTTCCAATAACAAAGCGGGTACTCAGATTTTCTAAAGAAACAGATAAGAATCTTTTTATACTGAATTAGTATCACAGACTTGTAAAAGAAAACCTCCCAGTATTGACACCTCAAAGCTCAAAGCACAAGAAATACTACTAGTCTGACACTATGAAAATTCTCCTAACATGTGCCTAAATCTGCAAAATTTTCTGCCATCATGCAGAAACAGTCATCACCATTATTACTTGATCCAAACCAAAAACGAGTCCTGAGCAAGTTGGACCCAAATGCCCAGGTGCACCGGGTGTATCCAAACACTAACCTGTCTGATCTAGAAGCCTTTTAATTAAGAAGGTCATCTATACTGAAATTGGCTTGTTTTCTTAGAAATAAAATGGTTAGCAAAATGGAGCAGTTGGGTAACAAAGCTGGAGTCCTGACTCCCAGTTAGAGATGTCTTATTACTGAGTTTGGAGTGGACAGGTATTTTCACAAGCACAAAGAATGTGTTCTCTCGTTCTCTCCATGCCACGAACAAGGAAACCAGTACCGGTAGGACACGGACTATTTTCTTGTCACTGGAGAACATCGAGAGACCGATGTATGTAGTCTACTAGTACGGTGTCTTTTGGTTGTCTTTTACACCACGATGCCATCTGGAGCACACCTGGCCAGCTGGCTGGAGAGATCCTTTATCAAATTCAAAAGGGATAGCTTTGATGTGCTCACAGCCTTACAAGCTTCGGTACAAAACCTTAAAGTTATTCATGCGGTATCTATTTAGGGATGAGGAGTATCTTTTGAGGGTCATTGTGTGACGTTGTTTGCTCAATGTACTTAAGAGGCCACATTCCCCACACTTTTCTCACTCCACTCCAGAACAACAATAAACAAAAGTTGCGCTTCCTAGCTAGCTAGCTAGCTAGCTAGCTCCATCGCTGGCCTACCGGCACACTCTTTCGTCTTTTTAGCTCTGCGTTCGCAAAGCTTAACTGAAGACAGAGACAGAGACAGAGACGAAGAAAAGAGAGAAAGAGACTAAGTTTCGTTTATCAGGACGATGACCGCTGCCGTCGAAACCACCCCATCCGATACGGACTTTTTCGCCCAAGAAGCTTCTTTGGAAAAGGATTCTCACGCTGTCGAGGACCTAGCAAAAACAGACACCACTGGTCCCACTAATGAGAGTGACCCCTCGATAGAATCAGCATCGGAAAAGCCTGAGTCCAACGATCCTGATGGCAAAGGCCAAGATGGAGACGAACGTCAACGGGGCCTGTTTTCGCGAATTTTTCGTCGAGGACCCAAGAAACCAGAGCCTGGAATCGAAAATGGAGCGGCAGATTTGTTGGATGATGAACGTGGGGACGCACCAACACACGAAGAAAGTAGTGGTAGCGCCGAGGAGGAGGAGGTGGAGGATGGCTTTGTGACAGAGGAGGATGGCGAAGAGGAAAGTTTTTCAGAGGAGGAAGAAGACGATGAAGAAGATGGCGACGATGAAGAAGACTTTCAGGGCGCAGCGTCCGAAGACGATGACGATCAGGAAGAGTGGGAATCGGATAATGACGATGATGAAGACGAGCGAGACGATGAATTTGTAGATTTCGCTCAAGCCAACAATTCCAAGTACGATGAGGGAGACGAGGATGACAATGACGAAATGTTGTCGCTGATTGTCTCGGGCAACAACAATACAGACAATACAAACAACAACAATAATCAGAACTCTGGTAGAATCAATACACTGGGAGCCAGTCTGACTCGATTCTTTGGAGCAAAGCAAAATGACAGTGAACTGCCCAAGGAGCGACAATCCCTATTGTTTGCGGGCAATGAAACTGATGATGATGACGATGACGACAATGATAGTCGAAACCATGATGACGATGATGGCGGCTATCGAGATAGGCCACGTCAAGAGGAACTGGGTCGTTCTCAAAACAACTATTATGATGCTGAAGAAGAAGACGATGATTTGCGTTCGCAAGAAGGAGAATATAGACTTGAATCCTTCTACCCATCTGATTCTCCTCGACGAGAATACCCAGACGAACCATCTCGCAACAATCGACAAGATCTGCACGGCAGAATACATGGATTTGGAAGCGATAGTATTCGCAACAACAACATGGATGACAGTAGTCGATTCTTTGTGGACACCATGAGTGAGACACGCATGTGTTCCATGGACATTGAGGCTGGTGATGAACGCGGGGGGTTGTTGAATGGGGTGGGAAAAGCAGTGTCCAATATCACCCATCTGATCATGCAAAAACGGGCCTCCATGGCAGATCCAGGCGACGAGAGACGGAAAATGATAAACTACATTGCTGAACTGGAACGCAAGTTGGAGCAAAAAGAATTTGAGCTCCAAAAATACAAGGGACGTTGTGAACAGCTTCAACTGGAAGTAAACTTCTTGAAAGAGAATGAAGCACAGGATGAGGAAGAAGAGACAGATGAAGACGATGACGAAGAGGAGGAGGACGACGAAGCCGAAAACGAAGAGGCCCAAGAAACGGCCCTGATAGCTTTTGAGGGAAGCTCGACCGTGGACGATGGCGGTGGGGGAGTACCAGAAGGAACGCTCATTGATGTGACAACAAAAGCACCGGTGTTTGATCCCTTGTTGGAGTCTACCCGTGATAGCGCGACTGACAAAAAGCCGATTGACGACAATCTGCTTGCTACCAACGTGGAACAAGAAGTCCCAAAGAAGTCAGAAGCAGAGCAAGATCTGTTTGCCGTTTTTGAAGACAAAAAGTCGTCTGAAAACGATCCGGCATCCAAGCGATTAGAAGCTGCCGGTACCGGTACCGACGATGCTCTTTCAGAGGGCTAGCTAGTGATATCGTACAAAAACGGGGTCTTACTTGGGCTTTTCCGCTCGGGGTTCAGGTTCGTATTCGCTGAGTACAGTGCACCTTCCTGTCGTAGTCTATCATTCCATCATCTAATAATAGTGCTTTAAGAAAGGCCCACCACTGAAACTTCTTAGAAGGCAATCATCAGCTCCCAATCGAGAAGTGCCGAGACCCAAGGTTTCCTAATGACCAGCAAACGATTTTCGGGCACGAAGTGGAATTGAACTTGTTCTTCGTCCTGTGCGATCGACTTGGGTTCACTGTCAATGCCCATTACAATGATTCGTTCGATGGCTCTGTCAGTGGACATGTTCAGCACATTGTCGATCCAACCATCACCAACCGAAGCCGAGTTGCTGATAGTAGCAGCGTGAGTACTGAAGTCGGCAGAGAAATTGGCCTCGGCGTATTCCTCGCTTGTCAAGTGTGCAAACGTTTCCTCGTCATCCATGTACAGCCTTCCAGAGGCTTTCTTGCTCGCGTCAAGAGCAACAAAGAGAGTGTAGGGATCCTTCTTCATTAGCTTTGCGCTTCGCCTCAAGCGTAGCTTCCTGGGGATGATGGAACCACCTCTTTGGTACACTGGGGTTCCAGCATCAATTGGGCAGGCGATTCTGACATTCTCGTACCCATTGAGAGGGGCAATGGATGACACAAGGTTCAATCTCTCTGTGAAAAGGAGATCGTTGTTGAAAACAAGTCATGTTAGGGAGAGCAGCACAGAAGACGATCAAACACACAAACCCATCTGCATAGTTGCATTCGTACCTGCATCATACCAAATGTCAGTGCCGGGGAAAGTAACATCAGTTTCTGTAACTCCAGGGGCCGTAATGGGCTTGACTAGAAGATCGGATCCAATCAAGAACTCGTCATCAACGCTGTACATGAGCTCGGTCATTGGGTATTGCATCCAAATCGTCCTAAACACAAAGGCAATCGCACAATCTGAGGGATGACTTCCTCGTCAACTACACAAGGGCAATCGAACGAAGAACTTACCTCATCACAGGCATACCAGTTGTACCGGCCTCCTGGAAGACAGAGTACCAATAGGGAAGGAGAGCATATCTTTCCATGGCTGCCTTGCGGAGTCGCACAAGAGTTTCATCCCCAAACACCCAGGGTTCCCTCCTCTTTGAGTCATGGTGGGCATGTCCTCGGAAGAAGGGCTGATACGCTGCAGCTTGCATCCATCGAGTGTTGAGCTCAGCGTCAGGGTTTCCAAAGAATCCACCCACATCCGCACCAACAAATGATAGCGCTGCAACGTTCAAGCTGAGCAGCATGGGCGAAGCTATCTCCAGGTGCGACCATTCGGCCTTGTTATCACCTGTCCAGATGGCTCCATATTGCTGGCTTCCCGCAAAGAAGGCGCGGCTCAACACGAACGGGCGAACGTCCTCGTCGTAGTTGCGTCGAATTTGACCCTCTCCAGTCGAACGATGAAACAGCATTCCATACAAATTGTGCCACTCTCGGTGTTCTTCGCCATTCAAGTTGCGAAGATCCTTTTGCATGGAGACCTCTGGACCGTTGAAGACGGATGGTTCATTCATATCATTCCAAGTAAAAAGGGACGTAGTCGAGCCTTTGTACTTGTTGTACGCAAATTGCGAGGCCCACCAGTCTCGTACTTTTGTGCTGGTAAAATCGAGGTAGGAAGACGATCCAGGCCAGCACCACCCATCGTAGTCTTTGTTGCCACTTTTGTCTTTGATGTACAGGCCTCTGGCGGTGGCTTCTTTGTGGATGTAATAATTGTCATCTCTCTTGATGTGAGGATCAATAATAGTTACCATACGCCGTCCCTGTGCCGCCAACGTATTTTGCATTTCCACGGGGTTGGGGAATGTGTGCTTGTCCCAGGTAAAGTATCGTTTGCCATCTGTATGTTCAATATCCAACCACAGGACATCATATGGATAGTCGTATTCTTCAAACTTTCCGTGCACAGTGTAGACATCTTGCTCGTCTTTGTAATTCCAGCGACACTGATGATACCCCAAGCTGAACATTGGCGGGAGAGGCATGGTTCCAGTTAATTTGGAATATTGTCGGTAGAGGTGGCTAGGGTTGGGTCCTGGCATCAAGAATATATCCATGACTCCACTCTCGCTCATCCAATGCGATGTTGTCGATTGATCTCCGTCGGCGTCCATGATATCGACAAATGTTTCGGTGGGGTTGAACCAAAAGACACCAGTGGTCCCGGTGGCAACTGACTGACTCACAATGAGGGGAACATGCCCATACAATGCCATAGTCTCATCCAGCTCATACTCAAACACATCCAAATTGTCTGAAAGAAAAGAAGCACATCAAGTTAGTGACAAAATAACGATAGTAATGAAAGAATCGTGGCAACAATGTACTCACACAATCGGTAGGGATCCCTGTAATGTGCGCCGTCTCCGTGGGTTGTTTTGAGAACGGTGGAGGAAGCGTGCTCCGGGAGTCCAAATAAATGCCTGGATTTGGGAAAAGTGATATCCATTCCAATACTCATGGGACCATAGGGTTTGGAATCATGGTGTTCTTGGAATTTCTCCTCCCACATGTCTTTCTTGTCCAACTCGCCTTGTTCTTCTTCGGTCAGCTTGCGATGATCTTCTTCGACCTTTTTCTTTTCCTCGCGGGTTCCATCAGCGTAAATGGCGAGACCATCTTCCCAGTAACCAACAATTTCCTTTTCACTTTCCTTTTTGCCTTCCTCTTCGGTTGGTTTTTCTTCTTGCTTCGGAGCCCCTTGTTTGGTGCGTCTGACTTCAAAGTGCATTCGATTTTGATCGCCCAAGATGACTATGGGTCCTTCCTGCATGTTGGCTTCTCGGAATAAATAAACAGAAAAAGGCGAGAGTCTCGCAACGAGAATCATTCCTGGTTCACTTTCGCTGTCTCCATAAAGCAGAGCCATGTAATTTTCCAAATTCGCATCAGGAGGGAGCAACTTTGACAGCATGGCGACATGTTCGTTGTCTTGTCCTTCCGATGCAGGTCCTTGGATCAAAGTGGCATGACCAGCCGTGCTCATTTGTTCAGGCGTCAAGACCAAATCGTCATAGGTGACACGCGCCTTTTCGTGGGGAGATCCTGGTTTTCCATAGACTTCAGTGATTCTCATCCTCATGACTCCATCCGCCATGGCGTAAATAGCCCAATTGAGTTGTTCCGAGAGCCCCGTCGACGTCTCTGAGGCTGTATTGACCAAGAGACCCGAGACGGTAGGCTCTGTGCCTCGCACATAAATGTCCGGTCCTTTGGCTTGGTCCTTGGCATCTTTCAATCCCAGATTCTTTTGCAAGGATTTCCAAAGGCCAGTCTTTAAGGTGCCAGTATCAGCAGGGGGTTCTTTCTCATCCTTCTCGGGAATGCCATGGAAAATCACAGAGTCTTTCACCAATCGGTAGCGATACAACCGAGACGAATGGTCATCGCGATGACGACGGCAGAAGGACGTTTGGTCACAAGTGCGAAACTTGGCTCTGTCCACTGCAAACCCCAAGGAGGAGAAGCACAGTAGCAGGAGTACCTGCGAAGTGAGTACCTGTCTCATGGCTCGATCGAAATGCCGACAGGTGGGTGGTTTGGTTGTGAGGAGTGTTTCTTTCAGATGGCTTGAGGCTTGAGGGGTTGAGAGAGACAAGTGTCGAGACTGGTGATCAAAGCGCCAAAAAGATTTCGGGGCCTCAAATAAGCCAGCGGTACCATATCGAGGACTCTGACCGTGGAGTTTGGGCGTGGAAACTCAAGCCAGCAGCACCCTTGTGGCCCTGAAGATCACCGGAAGGGGCTCAAAGTTACCAATTGATCCATTTCTTCTTGGCAGGCTGAAGTGAATTGACGCATTACCACTGTGGTAGTTGTCCCTGGCATTGATACTCTTCCTTGGATCTTCAAATGAGCGCCCCAATCCAGAGTGACAGAGCTTCAGCAAAGCCATCTGACAAGGTCAATGAATTCCGGGTGGCATTATTCTTTTTGAACGAAGAATCCAATCTCCTTCTTTATAATGGGCTTATCATCTATCTTACTAGCTAGTAGTCTATTTGGACTGCAATGTAATGCTACGGTACAGCAGAAAGTCCGAAGCAAGAACGTCGTATAGTGTAGGAATGAATGGGTTTTTGTCCGGCTGTAGATTATACTGCCGTCTACCTCCAGCGGTCCCAGCTCTGCCTGATGCGAGCTGGGGCTTTGGTCTTGTCCAAAGGGCTAGCCAGCCATACTCTTCGAGCTATGCATAAATGCATTCTGTCACACTAGGACATTCTACACTTCTAGCTCTCCATCGAAACTTTCGGGTACTTGATCTGGTGCAGTCATTACAACAGCTGAAGAATTTTCCAACGTCGAAGGAGCCCGTTCTACTCTGCCAAAGGCACTGCTCGAATCCAAGGTGTGGCCCATCGGAAACACTTGGTTCATGGAGAGGTCAGAGACGCTGGTGATGGAATGAGTGGCAGCAGATTTACTGGTACGGACAAGAACCCTATGTCAGCGCAACAAGACAGTAGTGGTTAGTACCACCACACGTTCATACTCAAGAACAAGTATCACCTCATCTCATCACGTACCAAAACGTTGTCATTTCTCCTTTTCCTTTCGCAACAACCTTCTCTTCTCGTTCTGTCAACCAATCTCCACGACCGTGATTAATCAATTCATCGGCAGTCGCTTGAGATACATGAACCTTTCCTGGCAAGCCATTGCTTTCCATACGAGATGCTGTATTGATCGTCTGCAGAATCAAATCAATAATGGTAGGACAAAGTTCAAAGAAGAGATGTGAGAGCTAGGGCCAGAGACATTTCCATCCTTCCGTTCCACCAAACGTACATCGCCAAAGAGCTGAAACCTCCCGCGATCACCACGCAAGATACCGCCAGTGATCGGTCCAGAATGAATCCCCACACGAAGCTTCAAATCGGCCGTGTCTTCACCCAATGCATCTACTAGTTTCATTGCAATCAATTGACCCATTTTGGCTTGACAGGCAGAAGCGAACTGACACATGATCACTGCGTGGTCGTCTTGGGGATTGGGGACACCTGTCACTCCTACCCAACAGTCGCCAATCTGAAGCAAAAGGGTTAGTTCGCAAACTTCACCATACGAATAAGAGGAATCGAGACTTCACTTACTGTTTCAACCTTGTAGACGCCGCGCTTCAGGGCAATTTTATCAAAGGATTGATACAGCGTCTCTAGAAGCAGGAAAACGTCCGCAGGAGTTCGACCGGAAGACCACTTTGTGAATCCCGCCAAATCCATCAACAGAATAGACGAAGATGGATACAGCTGGGCAATCGCATCACGAGCAACTGGTTGGTCGCCGGCTGCTGCGGCTGTGGAATCTCCCTTCAAGGAGAGTGATTGCCATTTGCGTCGTTTGTTTTCATCTTCAGTTTCCTTGGGTTCATCTTCAAACAAACGACTTCGCACTTGTTCGGGATAAAGCGTGGAAATCAAAGCACGGCTCTCGACCGCCTTTTTCAAAATCAGACTTTGACGCCGAGCCACCAAAGAATCAAAGACGGCCAATACCATGAGTGTAAAGACAAAGATTCCAGCCACCGCGGCAGCATAAATAGCGGGTTCGTTGGTCATGTACTGATCTTCAAATGTTTGAGAGGGATAAACGTACGCCACGTATTCTTGGAATGTCCAATCGACTGCAACAGCATCAAAGGTTTGGGTGTCGGGACCATGCTTGGTACCAATGCTTTCTCCAATATTTTCAAAGACAAACATGTCATCATATCTGGAGTCATGGAAGTCGTGGAAGCCGAGATAGGTTACAGTGGGTCCATCAACGCGGTAAGTAAAGGACTGATCAGAACTATCTTTCATGACCACCAGAAAGCCATCCATCCCTTCCGGAAGAACTCGCTCATAGTTCAATCTCCAAATCAGAGGCATATGGAGGAATCCAGCAAGACTACGATTGCTAACTTCGAACGAATCAAACACCGGATACGCAAGGCCGCTAGACGGGTCCCCAGTGTAGTATTCTGTAATGTGCCGATGCTGTCCTTGTTTGAGGTAATCATGATACTTCCGAACGATTTTGCTTTCATCAGAGGTGACGTTGCTTGGGTCTTGGACTCCAAAAGCCGGCCCAATAGCAGCCCTCGAGGTCTGGTAGACATGATTCAAAGAGTCTCTGGCTCCCGCCGAGCCCATCAAGTCATTGTTCAGTAGAAACTCTCTAGGGATGACAGGAGTCATTTGCCAAAAGGGAGCATAGAACTCCATTCCTTGGGGACGAACGGTGTTGTTGAATGGTTCTCCCCTTGGGGGTGGGGTGCCCAGCAAGAAAATTTCTTTGTGGTACGTCGGCCCTGGAGATTCGCAAAGTTCTGTGGAGTTACGGCTTGGAGGTAAAACATCATCTAGTGTCTCTGGTCCTCCTTCGTCACCACCAACTCCTTGTGGGGGAGACCCCTCACCACCGCCCCCTGCCTGAAGGATTCGTTTACGCTCTCCCGGGGGCAGCCCTTGCTCTTCAGTTGGTGGTCCCTGCCCTCCAGGTTGCTCTTCAGTTGGTGGTCCTTCTCCTTCATCACATGGTGTTTCCTCCCAAGAAGGCTCTCCACCTCCACCTGTAGGGTTTGATTCAGCCTCAATCCCAAAACGCGCATCCTGTTCCCTTTCGTACCTTGTTTCGCTGTAGAAGGCTTCCCTTATCCACGTACGATGCTTGTCAGCGTATTCTTCCCAGCCCAGCCGATTCTCTGATGTAACAAGCGGAGCGTACTCACACATCATTCCGTCGGCTTGAATGCGCGTCTGTATACCCAAAGCAGACCAGTTTTCAATGGTTACATTGGGGAAAGTTTGGTGGGTGGAAAGTGCATTGGCAGTGATAGCAGCAGAGAGACCTCCCAGGGCGACAATCTTTCGGTCCACCGAATCTGTAAACGTCTGAACGAGCTTGTGAGCGTTCGTGCTGAAGGCCGCTTCAAATGCTTCTTCCTCTTGTTTCTTGGTCAGAAAGTAAACACCCACTGACGCCGCAAGACCAACCGCTACAACCGTCAAGTACACCAAGAGACGAGTGCAATGAACGGCCTTCTCCTCCGATCGCTTCAACAATCGCTTTTTCTCTTCTTCGGCTGCCTTTTGACGTTCGGTCGGACCATTATGCTCCGATACATCTTCGTGGCCTGACAAGTCCTCTTCTTCTCGACAAATGGACAGATCCTCCATGGTGCTCATTGTTCTTCTGTTCTTCTAGTGCTTACAGTATTTTCGAGTTGGTTTTCTTCTTGTGTTTTGGAACGACCGCAGCTTACGTCAAATATAGTGTTCGTTCCAGGGCTACCGGTAGTACCAGGGTTTGCTAACCAGTTCTTTCGGTTACCGGTTATTTGACATTTGGTTACCGGTTGTTCGATTTGGTTACGTAACCGGTAACCGGCAACCGGGACCTCGCGATAACCGGTTACTCAACCGGTAACCGGTAACCGGGTCGTTTTCGACTGGTTACTTTTGGAACGGTTACCGGTTACTTTACGACCGGTTACCGGTTATCGAACTGGTTACCCATTCGGTTACTCGAATTTCGAAACTTGCCATTTCCTCTCATAAATTCGCCAACCAATAACCAATAGGGGCAACCTATGTCCGTTTGGTTACTCGTTTGGTTACTCATTTGGTTACTGGTTATTCGTTTGGTTGCCGTCCAACATACCGTCCAAGCCACCGTCCAAGCTAGCTAGCTAGCCATCGTCCAAGCTAGCTAGCCACCTGGTTACTCGTTTGGTTGCCGTCCAACATACCGTCCAAGCTGTTCAAGCTAGCTAGCTAGCCACCGTCCAAGCTACAGTCCAAGCTAGCTTCGTAATGTCCGAGTCAAGGGTATTGGACGATTTTGGAGCCGCCCTGAGCATAGCCGATGGCGAGAACAGCACAGGTCACTTCTCCGAAGAAAACCGAGCCGATGCCGAGTTTGTCGAAGGCAACTGGTTCAACGCAACCTGAACGACGACCTGGAAGAAGAAAAAGAAGAGGAGCCTTCCGACGAAGAAGACATATACGGCCCCCAGTCGACGAAGTAGTTGAAGTCAATGTGGTTGGATCAGCCCGAGAACGAGGACGGACGAGCAGGACCAGACTTCCAAGACGACGATGATGACGATCCACATGAGGATCCATTGAACAAGATAGGGAGCAGTTGACTTCTAGCTATGCGCAAAAGCCAAGTCTACTTTCCCCTTGCGCAATGAATTCAAGACTACCTCAGGTGAAGGCCGTTCGCCTTTCTGGCAAATAGCTAGAGTTGTGTTGATTCGGAACCCAATAGTTGGGATGAGCTGGAAGAATTGGATTTGGTGGCCAAAGAGAAGATGTTGAAGAGTATGGAGAAAACGTCCTTACATTGCCTGCATGGCATGCATTGATGACGAAGGGAAGCCTCCCGCAAGTGTCTGTTCATTCCGTCCTACTTGAAGAAGGAGAAGACTTTGAAAATGGTTTATGATGGAACGGGAACCTATCGAGTCACGTCTTCAAGGTTCACAAGGAAGTTCATGCCGCCATCAAACATCATAAAAAGCACTACAAATGGGGAGACATGGCACCCCAGCCTGCCGGTCCTACACGAGGAGTTCCTGCCGCTGCCAGAAGACCAACCCGAGCAGCTATGGCCGCCGCAGCTTCCGCCGTTGCTTCCCATGAATCCGTATCTACTCTTCTGGGTACCGGTAGTACTCCGGCAAGCCGAAAGCCAAGATTGAAGAGCCACCCGGGGAAATCAATGTTCTCAACATGGCCCGTCAGGGTGGGTCTGGAAAGGTACTGGATACTTTCAGGCAACTGCAGAATGAATTCTACACTAACAACAACATCTCTGAACGCGCGGTGACAGATCACACCAATTGTCCCGAGTACTCGAAAATGTGGCAGTTTGGTATGGCCCATGCCGAAACTCTCAAGAAGGTCAAGAACTGTGGTCTTATGGGACGTCATGCTCTTCGTACAAGCGCCGAGAAACATGGTTTGAGTTTTCTGCGGCGGTGGAAATGCTGTCACTGAAACTTCCGAAGCCTATCTTCGTCTGTTCCGCAAACCTGTTCCCTTTATGACGGTTGGCCACGACGGTTGGGATTCGAACGATAAGGAGATCTTGGGGGTCACCATATTTTTCTACAACCCAGTGCGGAAAGAGTACTTCAAGATCGCAGTTGCTCTTTGTGTTATGGACAGCAAGAAGGCAGAGCCAACAGTCACTCAGATCCTCAAAATTGTGGGATTGTTGTGTATCTCCAGGGCCATGTTCTACCAGGCCGTGAATGACACTAATGCAGCGGCTCTCGCTGTTGGCCGCCTACTCTGTGGACACCAACGGTGTTTGCTGTATGCATCAAATGCAATTGTGCCTGGAACATGCAAATGGAGAAAGATTCGAACGAAGAATCATCAACCAGTCGATACCTTTCCGCCGGAACAAGCTACGAAAACAGAGTGAAACTTGTGCCAAGCACTTGATGGAGTTGAAGTCCAAAGGCCGTTTCGCAGAGTTCGTTGAGATGATGGTTGAAGAAGGCCGTTCTGCCAGGAAAATTGGTCTGCCCAATGCTACAAGAGCCGGTGGGGTGGTAATCCATTATGGAGACATGGTGATTGCACGGTGGAACCTCCGCATCTACTTCTGGAAAAAGCCGAGCAACAAAAGGCTTTCTGACGAAAAATACTACGTGCTCTCCCAACACTATGCCATCCAGTATCAATGTATATTTTGTTGATGGCGGTTCAATCCGACGTTGTTGTTCTACTTCGTACACTTACTACTTTGTGTTCAGAACTGCCGTTCTTTATTTTGTTCCAGAGTATTGGTGGGTCCCAGAGACAAGACTCGACATGAGCCCTAATGAGACCGACAAGTGGGATGGTGGCGCTACTTTCCCCAAACGGCACTATGACGGCACCCCCTATCATCCTGCCCCTAAAGAGGAAGGAGATTTCCTTTGTGTGCCGAGCTCTCTGACCACTGTGGCATGAAAAGGACCCCCCACCAGCACATGGACATTGACGATTCCTCAGCAGAGTTGGTGACCGGTTGGCAGATGGTTTTCCCGAGTATGGAGCCGACGTGAAAAAGGAATTCAACAAGATCCGTCTACTGGCAATGATGCTGAACCCGTTCACCAGAGGAACGGCCCTTGACGAGGTAGAGACCTTGAGTGAGCACATCGAGGAATATGCCAAGGACAAATACAAGCACGTGGCCACGGTGTTCGGGATCTTGCCATGAAGGAGTTGAGGCAGGCGATTGAAACCTTGTGTGACCAAATGATGAGTGACGAAGAGCCTGTTCCTGCGAGGCGGCCCCAGGCGGAAGAGGAGCCAGAAGTTCCGATTCACAAGCTATCCAAGCTCGAACAACAGCGAAGGAAGAAGCAGAGAACTGCTGAAACGGTGAACCGTCAACCAGCAACCACAGGAAGGAGTGGAAAGGTGACTCAGGTTATAAAATCTGGATGGACAGCAAGTTCACATTGTGTCTGTACTGACAAAGCAGAAAACAGAAACCTCTTACCAAAGATCAAGTCCGCAGCATCGGCACTAAGGACTTGGATTGGATCAAGAACATTGACTTTATTGCCAAGAACTTCGATGTTATGGAATGGTGGGAAACTGTTGGAAAGAGAGACCACCCCGTTCTGTATTCTCTTGCTTGCATCGTCTTGTCATGCCCGACAGTAATGGGGATCAAGAGAGAACCTTCAGTGGAGCTACATGGATGAACGATAGGCTAAAGGCAAACCAGGGCGACTTCACATTCAAATGAAGGTTCTCACGTAAAAGAATCGTCACTTCCTGCCAACCACAGGCACCTCGTGGCGTTGCAAGGTTGCTGGAAGCCAAGAACAGGACAAGAGACTCTTCAGAGAACAGGTGAAATCCCTAACAAGCCACGCAAAGAAGGGAAACCAGATCTGACAGAAGAGGATATCACAATGGAGATGCTGGAGGAGCTGGAGTACTACTCCAAAGAGGAAGAGGAGCAGATTCGTGCTGCCAATGCTGCAAAATCCTAAGGTATGTCTAGGAAACAGCGATGGATTGACATGGGGCGGAAGCAAACAACACAAAAGTCTTGCGCTGCATGTTCAGACCCTCAAGTAACCACTTGCAATTGGTTACTAACCAGTGGTTACTGGTTACTTACCTATAAAATAACCAAAAGTTTTGGTTACTCAACCAGTAACCGGTAACCAGTACCCTAGAACTTTTGGTTGCTCAACCAGTAACCAGTAACCAGTACCCTAGAACTTTTGGTTACTCAACCAGTAACCAGTAACCAGTACCTAACCAATTGGTTAGCGATCCCTGACCGGTACCACCTGGCTGCCAGGACGGTTAAGTAAAAGTTGACTTTGGGGAAAATGGGGTTTTCGAAAGGAAAAGTGTTGAAGTTTTGAATTGTTAGATTTAACAGCACTGAAACTGTTGAAATTGGTTCAACACTGTTGAATATCCATTAAACACTAATTCAACAGAGATTTAACATTTTTCAACAGGGATTCAACACATATTCAACAACTTCCACACTTCCACTGACTATAGATTCAACAGTAATTCAACAGGGTTTCAACACGATTCAACACTTATTCAACAGTTTTTCAACAATTATGAACCTCTTTTCAACACTTTTCAACAAGGGTGAAAAGTAGACAACTTGTTTAAGAATAGGGGAACCTTCAAGTCCAGTTTACCCAAAAATCCAACTTTTTCCACTTTTGCTTAACCGTCCAGGTACGTAGAAGTACTGTACCGAAGCTACGGTACGGTACGGCTATACCATACTATTAATAGTACAATAGTACCGTTCGGCTGGATTAAAAAAAACTTAAATTTGCCGCGACTGACAACATGCTCTTAAACATCCTCTTAACTTCCTCTTAACATCCTCTTAAATCTTCAACATCCCCTTGAACATCCTCTTAAATAAACATCCTCTTAACAACATCCTCTTAAAGCTTCGAAACATCCTCTTAAGCCTTCATTGAAACACCATACGGTAGGACTTCCTCTTATCACGACTTAAAATCCTCTTAAATAAACATCCTCTTAATAACATCCTTTTAAATACTCAACATCCACTTAAAAATCCTCTTAAATCTTCACATCCTCTTACATCCTTTTTTAAAACCAGAAAAAGATTTGAGTCAGTCGTGGCAGTTTTTAAAGTCTGAGCGAAAACCGTCCGACGGTCCTGGTACCGGCACCGGTACCGTACCTATGGTTAAGTGGTGTCATCCAAAAAAAAATGTTGTTCTTTCTTTACCGGGATGGCTTCCTTTGACTGTCAGGACCACACTACA